GGACACGTCGGCGTACCTGAGCTTCCCGGGCACAGTGACGACGACGACGTACAGCGATGGCGTCTACGTGGGCTACCGGTGCTACGATAAGCGCCGCATGGATGTGCTGTTCCCCTTCGGCCACGGTCTGAGCTACACCACGTTCGAGTACAGCGCGCCGCGCGTGGCGAAGGCTGCGTACGTGGACAACGAGGCCGTGCATGCGGAGGTGACGGTGACGAACACGGGCAAGATGGCCGGCTCGGAGGTGGTGCAGCTGTACGTGCGCGACGTGTTGAGCAGCATCGACCGCCCGGCGAAGGAGCTGAAGGGCTTCGAGAAGGTGCACCTGGCGCCCGGCGAGTCGAAGACGGTGAAGTTCACGCTGGACCGCCGCGCCTTCGCGTACTACGACGTGGCGCGCAAGGACTGGGTGGTGGAGGAGGGCGACTTCGAGCTGCTGTTCGGGTCGTCGTCCCGCGACGTGCGCGGCGCTGTGCACGTGAAGGTGTCCCCTGCTGTCCCCCCGCCGCCGCGTCACTTCAACAAGAACTCCATGATCGGCGACGTGTGCTCCTACCCGCCCACCGCCTCCATGGCAAAGAAGCTGTGCCGCGACTTCACGGGATCGCCGATGCAGCCCAGCTTCATCCACATGTTCCAGGAGATGGAGCGCATGCTGCCCATCCGCTCCAAGGTTGCTTTCTCGGCCGGCAGCTTCACCTTCGACGACGTGGAGGCGTTGGTTGAAGAGGCTAACCGGCTGTCGAACTCTAAGTAAGTTGATGGTGCGTCGCGTGAGCAGTGTCCTCCGGCACACCAAGCACCCCGCGTCACACGCGTATGGCGTGCGAAACGGCGCGTGCGCGACAATAAGTCCTTGGCCGTCGCAGCACGCTACCGTCAGCGCACGCACACACAAAAAGATTATATATATATATATGTGTGTGTGTGTGTATGTGTGTTTGTTCATAGTTTTCTTACGCCCCGCAAAAAAGAAAGACGCCAAGTGGACAATAACATCAATTCTACCAACAAAACGAACTGTAAAAAGTGATTTAACGGAGCCGATTTGATGCGTTGCCGCTCTCGTTATTTGCTTCTTCTTCTTTTATCATTAATTCAAGTTTTCCCCGGTAACTCCGAGGGCACACTGATCACGTCGAACCACAACGTTCTACTATGTCGCTCGTGTCGCTTTGCGGACAGTGATGCCCTCTGCACCTTTTAGGTGCTTCGTTTACTTCTGTTTCTTTCTTTCTGGTACGCGCATTTCCAGTTTGTACCGCATCCTGCTTCCTGCCTGCGTCCCAGCAGTGGAGGATCAAGCGAGTGCGCTTAACAAAACTGTCCACGTTTCTCTTCCTCACCTCTGAATGCGCGGTTGCTGGCAGCACGGTGCAGCACTCTCAGAGCTCTGTGGGAGTGGTGGACGGAGACGGCGAATGATGCGGTGCGTGCCCATCGACTCCTCGACCGTTTTATTATTACCCCATTCTATTTTCACGATATCTCTTCGACATAAAGTCCTTTGTTTTTTCTTGAGAGCATTCGATATATATAACCCGTCATTGGCCGAGGTCATGGACCTTTGTAAACGTGTTGCCACGCTGAACGAATTGGTGTAGAGACGTTTTTCTTCCTTTTCGCTCCTTCAGTATTGTTTCTTGTTTCCTTCTGTGCACGCCATCCATGACAAGCAGCCGGATCCTTCCAGCAGCGTGCGGCTGGAGCGCGCAGCGTCGCTGCATGGAAGAGCCGAGCAGTATGCTGAGAGACAACGCCGGACGTGCGCGCTGAAGAGAAGAAGTGTGGCAGACGACCAAGCAATAAAGCAAATAACGAAAGACAACGCGACGAACAGAAAAGACTCCTCGGATGGCGCGTACGCGTGCTGTGCCACTGCGGCGTTGTAGGACGCAAGCCCGCGCACCACGCTGTCCACCACGCGTCACTCATGTGCTCCCCGTCTCTCCGTTGGAGCTCGACTGCCCATACCGTTTGCCTCCGTTGTTGTTGTTGTTGTTGTCACACAGCCTCCTTGCTACTTTTTTCTCCTCCGTTCTTGTTTTCTCTCTTTTCCGTGCCCACACGCACCCACACGCGCACACGCCCCTCGCAAGTCTGTGTTAACCCTTTAATTCTCTCTTTTCATCATCTCACCCATCCCTACCAAACTCAAAAAAACAAAAACAGAACACAAAACTACTTCTTTTGGCCACTTAAACCCATCACAAAACACAGCGTCAGAGCCATGTCGCACAAGCACATCGACATCGACAAGGTGATGTCGGAGCTGACGCTGGAGGAGAAGATCAGCCTCGTCGGCGGCAAGGACTTCTGGTGCACGCGCGACATCCCGCGCCTGGGCGTTCCCTCGGCGATGATGTGCGACGGTCCCACCGGGCTGCGCAAGAGTCTGAACATGGACCAGGTGGACTCGGGGAGCGTGCCCGCCACGTGCTTCCCCACTGCCGTCGTGCTGGCGTCGACGTGGAACCGTGCCATGGTGGAGAAGGTCGGCAAGGCGATCGGCAAGGAGTGCCGTGCGGAGAACGTGTCGCTGCTGCTGGCGCCCGGCAACAACATCAAGCGGTCGCCGCTGTGCGGACGCAACTTCGAGTACTACTCCGAGGATCCGTACGCTGCGGGCCAGCTTGCCGGCGCCTACGTGAAGGGCGTGCAGAGCGAGGGTGTCGGCACGTCGCTGAAGCACTACTGCGCGAACAACCAGGAGACCAACCGCTTCTCGGTCAACGAGCAGATCGACGAGCGCACGCTGCGCGAGATCTACCTCGCCGCGTTCGAGAGCATCGTGAAGGAGGCGCAGCCGTGGAGCATCATGGCGTGCTACAACCGCGTGAACAACGAGTACGTTGTGTCGAGTCGCCACATGCTCACGGACGTGCTGCGCGGCGAGTTCGGCTTCAAGGGCTTCGTCGTGTCCGACTGGGGCGCCGTCGACGACCGCGCCAACGCGCTGCACGCGGGCATGGACCTGGAGATGCCCAGTACGTACGGTGTGACCGACGCGCAGCTGAAGAAGCGGGCTGGCGAGGGCAAGCTGGACCTGGAGCAGCTGGACGTGTGCGCGCGCCGCATCCTGGAGTTCGTGAACCGCGCCGCGGAGACGCTGTCGAGGGGCGCGCCGAAGTGGGACGTCGACGCGCACCACGGCCTCGCGCGCGAGGCGGCCGCGGAGGGCATCGTGCTGCTGAAGAACGAGCACGCCGTGCTGCCGCTGCACGCGTCGAAGAAGATCGCCGTGATCGGCGAGTTTGCGGAGAAGCCGCGCTACCAGGGCGGTGGCAGCTCGTTCGTGAACGCGACCAAGGCGTCGGGTGCGCTGGAGGAGCTGAAGAAGCTTGTGCCAACGCTGCAGTACGCGGCCGGCTACGCGACGGGTGCGACGAAGCACGACGAGGCGCTGCGGGCGAAGGCGGTGGAGGTGGCTGCGGGCTGCGACGCGGCGGTGGTGTTCATCGGCCTGTCGGATGCGGACGAGTCGGAGGGCTTCGATCGCGCGCACATGCGCCTGCCGGAGCACCACAACGCACTGGTGGAGGCTGTGGCGGCGGCGAACAAGCACACGGTGGTGGTGCTGACCAACGCGTCCGCGGTGGAGATGCCGTGGGCGAGCAAGGTGCAGGCGATTGTGGAGGCGTACCTGCCCGGCCAGGCCGGCGGTCTCGCGGTGGCGGACGTGCTGATGGGCAAGGTGAACCCCAGCGGCAAGCTGTCGGAGTCGTTCCCGAAGCGCTTGGAGGACACGTCGGCGTACCTGAGCTTCCCGGGCACAGTGACGACGACGACGTACAGCGATGGCGTCTACGTGGGCTACCGGTGCTACGATAAGCGCCGCATGGATGTGCTGTTCCCCTTCGGCCACGGTCTGAGCTACACCACGTTCGAGTACAGCGCGCCGCGCGTGGCGAAGGCTGCGTACGTGGACAACGAGGCCGTGCATGCGGAGGTGACGGTGACGAACACGGGCAAGATGGCCGGCTCGGAGGTGGTGCAGCTGTACGTGCGCGACGTGTTGAGCAGCATCGACCGCCCGGCGAAGGAGCTGAAGGGCTTCGAGAAGGTGCACCTGGCGCCCGGCGAGTCGAAGACGGTGAAGTTCACGCTGGACCGCCGCGCCTTCGCGTACTACGACGTGGCGCGCAAGGACTGGGTGGTGGAGGAGGGCGACTTCGAGCTGCTGTTCGGGTCGTCGTCCCGCGACGTGCGCGGCGCTGTGCACGTGAAGGTGTCCCCTGCTGTCCCCCCGCCGCCGCGTCACTTCAACAAGAACTCCATGATCGGCGACGTGTGCTCCTACCCGCCCACCGCCTCCATGGCAAAGAAGCTGTGCCGCGACTTCACGGGATCGCCGATGCAGCCCAGCTTCATCCACATGTTCCAGGAGATGGAGCGCATGCTGCCCATCCGCTCCAAGGTTGCTTTCTCGGCCGGCAGCTTCACCTTCGACGACGTGGAGGCGTTGGTTGAAGAGGCTAACCGGCTGTCGAACTCTAAGTAAGTTGATGGTGCGTCGCGTGAGCAGTGTCCTCCGGCACACCAAGCACCCCGCGTCACACGCGTATGGCGTGCGAAACGGCGCGTGCGCGACAATAAGTCCTTGGCCGTCGCAGCACGCTACCGTCAGCGCACGCACACACAAAAAGATTATATATATATATATGTGTGTGTGTGTGTATGTGTGTTTGTTCATAGTTTTCTTACGCCCCGCAAAAAAGAAAGACGCCAAGTGGACAATAACATCAATTCTACCAACAAAACGAACTGTAAAAAGTGATTTAACGGAGCCGATTTGATGCGTTGCCGCTCTCGTTATTTGCTTCTTCTTCTTTTATCATTAATTCAAGTTTTCCCCGGTAACTCCGAGGGCACACTGATCACGTCGAACCACAACGTTCTACTATGTCGCTCGTGTCGCTTTGCGGACAGTGATGCCCTCTGCACCTTTTAGGTGCTTCGTTTACTTCTGTTTCTTTCTTTCTGGTACGCGCATTTCCAGTTTGTACCGCATCCTGCTTCCTGCCTGCGTCCCAGCAGTGGAGGATCAAGCGAGTGCGCTTAACAAAACTGTCCACGTTTCTCTTCCTCACCTCTGAATGCGCGGTTGCTGGCAGCACGGTGCAGCACTCTCAGAGCTCTGTGGGAGTGGTGGACGGAGACGGCGAATGATGCGGTGCGTGCCCATCGACTCCTCGACCGTTTTATTATTACCCCATTCTATTTTCACGATATCTCTTCGACATAAAGTCCTTTGTTTTTTCTTGAGAGCATTCGATATATATAACCCGTCATTGGCCGAGGTCATGGACCTTTGTAAACGTGTTGCCACGCTGAACGAATTGGTGTAGAGACGTTTTTCTTCCTTTTCGCTCCTTCAGTATTGTTTCTTGTTTCCTTCTGTGCACGCCATCCATGACAAGCAGCCGGATCCTTCCAGCAGCGTGCGGCTGGAGCGCGCAGCGTCGCTGCATGGAAGAGCCGAGCAGTATGCTGAGAGACAACGCCGGACGTGCGCGCTGAAGAGAAGAAGTGTGGCAGACGACCAAGCAATAAAGCAAATAACGAAAGACAACGCGACGAACAGAAAAGACTCCTCGGATGGCGCGTACGCGTGCTGTGCCACTGCGGCGTTGTAGGACGCAAGCCCGCGCACCACGCTGTCCACCACGCGTCACTCATGTGCTCCCCGTCTCTCCGTTGGAGCTCGACTGCCCATACCGTTTGCCTCCGTTGTTGTTGTTGTTGTTGTCACACAGCCTCCTTGCTACTTTTTTCTCCTCCGTTCTTGTTTTCTCTCTTTTCCGTGCCCACACGCACCCACACGCGCACACGCCCCTCGCAAGTCTGTGTTAACCCTTTAATTCTCTCTTTTCATCATCTCACCCATCCCTACCAAACTCAAAAAAACAAAAACAGAACACAAAACTACTTCTTTTGGCCACTTAAACCCATCACAAAACACAGCGTCAGAGCCATGTCGCACAAGCACATCGACATCGACAAGGTGATGTCGGAGCTGACGCTGGAGGAGAAGATCAGCCTCGTCGGCGGCAAGGACTTCTGGTGCACGCGCGACATCCCGCGCCTGGGCGTTCCCTCGGCGATGATGTGCGACGGTCCCACCGGGCTGCGCAAGAGTCTGAACATGGACCAGGTGGACTCGGGGAGCGTGCCCGCCACGTGCTTCCCCACTGCCGTCGTGCTGGCGTCGACGTGGAACCGTGCCATGGTGGAGAAGGTCGGCAAGGCGATCGGCAAGGAGTGCCGTGCGGAGAACGTGTCGCTGCTGCTGGCGCCCGGCAACAACATCAAGCGGTCGCCGCTGTGCGGACGCAACTTCGAGTACTACTCCGAGGATCCGTACGCTGCGGGCCAGCTTGCCGGCGCCTACGTGAAGGGCGTGCAGAGCGAGGGTGTCGGCACGTCGCTGAAGCACTACTGCGCGAACAACCAGGAGACCAACCGCTTCTCGGTCAACGAGCAGATCGACGAGCGCACGCTGCGCGAGATCTACCTCGCCGCGTTCGAGAGCATCGTGAAGGAGGCGCAGCCGTGGAGCATCATGGCGTGCTACAACCGCGTGAACAACGAGTACGTTGTGTCGAGTCGCCACATGCTCACGGACGTGCTGCGCGGCGAGTTCGGCTTCAAGGGCTTCGTCGTGTCCGACTGGGGCGCCGTCGACGACCGCGCCAACGCGCTGCACGCGGGCATGGACCTGGAGATGCCCAGTACGTACGGTGTGACCGACGCGCAGCTGAAGAAGCGGGCTGGCGAGGGCAAGCTGGACCTGGAGCAGCTGGACGTGTGCGCGCGCCGCATCCTGGAGTTCGTGAACCGCGCCGCGGAGACGCTGTCGAGGGGCGCGCCGAAGTGGGACGTCGACGCGCACCACGGCCTCGCGCGCGAGGCGGCCGCGGAGGGCATCGTGCTGCTGAAGAACGAGCACGCCGTGCTGCCGCTGCACGCGTCGAAGAAGATCGCCGTGATCGGCGAGTTTGCGGAGAAGCCGCGCTACCAGGGCGGTGGCAGCTCGTTCGTGAACGCGACCAAGGCGTCGGGTGCGCTGGAGGAGCTGAAGAAGCTTGTGCCAACGCTGCAGTACGCGGCCGGCTACGCGACGGGTGCGACGAAGCACGACGAGGCGCTGCGGGCGAAGGCGGTGGAGGTGGCTGCGGGCTGCGACGCGGCGGTGGTGTTCATCGGCCTGTCGGATGCGGACGAGTCGGAGGGCTTCGATCGCGCGCACATGCGCCTGCCGGAGCACCACAACGCACTGGTGGAGGCTGTGGCGGCGGCGAACAAGCACACGGTGGTGGTGCTGACCAACGCGTCCGCGGTGGAGATGCCGTGGGCGAGCAAGGTGCAGGCGATTGTGGAGGCGTACCTGCCCGGCCAGGCCGGCGGTCTCGCGGTGGCGGACGTGCTGATGGGCAAGGTGAACCCCAGCGGCAAGCTGTCGGAGTCGTTCCCGAAGCGCTTGGAGGACACGTCGGCGTACCTGAGCTTCCCGGGCACAGTGACGACGACGACGTACAGCGATGGCGTCTACGTGGGCTACCGGTGCTACGATAAGCGCCGCATGGATGTGCTGTTCCCCTTCGGCCACGGTCTGAGCTACACCACGTTCGAGTACAGCGCGCCGCGCGTGGCGAAGGCTGCGTACGTGGACAACGAGGCCGTGCATGCGGAGGTGACGGTGACGAACACGGGCAAGATGGCCGGCTCGGAGGTGGTGCAGCTGTACGTGCGCGACGTGTTGAGCAGCATCGACCGCCCGGCGAAGGAGCTGAAGGGCTTCGAGAAGGTGCACCTGGCGCCCGGCGAGTCGAAGACGGTGAAGTTCACGCTGGACCGCCGCGCCTTCGCGTACTACGACGTGGCGCGCAAGGACTGGGTGGTGGAGGAGGGCGACTTCGAGCTGCTGTTCGGGTCGTCGTCCCGCGACGTGCGCGGCTGTGCAATTTTTTTTTTGAAGTCCACGAGCTCTCCTCTACCTCCGATTTTCACTAGAAACACACTGATTGGAGATATTTGTTCTTATCCGCCCACCGCCTCCATGTCGAAGAAGTTGCGCCGAGATTTTTCTGGCACTTCAATGAGCCCAGTGTTTTTGCATATGTTCCGAACGATGGAGTCTTCCTTTCCTATCAGAATGAAGGTAACGCTCGCTCAAGGCGAAATTGATTGGGAAGATGTTGATGAGTTTCTGGAAGAATGCAAGGAGCTTGCTGATCTGCAGGTGGACACTTCAAGCTTGCTGTGACCCGTCTTATCGTTGAACCGATCGCTTTTTTTTCTGTTGGCCGTCGCCTCACCTCTTGTTTTTAGTTCATTTGAAAGTGAACTTATCATATTTCTTGTTTTTAAAGCGTCGTTTGGTTGGCTTTGTACGTGTTCTGCACGGACATGCATTTCATCTGTTTCCTAATCTCACCGTAGCTCCTATTGGTAGGAGTGGGGGAAAGGAGCTGTTGTATTCGCATGGCATCCGCGATGGAGCTTACTCTACGAACATCTTGCTGTTGTGGTGGTTTTTTGCAATAACTTTGGTCCCGTTTGTGAGCAGTAATTTTACACGTGTTTGTGTGTTGTTGTTTTTTTCCTTTTGTAAAGACGGTGTCCTGTTCTTCCGTGGTGGTGAAGCGTTGCACAGCTGCTCATCTGTTTGCTGTAATCTTCTCTGCACGCCGATTACGTCGATCCTTTCCTGTTTCCTTCTTTCTTTCTATGTGATGCCTGTTTTATTATTATTACTTTTTTTAAAGTTTGCAGATTGTTAGAGTTTTTAAACGTGCAGGATGGAAGACAGTTCTCTTCTGATGCGCATTTGGCGTGGCCAAGACAACACCGAAGTGGTATTGGAACGTTGAACTATTTGTTTTTCAAACCAATAGTGCAAGTTTCTTCCAGTAGAGACGGGAAAGAGGAACTTTCATTTGTCGGTTTCTGTGTTGAAGGTTTTTTTTTTTCCAAATGCTTTACCACAGATACCGCAACGCTCGTCTCACCGGGAGTCTTCGTTTGTTCTCTTTTGTTGTCGTCGTTGGTACCCCTGCTTGCTGCATCCGCTAAAATGATTGAGTAGTCTATTATACGTAGAATCACAACAATTAACGGCGAGTTGTGATTCGAACCTATTTTCGTCGGTGCTCCCTGCAGAAAGGGCAGGAAAGACAGCACGGACTGTGTTGAAGTGTCTTTCAAAAAAGGGATAAGGTAAGTGAATGCGTTCTAATTGGTAAAAGGGGGGGGGGAGAGGACTACAAAAAGTATTCTCGCTTTGCTATGAATGTTCAAGACCGGAGCAAGGTCAATCCTCGCAGCGCGATTCGGCCTCACTCGGAGAACTCCATCGTTTGTTTTGTTTCCCCAAGCATATATGTTAGTGTTACTGTCTTCATTGCGGCTGATGAGAGTCGAAACACAAACAATTGAATACTTGTGTTTTGTCAAGATCTGTTTTGTACGTTTTCTGCTTTTTTCCCCGGATGTTCTTTGACTTGCGCTTGCTCATATATGTAGATATTTGCTTTTAATTTTTCCATTCTTTGCTCAATGCATGATAGAAACCAAAAAAAAACTCGTGTGACCATGTCTGTGTGCGTGTGTGCGTTGCGGAATACAACTCTCTTTTTCACCTTTTTTGCTGTTGTTGCTGCTGTTTTATTGTCAACGCATTGCTTTAAGACATCTACAATTGTTCCGTGCTTGATCATCTGTTTACTGCTTCTCTTCGTTTTTTTTTTTGTAAATCGCAAGTTCTTTTCCTGATAGCGACTGCCTTCTTTTCTGTTCTTCTCCCTTCTCACAGTCATTTTTTTCTGCTTGTTCGATTGGTTTCCTCCTACTTCTTCGTTTTGTCGTAAAACACCATTCTCTGCTATTGCGACCACGCAAAACAGTTGTTTCGTTTCATTAAAAACACTTTTCCGTCTTTTCCGTTTTCTAACGTGTTGCGTCCTCCAAGCGTAGCTCACACACACACGCCAAAAAAGGCATCGATAGGTGTTCATCTTCGCCTTACCATTATTTCTTGTTAATGTCGAGCCTTGATGTGGCTAGTTCTTCGCCTACGAAACTGTAGAATCCTGACAGGCGAACAAAGAAGGTCAGGGGCTCCAAAAGATGATGCTCTTTTGATTGCCCTCTCCCTCCCCCCCCCCCCGTTCCGAAGTCCACCATCGTTTTCAAAGCACACACACACAAAAAAGATGCAAAGTAATCAGAGTGAGCTCTTTGTTTTTCCCGCCGGAACGCAAACTGCGTTTTGTGGTGTTGTATGTTACACAGAGCACCAATCAAGCTGCTTTCACTGCGGATCAACGCCGATATCGTTGTGGGGGGTGAGCTCCACACCCGTGAACCACATTTACTTCACCGCAAAAAAAAGGAAAGAAAAGATAAAATACCGTAAGTGAATCTACGAAGCTCCTTTCTTTTGAAAGCTTCTTTGCCTTCATACACGGCCATGCTGCGCCCAGAGGCCTATTCAGTTGCCTCGCCCGAAAACGTGTTCCATTACGGTCTGGAAAGAAGCGATTCGCACTTAAATACGGCCCGTGTTCTTTCCTCACCAGTGTAGTTGCAGTGTATTCGGCTACGTATGTGTGCTGAGAAAGCCCCTACAACGACGTACACGCATGCGACTTCACTTCTTCTCCCTCCCTCCCCCTATTTGGATTCTTTTTTTCTTTCAAATTACAGGTGCCATGTGAGGTCATTTTGTGTGTGTACGCGAATATTTCTACTGTTTTTTTTTCTTTTGGAGTTTCTTACTCACCATCACATTGACTCTATCAGCGCGACGGAGACTCCGAAGAAACGAAAAACATGGCGTCCACCGCCACATACATCGCTGAATGGTTTCGCCAGCGTCTGTCATCCGCTGTCACTTTCCAGAAACAGTTCGTGGATGATGTGACGGAGAAAGTGAAGGAGCAAAAGGCCCAATTTGATCGCCACACCCGCGAGGCCAACGAACGCGCTATTCAACTGCACCTCGATCACCTCGAAGAAAAATACCTCTGCTGCGTCTGCGGCCGCGGCGGCGAGGTGCGCGAAGATGACGAGTATGTGTACGACACGTACTCCATGGTTGAGCTGCCCCCACGCGTGACGCTAGAGGCTGCAGTGAGGGAAGAGCTCGCTGACGCGGAGATGACTGATGAGCGCGTTAAGCAGCATCAGCGCGAACTCGCCGTGCGCCAGCGACACGGCGGCCAGGTCACGGGTGTGCAGCCTGCTGCGCAGATGCACTACAGCGACGAGGACGTGGGCGTTGACGGTGACAACTCTTCTTTTGTCTCCTCCTCCTCAGGAGGGTCGCAGATCTCTTCAAACAACGAGCGAAAGATGCGGCACAGAAGGAGAAAGGGGAAAGATTGCGGGCAGCACCATAGCGGCGACGCACCTCGCACCGGCCGTCGAGGCCCCGCACGCGACGCACCGAGTCGCCGGCAACACGGGGAAGCGGGCGACGACGGCAGCGGCGGCGGTGCGAACGAGAGCGTTCCCGCGTCGCCTACAACTTCGACCAGCCCCATCGCCACGTCGGCCCGCAAAGGACGGCGACCGACGGACCCCAGAGAGAATCGCCCCGGCGAACTGGCGGTCATGGACCCTGACATGGTGGGTCCACTTGAGGTGCGCAACACCCTGTACAAAATCCGTCACGCCGTCCTGCATAAGGAGGCTCGAACGCGTCGAATGTCCGTCGCGGTGCACAAGGATAAAGGTTTAATGAAAATTGAAGAATCCGAGATTGACATGTTCTCGCACTTTTTTCAGCGTCCCGTACACGGATATCTCTGCAGCGCGTGCTACACTTGCGCTCGGCGCCGGCTCGACACGCTGACGCAGCAAATCCGCGGGATCCTGTTCAAGGCGCAGAATCCCCTCCTGCGTCGTGTGCCGTCGAAAGAGATCGAGGCCCTTACGTCGAGCAATCAGGTCCCTCTTGTTCTAGTGGACAGCATTCTCACCGTGCAGCGACGCTGGGCGAACATGTCAGAGGAAGAGCGTATGCTACTCCGAGGCGCGGAAGTGGTCGGCGCGGCAACACAAACCCCTGCGGCTGCGCTCGCCGGTGAGGAGCGCACAAGCTGGAACGCACAAATTAATGGTGAAACGGTGCTGATGGGCTCCTTGTCCGAGAAGTGCGTTCGTCTTCTTCGCGAGGAAGCCAAGTGCGGCGCGTGTCAGCGACGCGCCGCCTGCTTCTTCGAGCAGCGGTCCATCGTGTTTCTCTGTCAGTTCTGCACGGCGCGCGACCGCTTTTACCGCGAAAATGCCGTGTGCATCAACGACGAGGCGATGCCGTTGCACCTGGTACACATGCTGCAGGATTTCGCCGCGTACTACCAGGCGCTGCATCAGCAGAAGGAGCTGCGAGGTGCCCCGCAGTCTGCGATTGACCAGGCGCAAACCGACTTGTTCCCCCTCACAGAAGTGATGCGGGAGCGGGAGGGTCTTTTTGCCTGCCTGGCGCCGGCAGCGGCGCAGAAGCGATCCGGGGCGGGAGAGGTGGAAGCGGCTTACTCGGCCGCCGACGCGCAGAGCACGGCGGCCCGTGCGGCGGAGGTGCCAGTAGCTGCGCCGTCGACGTTCGCGGCCGTAAATCGGGTAGGCAACACCGCGAGGGTCTCGCTCAGTGAGCAGCGCGAGCGGGTTGGTCGTACCATGGTGACCCTCTTCGACGGTGTCAAGATCGAAAGCACTGGAATTAATCTCTTTGCTGACGCGGAGGCTGCGAAGACGGCAGCGCCTGTTTCTCCTGCGGCATCGATCGCCGTCGTCGCTCCCCCAGCTTCGATGCCAGAGGACACTGGCACGACCGACCTGTTCGACTTCTTCGCGCCGAACGCTGCGTCGGCGGCTTCGAACACGCCTGCGCCGCTCATCGACTCGGCAGAGGGACGAAGAAACGGTTCTGCAGCCATGAACTGGACATCTGGTGCTCCTGTTGGGCAGACCCAATCTTTCACACCGCCACCCAATGGGATTGGAACTTCCAACACGCCAAACCCTGATTGGGAAGGTCTTTTTTAAATGTGTTGTTGTGAAGAAAAACAACAGAAACTCAATCGAACGGTTGATCTGTAAAGAGCTCGTTCATTTTGTTTCCTCGAGTGGATGATCCTTCTTTCTTTTTAGATAGAGCGCTCTCTCTCTCTTTAGCCAAACCAGGTTCGTTCAACCTTTTGGGTGGTGAGCTGCGCTGGCGCTTTTTTTAGCGTTTACAGCCCCTCTTGTGTGTGCATGTGAGCCTTCGCGCCAAATCCAGCGCTTTGTTTTAAATTTGTTTGTTGTGAGACTGGTCTTCAAAATGAATTCGTTTTGTTCTTGTTTCCCCCCGCTTTTTTTTTCTTTTGAACGCCTGCTTGTTTTTCACAGGACGCATGGTGTGACAAGGGTATCTCTTTCCGTGATGCGATGGTTCTTGTTATTCACCCACTTTTGCAAACTGATCTCGCCGCAGCAGTATCAAGAAAGCGAGGCGCCACTCTTGTCTCTTGAGGGGCCTTTTCTCTTTGTCTCCCCGCGACGGTCGCTTATCACATTACTACACGCACTTTTTCTTTTGATGCGCAACTATATCTCCAACATCAGTGCGACCTTTTTCTATTGTTGTTGCTTCCTCTATCTTGTTTTCACCACTTGCTGTCGAACGTTTGCTTTACCGTCTCCGATCTCTTTCTGCCTCTAAAATCGCATCTAAAATATCAAGCGGCACAGAACGAGAAATAATAAAAAGAGGAAACAATGCTCTTTGAACGCTCTTGGCGTTTTCTTTGTTTTCGCATTCTGCGATGCAGTGGAGGAAACGAGATGCATTAATTGCTTCTCTTACTATGCCGCAGCATTAACGTCGACCACAACACAACAAATTCCAAATAAAATACGGGGTTTTCCATGAAAGCGCGTTGAGCCAAGTGCAGGCAAATTAAGTGATAGGCGTCGGAGTTTCAGAAAGCAATTTTTTCCCCCTCGTCGTTACCATAAGTTCATTAGACCTTTCTTTTCCTCTTATCTGCTTCCTTCTTTCTCTTCTGCCCCTTTCTCGGTGTGACCTCTCCCCCCCCCCCCCTCTCTCTCTCTTTCTCTAGCGCGTTGCACTACGCACAAAACACCTTTCAAGTGGAATACCAAATTCACGTCATCTCTCCTGAACGTCATCTTAAAAAGAAAAGGAAAACGAGAGAGACAGTCTTCCTTGTCCCCCCCCCCTTCCCCTGCCGGATTGAGAGGGAGATACGTACTTGTGCCATTTTTCTTCTTACTTGAACCCTCTGCTGACATTCTTATTTTTTTTTCTGTGTCGATTGTTTCTGGAATTTGTGTGTGTGTGCGTTTTTCCTTTTATTCGGTTCCGTTACTCTCTCTCTCTCTCTCTCCCTCTCTCTCTACCAGTGTACGTTGCGCTATCACGCTGCCATAATTTGGGTTTCGCTCGTGGTGGGAGAGAGAGTGTGATCCTGTTCGCCACCCGGTGCCAAAAAGCCCCTTTAAAAAAAATCCGTTATCTCTTTGTTTATATTTGTTTGTTTTAGCGTCCTCATCGTTATCGAGCTACGTGCACCACCAACCCTTTGCGTGATACTAGTGGGTTTTGATGTGTGACGAATGTCGCCGCAGCACCCATGCGTTGTTAACTTGCTGCTTTTGCCTTTTCAAACACTCTATGGCGTTTTCTGCGTCACTCTGCGTTCACGCCATGTGCACCCGTGCAGACCAGCAGTAGAGCGGAGGATACTGCGTGTGCTACTCACCCTATTGGCAGCCCTGCTGCTGGCAGCTGAATGGGATGATAGCTTTATTTGCCGAGCAGAGAGGGTGCCTCGTCAATGCGCACCACACGGCTTTTTTCTTCGCGAGTTTGAGCCTTCGTTGTTACGCGGCGTCTACGCGTTGTCTGTGCCACGCAGGACAGAGGTGGACGACGCGGCAACATCGGACCTCAACACTACCGCTACCACAACGAGTTTCGACACGGAAGAGAGAAAACTAGTTGAAGGCAAGCCCGTGGTACCTCATGACGCCGCACACGGCATCGCTTCACACGCAGAAGATTGGGCTCATTATAGGAAAGCGAATAGACGACGACAGTTGCAGCAACTCCCTGCACGCACCGGTGTGTCGGACGTATGTTCGTTTATTGATGAATCCGCGGCACAAGCTGACCGTAATGTGACGGGTCCTCTGTGCGCAAGTGAGGTGGCCAAGCCGGGCCGCAGCCAATGTCGTGGGAGGCGCCGGCGTCTGTCTCCTTCATCTTCCAACTCTCTCGTCTCCTTTGGTGCAACAAGTAGCAACGCGTGTGTTGTCAGTCGACGTAGACCTCGCCGTGGGCGTTCTGCGCAGCTATCAAAACTCCCCAGGACTGGCACAGCGGAGAGCGGCATCGGCAGCACCGTCTCACAGTTGCAACGACGCTCAGGTGTGCACGTTTCGGACTCGTCGTCTGTTGCATCCGCGCTTTCGTCGTCATCTACTGTTGCCGGCAGTGATGCAGACAGCCGCGGCGGTGACGGGGGAAACAGCAGCAACTCTCCTGTTATTTTGCTGGTCGAGCCATCTGGCGCCATCGGCTTCGGCGCGACCCTGACCTCGCTTCGCATCTTTGGCGTGTTTGATGTTTTTCTCAGCGCCATCTACGTGGACGGCGTGCGCCTCAGCGGTGACGACGTGGCAATGGAGTCACCGTATGCGATCCGTCTGGCGTACATCCCCGCCTCTCCGTTGCAGTCCACGACTGCGTTGCTCTGGTTCAACGGTGCGGAAACGTACAACGCAACTGCAGATCAAGACTGCGATGATTTCGCGGCTAGGCCGGTTAGCATCACGTTGATGTACACGCACAGCACCGATGACGACGAGAACACTGAGGCGAGTCGCAGCGCTGATAACAACCTTGTGTACAACAGAACGGTTTTATTAGACGGTAAAGACGGACGGCCGTTGCTCATGCGCTACTGCACGTACACACCGCTGCTCCTGTCATTGTCGACGTGTGTGCGCGTGATGGAGCCGTGGGCACTTCACGCTCGCGTTGGTGCCAACGATGCTAGCAGCGCGGACCCGCTTCACAATTCGATTAACGCGACGCAGCGACTATCTTTGATAATGCACCCACAGCATCAGCGGATTGCCGGTCACCCACAACAAGATGGAGAGGCGCACATCCGACGCTTCAGCCTGCAGAGTGGGTCGTTTACGTTCTCTGATGTGGACATGGATTTGGGGCTTCCGCACACCTCGCATAGCGTTTTCACGGGTCATGCGCCATGGTGGCTTACCTATGGCATGCAGGCGGCAAGCCACGTAGCGCCAAAGGATTTCATGTTCTCCAATGTGTCGTTGTTGTGGGCAGTCGGCGAGATCACCGGCGACTTGACAACCGGGACAGTCGTCCGCTCGCTGGATGTGCCGCAGGAGGCGTACGGGCTGTATCTTGTGCTGCCCTCTCTCATGCTGGTGGCGCACACAGTCACCTTGCCGGCTGTCTTCGGCGTGGCCCCTGGCAAGGGCGTGCGGTTCTGGAATCAAGTGTGGATGGTATCGACGACGTATTACGACCTGAAGATCAGTGGTGCCTTCCCGCGTTCCACGCTTTTCGTGAATGAAGACACGGCGGTATTCTTGCGCCAGCTGCAGTTTCCTGAGCTGCGCGACGGCGACACGTACGCGTACGTCCACACCGCGGTGGAAAAGTGCACGGTGGGCGGCGCAGGCGATGGTGACACCCTTCATTGCCGTGTCGCGGTAGAGAGCGACGTGTACGACGCCAGCGACGGCGGAACCGTGGCGTCGGCCGCGCTGATGGACGCATGTGGCGGTGGTGTGGTGGTGGACCTCTGTCTTGCGCATGGCACCACGTCAGATGACGCCGCCGAAGCAGTAGTGAGTGGGAACTTTAGCGGCGTCTCCCCTGTCAACGGATTCCCGCTGTCCGTGGCCGCCAATAGCGTACTGCGCTTGGCATCCCTCCTGGAAGCCGTTCCGTCAGCTGGACAGTTCTTGCGCGACGCGGCCGCTGCTGGGGCGACCTCCTCTTCTCACGATGCTGCTGACGCGCGTTTGGCTGAGGCGGCGCCAACGGCGCGTGCGGAGGATTGGGTGGTGATGCGGTTTTCGTTCCTTTACCAGAACAGGCGGAGCGGCTCGTACCAGGTGCACTGCGACGGCAGCGTGGAAGACATGTATGTGAGTATCCGACCGTACGATGATCCCTTCACCCCCGTCCATGCTCACTGCATTCAGCCACTCGCCGACAACTCAACGTCTGTTTTCCGCCACTCCGTGATCGACACCGTGTTTGATTCGGAGAACGTCTTGTACATCAACGCCAGCTGCACCTTTCGTCTTGCCACCTTGCTGGACGCAAATGCTACGTCCGCGGCGTTCTGTGGTGTGTCTCTGGAAGGCATCGACGTTGATTTTGAGCTCGTGGGCGGCGCTCCACTATCCTCGCACGCCGTCTACGAGGTGCGCATTCCGTTGGACGGCGCAGCAAGCAGCTCCTCGGGTGTACCTGGGGCGCCGTCTGTCGCGTATCAAGCGACGCTGTCCGTGGACGGGGAAGCCGCGCCGATAGCCGTTGTGGACTTGCCTTCTCTTTCCTCTCCAGCAGACTGCTACGGGCTGCCGTGGAAAATCGTCGAAGGTGTGGCGGCGCACCCGGAGTCTGCGCTTTACGGGCAGCGGTGGGGCGGACTGGGTTACGCACATTACACCTTTATCATTTCTGCAAGCAGCGGGGCTCGTTACTGCCACACCTTTATCGCCTTTCACCTGACCCCTGACCACGCTTCATCCTGCGGGCAAATGAAGCTGAACGTCACGGATGTGCGAACGGGGGCCGTGGATGATGTTGTGCTGACGCAGCGCGTGTTCTGCGGCTCCCGTTCGTACTTTATGGACCCAATTTCAGCCCTTCAGCTACGTGTGCCGTTGATTGAGGTGCCACGGCTCGTGGACTTGAATGCGCTGGTCCCTGACACGGAAACGGGCTACATGGTCTACCAGTATTGCGTTGACGTGCTCTTTTACCTAGATGACGCCGATGGCGCCGCCGGCGCCTACGCGCAAAATGGTCCGTTGATTTTCACCCTGCTTGACACCGTGGACACACCAAGCAGTTTTGTGCCGTGGGTGCGGCAAGCAGTCCCTGATCCGACCACCTCGCTGGTGCTGGGTGACACGCTGTTCTTCACCGGCGGCGCCCTGCGTTACTACGACAGCACCGGTGCGCACCCCCTCACCGGCACCCGCTTCGCTGTCCAACTTGCCGCGGTGGATGTGGAGCCGTGTGGGGATTTCTATCTTGTTGCGCCGTCTGGCTTCTTTCCGGAGCTGCCGGCGCGATGGATCAACGAGACCACCATTGCACTGCCCATCACCGCAGACGTGCCGGGTGGGTGGTTTAACCTCACCATGACGCAGGGCGAGGCGGGCGAGGTGTATGTGTATTGCGGACTCTCTTTTCGCGTGAGCGGGTCCATCACGTCAGTCACCACCGCGGACGTCGCTGGGCCGGCAGGTGGGACAAAGGTGCACATTCGCGGCGTGAACCTTCCCATGGCACCGCCCGGCACCAACGTTTCACTGACGCTGGGTTACACGAGAGGTAATGCGCAGCTGCGCGCGCGCCGGTGCACCATCACCTTTGCCCTTAGCACGGCGATAACGTGCACGACGCCGCGGATGTCCGCCGACGTGATTGCGCAGCTGGCGCTCTTCACCGAGGAGAGCGAGTACGCCTACACCTATTGGCTGCCGGTAAACTTGACGTCGTACTTCTACAACGGCACGAGTGGAGCGTGGGAGGTGTTCCAGAGCATCAACGTAGACACCGTCGGCGACGGCGCGGAGCTGCTGTCTGTGAAATTTCGCGTGAGCAAGGCGACGGTGACGGACGTGTGGCCGCTTGATGTGTCGCGCATGGAAGGAAACCCAACGTTTCACATCCGCGGCACCGGGATCGAGTCGCACTCGGTGCTCCTGTGTGACGTAGCCACCATCGGCACCGCAAGTACGCCAGAAGAGACGAGCTGTATTCTGTGTCTGCCTCGCTCCTTCTCGGCGGTGGGGCTGGTGTGCGACGCGCTGTGGCCCTTGAACGAGCGCGCGTACCGGGTCTACGTGTCTGAAATCGCTCTCGAGGGCGACACCGGCTTTACTGTTCAGACCCACCTATCCGTATCGTCTGCGCAGCCCGATTTTATCTACCCCTACGCGGCAGGCGTCGAGTTGACGCTCAAAGGGACGTGGTTTGCATCGGCGGTGACAACGGACATGCTGCTGGTGGCAAAGGCGAACGGGGGAGCGGAGCAGCGGCAGTATCACGCCCCTTTTACATTCTTCACAAACACCTCCATTAGTGCGCTGGCGCCGGATTTGAGCTGGATGGCAGAGAGGGGAGGAACGCTCTCCTTGCACGTCGTGTATGGGGTGGACCAAAAGGACCTGGCTGCCGTGTGCACGCGGTGCGCTATCAAAGTAGTCTCTGAGGCGATGATGCCGTCCATCGACTCCATCGATCCTTTTTCGGGACAAGCGCCGATGCTCATCCGCGTCTACGGCTCAGGGTTCACTCAGCTCGTGCACTCTCCCAAGAATCCTTTGGCCGTTGCGCGAAGCAGTTTCGTAACGGGCGCCGGAACACCGTTGGGGGCCGTGAGGGCGGAGGAGGAGGGAGAGGAAGAGCAAAAAGAAACGTACATCAAAATCGGCGCGGACCCGTGCTGGATTGTAGATATGCTGAACACGCTCATCGTGTGTTTTTTGGCCGAGCCGTGTTCAAACCTGGACCCCGACAGCACTGTGCGTCTTGTTTCGCGGACCTTCGGCAGCACCGGTAGCACCGCTGCCGGGACGTCGTCGAAGCTGTTCTTCTACTGCACCATGAGTCTCATCGACATCTCACACAACGTGGGGTCCATCGCGGGCGGCCAAGAACTCATCATCACTGGTTTGGGATTTCCCACCAAAGCAGCTCAGCTCTCCGTCACCGTGGCAGGCGCACCCTGTATCGTTCTGAATGTCACGAAAACCGCCATCACGTGTCTCACTTCTGCCTCTCCGAGTGGTCGCGGGTCTACCGGCGTTGTCGTGGTGAACAGCCGCGCGAACGGACGAGACAGCAGCTGCTGCTCCTACACATACGATCCCGACATCACCCCGACCCTCACATCGGTGTCACCGACGGTAGCCGCACCTGGGGCGCGGTTGCTGCTTTTCGGCACCAACTTCCCTTTCAACGACGCCCTGCCGTACCGTACGTCAAACGCGAGCGCGTCGGCAGGAAAGATGTCAGTCATCTTCGGATATCAAATGCTGGAAGTGACCGACATACAGAGCTCGACGCGGGCGTCGATGACCATTCCCAGCGACTTATTCGGCCGCGACTACCTTTCCGTCCACGTCCCTCAAATCGGCAACTCCGCCAAGTATCTTGCACGGATGTTTACCGTCTTGATGACGCCATCCATGATAGTGCCCAGCGTCGGCGGCTTCCGTGGGCGGACACCTGTGCGATTCATTGGCAAGGCAGTGAGCGCGAATCAATCGGCGATTAAGACGAGGGCGCTGCTCGACGTCTTCGTGTGCGGCCGTCGGTGCATCATTCTGGACGCCAGCGAGGCGGGCGAGGTGCGGTGTTTGACCCCCGAGTACATGGACGAAGAATTTGTTGCGCAGTACCGCGCGTCCTTGTCGTTCCCAGAGGTGACAAGCGGATTCAAGCTGTACGTGTCGAGCAGGTCGACAGTGGAAACGGCGACCGGGATAGAGACGGCGTCGCCCTCGGCGACGACAGGCTGGGTCGACGTCACAACCTTTCTCGCCGTCGGCGCGGCCGACTCATACGTCGGCTTCACCCCCAACGTGATTTCTTTCATCCGCATTGCGTCGCCGGAGGTGTCGATTTTGCTCGAGGCGCGTCTGCACTCTCGGCTGCTTCTCTACAACGTGATGCTGTTTTTGGTCCCGTCCACGCCCGGCATCGGTCAGCTCGACCTCTCCAACGCGATCTGCCGCCTGCACCTGTCCACCGCGGAGGCGGAGACCTTTGACCTGTTCTCCGCCGCCGCCGATCCCGCGAACGCATCCACGTGGCAGGAGAACAGCAGCGGTGAGAGCTCTTACTTCACGTGGCCTTCGCTGCAGGTCGGGGCTAACTCGCTCAACTTTAACGCCCTTGGCACGCTGCCCACCGCCGGCTACGTCCGCATCACGTGCGAGGGCTTGCCGGTGAGCGCGCTGGAGTTGCACAACCTCACCGTGAACGGGTACCAGGTAGGGCCGGATGCCACTGGCGGGCGGTGCCCGGTGAACATCGTCGCACATCACCGTCGCGATCAGCCTGGCTTGAGTTCCTGTTCGAGTCGCACCGGGGAGTCGTGTCCGCTCTTCTACTACCAAGCGTCGCTCACGCCGGTGGTGACACGCTACGAACCGGCCTACGCGTTGGCCAGCAACGTCGGTGCGCGCATCACCTTGCACGGAACCGGCTTTGGCGACGACTTGAGTGCGGTGCACACCGTCCTCCTCGATAAGGCCCTGTGCACGCCGGTGTCAGTGACGGACGGGGAGTTGGTGTGTGCGATGGAAGGACGCGTATCGCGCGACGCGGAGTGGCAGGTGCTGTGGACAAACGAAAGCGGCAGGGGCGAAGCCATGCTGCTCAGCGCACAGCCCTTCTACGCAGCAGTCGCGTGGTCTTCCTACTTGGCGTGGCGAGGCGAGGGGCTCCCCAAGGAAGGTCAGATCGTGGTCATTCCCCGCTCCAACACTATTCTTCTCGACACAACGCCCCCCGCGCTGACGGGGATGCTGCTGTACGGCGTCCTCATCATCTCCGACGAGTTGGACATCGAGCTGCGCCTCGGGCTTCTTACCATCTCAGAGACCGGTGCCCTCATCGCCGGTAGCGCGGAGCGCCCGCACACGCACTCATTCACCATCACGCTCTCCACCAACGTCTTCCAAGAGTCGCCGCTGTTCTACATCGACGACATTCACTCTATCTCGCACCAGAAAGAGCCGTACCTGGATAAGACGCTAGAGGTGCTGGGGGGAACGCTGCAGCTGCACGGAGTGCCGCCCACTATTGCCACGGCGCGTCTGGCCGTCAGTGCCAGTGCCGGCGACGTCGTCGTCACGGTGGACCGATGGGTGCCGTGGAGCGTCGGCGACACTGTCGCGCTAGTCACGAAGGGCGACCCCAACCCCCACCACGTGGAGAAGCGTGTCATCGCGCAGAGGACGGCCAACGCCACCCATACCGTCCTACGCTTCTCGAGCGACGCACCGCTAGCAAACAGGCATATTGGGAAAGACGAAATGCTCAGCCGCTGGCAGGGCAGCGGAAGCAGCGGTACAGCTGGTCGGGCGGGAGAAGGCTGGAGCGCAGAGGAGTACGCGTCGGCGGTAGGCACTGACGTCGTGTACCTCACTCGAACCATCTGCATCCGCGGTGACGCTATAAGCGCCGTCTCCGCCGTTGGCGGCGCTCTTTGGCTGATCAACACTACCACTTCGCAGCTGTCGCACGTGGAAATGTACCGCACCGGAAAACGCGGCAGCACGCAGACCTACAGTGTGTGGCTGCAGGGGATCCGCTACCCGGCTGACTGGGTCGTCTTCAACGACGTCGTCATCTATGATGCGTACTACCGGGGCGTTGTGCTACAGGAGACTCGGCACGTTGTGTTATACCAGGTCACAGTTCTCTACGCGGACGGCTTTGCAGTTTCGTCGATCGGGGCGAGCGACGAGAGCGCCACCGTGCAGAACAGCTTCTTTGTCGGGCTATACGGAGGCAGTGGCGGCGCCGACACTGTGCCCGCTGGTCTTTTCACCTCCTCTGCAGACGTGGCGCTGCGCAGCTCGGAAATATGCGTGTGCGACGGTCACGGCGTTTGGTTTGCACTACGCTTTATTTTTCTGTCGACCGGTGGACGCACCTGCCCTGGGCAGCGCGCGCTGGCCGCCATCGAAGAAAACCGCATCCACCACACGGGTGGGCACGGGCTCGTCGTGTACCCTCTTCAATTTAACACTGGCGACCGATGTCTTCTCGGCGCGGACGGCGCCGCGTCAAATGATCCAGCCAGCGTGAACAAGGCAGAAATGTTGGCGTCTGTCGAGTACACGCCGGGTATGCTACCCGCCGGTACGCTGCAGAGGCAAGTCATCTTCTCCTGTGGACTCTATGGTGTCTACTTACCTCCCTCTAGCGGATACGTGCTCGACGACATCGTCATCATGGACTGCGCGCTCGCGTCAATCTTTGTCGACTACGCAACGAACATGACGGTGATGCGCGACACGTCATTCTTGGCGACGCTGCCAGACGGAACCTGCTCGGCGCGCAGCGAGACGGATGAAGGCGGCGCCGCAGAGTGCCGTCTGGCACAGCGCACCGGTCTTCACGCGCAGCACGGCGGACACCTCTCGCTTTCCTCCCTCGCTCTGGGCGATTTTGGGGGCGGGAGCGCGCTGCGCCTCGCCACCCTCAGCGCGCCGTCGTCCCAGGCAACCACCTATCCCAGAGGAAGCTTTGCCGCGTTGCGCAGTGCCCATCTGACTGTTCTCTTCTTCAACCTCAGTGTGGTGGATGGTGTGGACTTGAAGATGATGCTGGCGGGTGATGTCGCCTTGGTCGACACTGACGGGCAAGTGAGCCATTCGAACGTGACTTCTTTCTTTTTCTTTGGCGGTGCAACAGTGCGTGTGATGCCGCCCAACTGCGTCGTGTTCTCCGCCGCAGAAGACGGCATCGACGGCGCCGTCCACAGTGCGGCGCGCCCCGACTCGGCTGATACGCATGCAGGAGCAGGTGAAGCGTCGACAGCACCAACGACATTGTCGGCCATGATCGGCAGCGGTATTCTTGTCGAAGAGTCGCCAAACCCGTCTTTGTCGCGGGTGCACGGTCACGACAAGACAGTTGCTGGGATGAGTGGTGGAGTGGTGGTCACGCTGCGTAGTTCGGGAGGCAACGACAACAACGGCAGAGCCGAAGAAGACAAGCAAAGGCCTCGGCGGGACAGCTTCTCTCGCATGGTCGGCAACGGCGTCTTCAACGAAAAATTTCGCGCTCCGCCAAAGCTAACGGTGTGCGTCGCGCCCTCCAAGCGGCTCTCGCTTCTTTTCGTTAACGTTTCTGGCGTCGACGCATCCGCAGAGCCCTCAAAAGCCGTTCGGTGTACAACGGCGACAGCTGAGTTGCGCGAAGGTGACAACACGAGGTTTTTAATCGACGCATACATGAGTCAGCTCTCTTTCCGCTCCAACTCAACGAAGGCCAGCGCAGTCGCCTTTTACACTCTGACAGAGGACGATGGAGCGACGCAGAGTGACGCGGCGTCTGGAGTGCACGCGGTGTGGCACAGTGCCGTGGAAAGCACAAACACCACATGGGGGAAAGCGGGCTACTACACACTTGAGTCTAGTACGAACCTCACCCTGGCATTTCGCACCGCAGCTGGTGGGCAATGTTACCCCTCTGCGCTGTCTATCAGCGTCGATCCATCCTTGACGTGGCCGACGGCGGCGCTTATGGTGCAGGTGCGGGTGTTGCCGTCTGCCTCGTACTTTGAGCGTCAGGCTTTTTTGAACTCTTCGTGCTCTCCCTCCCCACTGGTAGGCTGTATTACGTGGGCAAACGCCTCGATCGTCGACACTGTGTCAATCACAGACAAGAAGGACGTATCGTCGGCGCCGGACCTCGTCGCGGTGGTCCGCACCACGTCGTCCAGCTCCCTTCCGCCCCCCGCATTCCCCGCCACATTCACCGCGTTGATGAGTCTGGTGCATCACCCTCTCTGCTTGAACTCAGCAGCTTCTGCCACGGGCAGCGCCGCGGCCAAGACCGCTCGTGGACCGTGGGACGCCTCTCCGTCTCTCTGGGCCGCCGTCGATGTCACGTCATACGGCAGCAACGACGACGGGGAAGGCGTTGGCTACAGCGGACCGTACTTCCCACAGATGCGCCCACTGGTGACCTCCAACTCAACAACAGCAGCTGACGAGTCTGACGCGTCTTCTCTTTTTGTGTCCTGGTACTCGGCCGCGGCGTGGGCAGACGGTGTGGCGCCGTGGAACGTGAACTTCAGTGGCACGGCGAGTGCGGCGGCGGAGAGCGCGTGGCACCACGATGCCTACGTCATCCCTTTTGGCACACGCGTTAACCTCACTTTGGCCGAGGCGGCGCAGGTGGACGGGGTACTTGTAGTGGTCGGAGAGCTCTTCATTGCACCCGCAGCAGCAGCAACAACAACATCTAGAGCACGTGCCAGCGCCGCGGACACCTCCAGCTCCGCCGCACGTGATTCGTGTCTCCGCCTGAGCATCACCACGCTCATTGTTCTCGGAAAGCTCAACGTGTCCGTCGTGGACACGAGCGGGCCGCGGGTGTGCTTGGTGTTCGGTGCGGGGAGTGCGTCCCCCAAACCGTACCGTCTAGACGCCAACACGCTCGTCTACCCGGGCACTTTGTACGCCGCTGGGGAGGTGGCCGTGATGGGTGCGACGGCCGCGCCGACGGTGTGGCGAACCACTGCAATGGTGCGTCGCAACACCACGGCGTTCCCGACCTGCACGAGCATTGCAAATCTCCTGCAGCTGCAGGACTGGTGCGAGCTGCACGCACGATGGGCCGTTGGCGCCTACATCTATCACAACGCATCAGCCGAGGAGTTGGCGGAGAATTACGTGGACGACGTGGTGGCCGAGCTGCATGTGGCCACGGAGCAGTGTCTCGCTACAGTGCGGGACTTCTTGCCCTCGTGGATGCAGTGGACGCCGAATCCGGTCATTGCTGACGCTCCAGCGGAACTGCTTGTCAGCTGGCGGCGTCGCGATCGCGTTGGCTTGACAAGTGGCAGCTCCTCCTTAAACGAAGCGGAGGAAGGGACCTTCGCGCAGGACGTCAACGGCTCGTACGTTCGCTCGCGGATCAGCGGTGCTGACATCAAGGCAGTGGCCAACGTCACCACCGTCAGCGTAGACAACGGCGCCGTGTTGTCAGACTGGACGTGGTCGCACGGTCGTGAGTACAGTCGTGACGAAACAAGTCGCTTGCCGGGCTACGGCGTCAACAGTGAGGTGGTGAGTCTGACGAAAACGGTTGAGTTGGACTGCGCGGTGCCACGCCGCATTCGAGGCCGCGGCTGCATGATTCTCATCACACGCCAACGGCATCCGCATCTTCTCTTTGAGCCGCCGCGTTTCCGTGCCAGCGGGGTGAGTGTGCGCCACTTTGGCAAAGGTGGCCAACTGCGCGGTGGTGTGGCCGCTGTAGAAGGCGTGGAGCCGCTCACGTTTCTGCCTGCGATGTACGTCAACATCACCGCTGTCCCTGGAGAGCGTGTGACGAACCAAACCGTCATGGACACGCTCGGGTACGCGATGTTGTCCGGCAGCGTGATTGAAAGAAGCTACGGCACGGCGCTTTACACGGACCGGCGAAACACGCACCTGTTCATGGTGGATTCCGCGGTTTGGTACAGCGAGGGCGGCGGCGTACGCTTGGATGGCGGAGGCACAGGAATATACATGGAAAGCGTAGTGGTCGCTGGCACACGCTACGCTCGCGTTGCTGTCTCGAGCGATGCGGGGGATGAGCTGCCTCGGTGGAGAGAGAGGCCCGACAACCACGATGCGGCGCTGATGTTGACGGACACGGAAGTAACATCCATGTGCAGCGTTTTGTTGAACCACTCCCACACCTACTATCCTTTGCAGCTAACCTCGAGTTTTTTACAGGAGAGGGTGTTGGACACCACCGTCGTCATGGCTGCTTCCGGCGTCTTCATCAAAAACGTCGTTGCGGGCGGGTCGGAGAGCGAGGGCTTCTGTTTGCCGTGGGCCGGTAGTGGTGGCCCCGTTTTTATTGAGAGCAACGCGGCGCACAGCTCGCACGTAGGACTCTTTCTCTTCTGTGCGCCGCCGGCGGCGGGGACCGAGTTGTACGAGGCATTTTTCCCGTGGAGCTGGAGCGGGGGCAGGGATGGCAGACAGGAGCTTCCGATGGGTAAGGGAACACCCTACACGACAAGCGGTCTCGCAAGCGCGACCACGCGCAACACCGACGCAGACACGACGGCATCGAAAGGCTGGCTGACGGATGTCCATCTGCAAAACGTGACCGACTTTGCGCAATGGGTCATCTACGACAACCGTTACATCGGCGTGTACAGCAGCGGTCACCAGAACGTGTCCGTTGTCCACTCCGACATCTTTTCCAACCCCATCGGCGTCGCCCTCGCAGTCCACCCGATGGAGTTGTCTGGTAGCAGCCAAGTGCGCAACTCGTACGTGGCTACCTTCCCTCGATGCAGCTGCACGGCGGCCATGTACGGCCTCACCACATTCGACCGCAGCGACGAAGACAACGCCTCCTGGCACGTGTGCCAGCCCAGTGCCTACATGGAGCCGGCGTGGACACCAAAAGGCTGCGGTGCCGTCACCTTTATCGATGACAGCTACCACTACACCGCTGTACTTGTCTTGCCGTCGTACGCTTACGTCCCGCTGTCGTACAGCCGCGACACTGTCTTCACTGCCCCTGACGGTGGTGTGCTTGAGAGTAGCACCGAGGGAACGCTTCTCTTCGACGAGGTCCTGTTCGGCGCTGTGGGTGAGCTGAATCTGTGTGATAGTACCGTTTGCGAAGCGACGGTCATGCACGGTACCGGCAACGTGCTGCGCAGCGCCGCCGTCATGGGTACCACAGGGGAAAGCCTGCGAAGCAGTGCCTCGTTGTCGAGTATTGAAGCGTCTCGCATCGAGTACGCCCCGTCGTGCGCGCAGGCTCTTGTGCATTCACCAATCCTGTCAGCAAAACGACCGATGGCGTCCAACAGAAACATGGACCACCACGATAACGATGACATCAGTAGCCGCTCGGTTGCGAACACTCTTCTCAGCGTCTACCGCCCTCTCTCTGGCACGACGGCCTCGGTGTTGCGGCTGCGGCCGACCACCACTGCCGCTGACAACCCGTCCTCCGCCGCGGCTGCAGCGACGTTAGCGGATCTCGCACAACACATTCGCGACTACTGCGCCAACGGTAACCTGTGCGACGCGTCGGACAGTGCTACGGTGGCGACGCTGCAGGAGGCGTACGCGAGCCCCTATGTCATGACGGCGGTGTACGATGCAGACGCGACGCTCTTTAACGGCCTGGGCCCGAAGCAGATTTACGTTCCGCTTGGGGCAACGCTGGGGTCGCCGTTCTCGCAGCTGCTCGCGTCGCGCTGTGTCCTCTCCACCCTGGCGGAGGGCAACCTCTTTGCGTGCGACTTCGACGAAATGTTCTATCAGGTTCGCCTTCGCAGCGTTGATGATCGGGTAAGCAAAGGTGCCGCCGTACCGTTCCTCTTCACGCGGACGTCGCTCTCCGTCGCGGACACCACCGCAACCGGCCTAACGGATGCGGCAGACGAGAGCGGAGATGGAACCACGAACTCGGTCGCCGTTCTTCAGCCCTTTGGGCACCGCAGCAGCGGCAGCAGCAACGCGAGTGCGCTTTCCACCATCAACGACGCTACGTTCTTCTCTTCCGCCTCTCAGCTTGCCATGCAGGTGCCATTGGGCATTGTGACTGTCAACATAAACCCGTTGTCCTACCCCGAAGCATTGGAGCTACACACTACGGCCTGCCCCACCCCGTCGCGCATCGCGAACGTGTCCAGCTTGCTGAAGATTCGCCTCATGGACGAGAGTGTGACGGTGCATGTCTGGTTGGTGCGCACACGCGCCATGCTGGAGAACGTGCACCTTGTCGAGAGCACGGCCACCATGTACAGTAGCACAGTTTCTGCGGCACACGAGATGGAAGAGTACGTATCGGTGGATCGGCCGCAGTGGGTTGAGCAGACGACGGTATCCGACGAATACACGCTGTGGGCGAGGAACACCATGCAGAGCCACGACAACGGTGTCACCGTGTCGTCGCTCCTCTTTCGCCTTTCCTGCGGCGAGCGTCTGCGCATCCATCAGCTGGTGTACGCCACCCTGGTGCTGTACACCACGGGCAACGCAGACGCTGTGGCTCAGCATATGCTGCGCTACGGCACGACGTTGACCGTGCGGCAGCTTCTGCCGCCGCAACGCTATCCAGACGTAGACACCGACTACTACGCGGGTCGTGTTAGCATTTCGTTCTTCTCCTTGGCGCCGGATGCCATCACGGGTGAGGGGATGATGCTGACGATCAGGGCAGTGGCGACCGACAGTTTTGACTACAACGTCACCGCCGCCACCCTTCTCGTGACCGAGTTCTCGAATTTGTTCTCGGCTGCGTACAGCCGCCCAGTCCGCAGCGGTGAGTCGGAGGCAGTGGGTGTGCAGGATGGTGCACACAACAGTCTCCGCAGCAATGGACTGCCCAACAGAGATGCAAACACGCCATTCGGTCCACTGGTCAACCTCCTCGACATCGCCGGGGTGTTGTTTCGAGTCCTGGTGGTGATGCCGCCGCAGCTGCCCAGTGAGCGGGATGCGCTGCAGGCAGTCCTCTCGAAGGTCAACATTATGAAACGGGGTCAGGTGGCGGAAGGGCCCCTCACCACGCTCACAACCGTCGTGTCGGTGGTATTTGTGCTAGCGGCGGTGTTCGCCATTGTGCTGTACGCGCTACCCATGTTGCAGCACCGCAAGGCGCCAACGGCAGACGCGCGGCGGCGGGCGGCGTCGACGATGGACGTCTCCGCGGCGACGTTGGTGGTAGAGCGTGCACCGTCCAACGGAGCCGTCTGCGCTACCGCGGTGGTTGTTTGGGTGGCCGGTGCGCTGCGCACCACGTTGGGTGCCACCCTCGACAAGGCCGGCGTCACGCGAAGCGCGGCCGAAACGATGCAAGCACTTCACGGCACCGATTCGAGCATACGCACGTTGAGCAAAGAACTAGGCACCCACCACCACATCCGCAAACGCGTGGACAAGCAGAGCAAAGACGCAGCACCGGCGAAGGTGGTGCGACAGCTCTTCCTTCTTCCCAGCTACAACGTCCTCTCTGGTACATCGATCTGCGGCCCTGCGGCGGCACCCATCTCGGCGTTCATAACGCACGCACGCAGTGAACGACCCGTTGCCCGTTTTTCCGACCCTCAACGCAGCCAGGAAGCCGACCGGCAACGGTACGTGGACGAGTGGCGTCTCGGCACGCGTGCCATGTCGTTTCTGGTGCAGCGCGGAACCAGCATGAATAGTGGTGGAACTGCAGGTGGCGGTCTGTCCAATTCGACAATGTACGGCGGAGCAACGGCATCGACCTCCTCCTATGCCACCCGCGTCCCTGCAGGGCGCGATGGCGGGCGCTCCTCTGGTGCTGCTACTGGCGGCGATTTCGTCAGCCCTGTTCTGAGCAGCGTCCTAAGCACAAACGCCTCTTGCCGCTCTGCGCAGCAGCAGCAGCAGCAGCCGTGGCTTCGCAGCGCATTTGAGAGAGCAGCAACGCCGGCGTTTTCATTGTTGTCGTCGAGAGCGTTGTCACCCTCGCCAGCCTCCGCGGACGCCGCGATGACCACCCTCGAGCGCGTCATTCCGGTTGGCATGCCACCCGACTCCGTACCAAGGTTCAGCACCCCTCTCGGTGTTCCGAAAGACCTCAGCGCAAAGGATGGCGGCTTCCAGCCGTTTTCAACGGGCAGCGACAGCACCATCACCATTGCACCTACCTTCACTGGTCTTCCACCGCTGCCCCCGGTGTCCTCCGACCCCATCGGAGCCGCTGCTGCGTCAGCCAGAGCAACGCCGCTGTTGACGGTAAGTGCAGCCAGTCCAAGCCCCACCGACACCGCAGCGGTGTCGCCACACATGCCGGGCGTCACGCCCGTCGCGATCCAATCGATCCTCACCACCTCCATCCTTGCCGGTGCCACCTCCCTTGCTTATCCGTCTCGTTTACTGCACATCATCGGCACCGCACCGGATGTTCCGTTGAGCGCGGTGGGAAGCGGCGTTGTCGCTGGCGACGGGAGGCCCGAGGAGTCGGTCGTCGCTGCGACCACATCGACCCTTGGAATTTTTCCAGGAGCCGCGTCAGACGATGTGCCGCTCGTGCTGCGTGGGCGAGGCAACATCATGTTCACCACGCCGGACACAGACGTGGAGGCAACGAGGGCGTTGCGTGGTGTAGGAAGCGTCACGCTACCCCTCAATTCGCGGATTGTCGGAGAAGAAAATGGTTTGGCGTTTGATTCGGAAGACTAACCAACGTGTCGGTGCCGATCCTTTTGCTGCGTTGTTGCTGTTTGCTCTTTGGGCACTGTGTTTCGAGAGCCTTTATCTGTTGTCGCTGACGATGTAAGTATGAAAACGGCGTCGTGGTGGGCGTGTGGTTCAATTCAAAGAAAACCCTGTGAGGAAAAAAACAGAAATGAGAGGGAGCACAACAACACGCAAGCAGTAAAAGGCGACGTTTATCGCGGCAACTATGAAGAGGACGGAATTATGCTGAACGTGCCGGATACTTCTCTGATTGTTTGATTGTTTTTAACTGATTCAACTTCTCCATCACAGCGACTTGGGTGACTGTAGTTGCTCCTCGCTTCACGTGTTTAGTAAACAAAAAAACTCTCTCTCCTATTTTTCACTCTTCTCTTTTCCTTTATCAACACTCACTCCAACGCCGCTGCATCCGCTAGAAATCAACGTGCGAGAAATACAAAAACTCGTGATTAGTTCTGTCTCTTTACCTTCATGTGTTGTTACGTGACCGTTGTTACTTGTGCTCCGTTTTTGCGCTGCGCCAACGCTGCTCTCCGTGGAAACCCGAAAGTGAAGCGTCTTGCTTCCAAGTGTTGACGAGTTATTTTGACTTCCATCTACGTTCCGTCAAGCAATAACAACACAACAAAAAACACTTCCTTTCTGAAATGTCGCACAACGAAAGTGCAGCATCGGCCCTTCCGCAAAGCGGTGTGAAGAAGCTCCGCTTTGATGACGCGGCGACGGAGACACCTTCGGCTTCTGATGGCGGTGTCACGAGCGGGCGATCTGCCCGAAAGAGCTCTCCCACCATTAGTTCTGTATCCCCCTTCGCTTCCTCCCTGCGCCGCCCATCTGAGGCACCGAGCAGCCACAGCGACGCGCACGTGCAGCTGAACCCGAACCCGGAAGTGATCCAGCACGACGGCAGCGTCACGACGCTAGCTGCTTCCATCGCTCACGCTGATGCCCACCCACTTCCCGCCGTGGAGGAGCCCGCGGGAGAGGTAGCGAACTTCCTTGCCGACGTCGGGGCTGGCTTGAGCGTCAACAATGGCGCCAGCTCCAACAGCATCAGCGCCGCCTCCGGGCCAACTGTGTCGGGTGGCTCCTTCAACGTGTCCTCCACCGCGGTTGGGGGCGGCAACGGGAGCTGGACCGCCGACAGCACCGCTCGCTCCGCCACGCCAGACGCGAGCGTGCGCTTTCGCACACTGCTGCTGCAGCTTTCCGCTCTCATCCTCGAGCACCGCCCTAAAGACCCGGAACAGTACATTGTTGACCACCTCAACGCCTGTTTGCTCTCCGCCAGCGTCATCAGCCGTGCTCCACTAAACGAGTTGGACGCGGGACAGAAGTCGAAAGCCGGAGGCGACGCCTCGCTCGCAGAGGGCCACGCTAGCCGCGGTGCGGAGTTGTCCCTGCAAGGCCCTCCCTCTACTGCGGAGACGGCCGCCGCCTTCCAGCCTTTTGGTGACACGGTGGTGGAGCGGCTGGCCAGCAACGTGCTGTCGACCAAGGTTGGCCATTCCGTCCTCTTGAGTGTGGCGGAGCTGCTCATCAGCACGCAACCAGACGATCCGGAAGATTTCTTGTGGTCGCGCTTGGAGGCGCGCAGCTTCGGAGAGGAGGCGTCGCACAACATCACGATGAACGCGGATGGCTTCCCTGTGGTGCGGCCGGAAGACCCCGCCCAGCTGGCGCTGCTCAAGGATATCCCCGCGTCTTCGCCTGGGTACGTCATTGCGGTCAATTTGCTTCCGGTGCTCTTCGCCAAGAAGCCTGCCGATCCGATCAGCTACCTCTTTTACCACGTAGCCAACCGTGCCCGCTCGAGCGCAGTGCCATCCGCCCACTCCTCCACCCGCCACCTGCGCGTGAATGCCGACGAGGAAGACGACTTTGAGGTGGAAAGCTGCACCTCGCGCGAGTTCGGCGAAGACAGCTACTCCGGTGCCGAGGACGTCGTCGAAACCGGCAGCGTAAGCGAGTCCGCCAACCAACTCCCTCTCCAGCGCAAGGGCTCCCTCGGCAGCTTATTTGATGCGGCAGCGGCGGCTTCCGGCACGATCGCTGTGGCCGGGCAGTCATTGCGCCGCTCCACGGGTGACCGCGGCCTCGGCGGGCGGCACCGGCAGTCACACGGCAGGACAAACTCGCGCGGCAGCAGCGTACGTCGCAGCACCGCGCCCACCGCGGGCTCGTCTCGCGCCTTGAAAGACTCCTCTAACCCCCCGTCGGTGCCTGACGAGCTCTCCGCACTCTTCAGCAGCGCCACGAAACGAGTCAGCATCGCCCAGCAGGAGGTGCAGCTGCCGTCGCCGTCTCACTTCTCGTACGACAGCAGCGCCCTCCCGGGCAACAACGCGGCCAGCAACGGTACCGGAGGTGCCTCGATCACCAACAGCGGAGCAGCGGCACCGACCCGCTCAAGCCGCGATACCGGCGCTACCGCCGAGCCACAGGTCTGCGTGGGAACGCAGTACCCTCCCGCGTCAGCCCCTGCGCATCCGGCGAATGGCACGCTGCGGAAGGTGGAAGCCGAAGAGCACGCGCGCATTCGGCAGGAGTTTGATCTTTTGCGCCTGCGAGAGGAATTGCGCCTGGAGAGACTGCAGTACGAGGTGCGCACGCTGACCCGAGAATGTGAGTACCGCACGCGGATGGCGATGCTCAACAAGACGGACCGCATGGCGGACCGCGCCGCCGCTGCCTCCCGGGAAGCTCTGGAAGAGGCGCACACCTATCGCGGGTTTTTGTGTGCGCAGATTGACCAGCTGGACGGCGAGCAGCAGCGGCAGCTCCGCACCGTTTCACAGCACATTGGCCGGATGGCGTTCCCTGTGCAGGTGGCTGCCTCCGCGCTTCCGTCGCCTTCGTTTTCCACGTTGCTCGGCGAGGACGCCGCTTTCCGACAGGCGGAGCAGCAGCACGTCTGTGGATCCACTTCGACGTACAGCGTCCCGAGTGAGCTGGACATCCTTAAGAAACAAGTGGAACTGCTAACGATGGAGCAGGCCCGAGCGAAACACCACGACTGCGTCTCGGCAGCATTCAACCCCTACGCATCCACGCAGCAGAACAGATACCGTCCAGCTGCAATACCCGGTGCGCAAACAAGCGCCCGACCACCGTACTCGGTGCAGTGAAGAGGGCAGCCAGATACTGTTTGAAAGGCCTTTTTTTTTGTGACTGAAGCGCAGTCTCATGCCGATTCATTGGCATTTTGCATACGAATTGCAGCGGCACCTTGAGCACGCTCATGTTCTTTACCACTGCTTCCGCAATAGGCACGTGTACGTTTTCTTGAAGGTTTTTGTAGTGAAATTTCCTCAGTAATCTGTTGCGCGGGCGTTTGGTTGGCAATTGCCTTGTGCTGCAACGGATGTGGCCGCTGTATCTTGTCGAAAGCTTTTCATCTTCTCAAACCTGCAAAGTAATCGCTTTCCTTGCGCGACGCTTGCTTGCTTCTGTTCTCTTATTTTTTTCTTTCTTGTTTCTCGTAGTAGCTGTTTTGTTGTCAGGTTTGTCTTCTCTTGTACTCTCTCTTCCCTCTCTCTCTCACTGATTTACGACCCTTTGTTTGTGCAACGGTAAATATTGTTTTACACGTACGCTCGAGTAAGCATATATGCGTTTCTTTTCTTGTTGTTTTACGTTGATCTTTGTTGTTGGTTGGCCGGTTTGGTGGTTGTCGCGCACGCGCTGCGGTTCTGGCGGAAAACGCAGCGCAAAACCCCTTTTTCCTCGCTTTCCTTTTTCTTTTGTTTTCCCCCGTTCACCCGCGATTTATGGATAGCATTGAAAACGAACACATGGTATTATACTCAATGGCAAAAAATACATTAATAATAATAGCGACGTTCAGAATGATAAGCTCTCTGTGTGTGCAAAACTGTGCCACTGCGATCGTTGCCGCGCCCGCTTCGTTTTTTGTTTTGCTTTCGCTGGACTCCACAGGCGTCAACGGAGGTCGAAGACTCATGAAAGCAACGCCAACCCTTCATGTGAATTGTCCTTGCATCCCTGGCTTTCCTGGTTCCGCTTCGTTTCTCTTCTGTTTTACACGTGCCCTCTTTCGCAGGTGTACCACTTTTCTTTTTTTGTTTGTTTGTTTTTTGCTGTCTGTATCTCGCTTTCTCTATCACGATATAAGAGGGGGGGAAAAGGCAGCATTCGGACATCCCATCATTTCATTACTCTGGTTGCGCGGTGAACGTTCATCTCTCCATCACGCGATACCATCATCGCCATGAAGCTTTACGGACTCTTGATCCTGAAGCCGTTTCCGCAAGGTGTCGAGAAGGACCCCGTCATCTGCTCTAGTGCTATCGATGTCAGCTCCTTCGGTTTCTTCCAGCGCAGCTCCGCCCGTGAGTTTATCATCTTTCTGTCCCGCACTGTCGCGAAGCGCGTTGCACTTGGGGCAAAGACACAAATCACAGAAAACGGTAACGTCGTGTACGCCTACTCAACGCTGGACGGCCTTGTCGCGATTGCGGTGAGTGACATCGAGTACAACGCTCGCGTAGCCTTCACCCTTCTAACGGAGTTGGTGCCGCAGTTCCAGCAAACATTCCGTGGGAAGTATGACTCGGTCGAGGGCAAGGCAGACGAGTTCTTACCGTGGCCCCGGCTGAACGAAACTCTTATTAAATACCAAAAACCCGAGGAGGTCGACAAGATTCTGCGCATCAAGCGCGACATCGAGGACACGAAGGTCATCATGTACAACGCAATCGATCAGATTATCGAGCGTGGACAGAAGATCGACGATCTTGTAGCGCAGAGTGAGGATTTAGGTATGGCGAGCAAAACATTTTATTCGCAAGCGAAGCAGACGAATTCGGGTTGCTGCTCCGTCATGTAGATCTCAAAGTCTCTCTTCTCTTTTCTTATGTTTGCCCAACAAACAAAGAAAAAAGAAACTTCAGTGGACGTACATGGAAGGTCGAGAAAGCAAAGGAATCTGTCTTTCTTTCCATCTACAACCCTTATAATTTGCCCGATATCAATGAGGAATGTTGACAGAGTGAAATGCAACGTCGTTCCACTTGCGTCGCGCGTGGCGGCTGCGTTGACTTCGCACACACATTTAAGACATGTTTCTCCCGGTTGGTCTTGCAACGGTTACGCCTCCGTCGGCACCTGCTTGCGTTCTTTCTTTCTTTTGCTTTTTGATACTTTCAGTGGACGTGCGTATGTATGCGTACAACGCTACTGTTGTTGAAGTTTATATAGTCATTTACCAAGCTGTTTGGTTGTGCTTTCGGGAAGAACTGTTCTTTTCGGACGCGTATTTTCACTTCTTATAAACAATTCTTTGTCCTCTTTTTTTTTATCAACGCAGCAACGAGCAAAAAAAAAAATGATATCAATAGCACGTCTTGGCAACGATGGAAATCGTGGTGCCCTGGGTGATCAACCAGCATTGGGTTTCACATGGAGAACGAGCTGTTTGAACGCAAAATGTATGTTGTTGCAACTTAACAATCTTGAAGCACAGCCTTGCAACTTTGGTTTTAACTGAAGTATTGATGTGGCTTCGGGCTGCTTCCCCTCCCAAGCTGTCTACGCGCTTCAAACGCCCATGTCTCACTTGACGGCTTTCGCGTCTTCTCTTGTCTCTTCTGGTTTATGGCCCTCATGCGCACAAACACCAATAAAAAACACCATCATGAAGCCTACCTCGCGGCAATAGAAAGGAGAAAGGAACACTTTTCCTTGGAAAAACAAAAGGACTTTTGTTCTCGCATGGCAGGTCGGTGTGATCCGCATGACGCGGCGAATTGGGGTGACGACAGCCCTAACAACTCGATCCTCTCCGGGGATGAGGAGGATGAATTTAATGAGGAGGACTGTGAAGAAAACGATGAAGGTGAAGAAGAGGAGGACGATGGGTCGACCTCGTATGAAAGTGGTGGTGGTTCAGTCCAGCAGAGCCAGCGAACGGATCCCGGTGATGGCAGTCGCAATGGCAGCGTCCAAGAAGCAGAAAGGGAAGAAGAAAATGACGATGGATTTGATGCCGAAGAGGAGAGAGGGGACTACGATGAAGAAGAGGAGACAGAGGGGGGAGACTCAGAGAGCGCTGGCAGCGTTAGTGGAGAGGAAGATGAACCACAAACGGACGCGAATAACTTCAACGCCAACCTCGCTGCTGCCTTCAGTTTTGGCTCCGCAGCAGCATCTTCGGCCTTCTCACAACCCCCTGCACTCACATCAACAGCCAAGGTGTTTGGGAACGTCGATCGAGCACCCCCTCCTGTTCCATTCGCGAACACGTCAGCAGTGCCATCTGCGTTTGCTCAGACGAGCCTGTGGCCCTCTGCAACCACCCATGGCAGCAGCTCCAGCGTGCCAGCGCAGAGTACCACCCCTTCATCGTTCGCTGCTGCAGCTCCTACGCCCTCCGCTGCGTCGCCGTCTCCCGTTCTAATTGACAGCGGCTGTGCTGAAAGCCACGCGGCCCCAGCCAAGAATGTAGAAGGGAGGAATCCTGTGCATCACCGCCGCGAGCAGACAACTTCCCCGACTCCTGCACATGCATCCGTGCCGTCGCAGGGGAAGTCTGCTGCAGCCATGTCTCTGCAGTTTGTGGATTTCAAGCGGTCTTTTGGTCAAAATTTGCGCCGCACCCGTTCGGCAGCGGAGGAGGCGTCAGAGGTGAAAGCGTCACTCGCGCGCTACGAACTCGTGGTGCCTACGGACAAGTTTGACGCCCAGATTGAAAAGGCTCTGTACAGCTGCTAAGCTTTTTCCTGTTGTTGTTGTTGCTCTACTTGGTTCACCGTCGCTCGCGTTTTCTTTACGTTTCACCTTGTGAACGGCCGTAATACTCCGCTCGCAAATTTGGCGGTCCTTTCCCCTTTGGCGGGGGCGCTGTACTCTTAAGCACAAAAATGCATCTGGTTCCTCTTTCTGTTTGCGTGCCGTACGTCTTCATCACAAACTCCTTTGCAACTGCAGTGCACAACCATTCCCGCTGGTAGAGAAATACACGACTCCGCCTACAGAAGAAAAAGAAGCGCATCAAATGCTTTTTTGTGTGTCTCTTGTTGCATCTCCGTGAGACCTCGTATGTTTCCTCCTTTCCGTTTTTCTTTTCTTTTCCTTCTTTTTTGTTTTTGTTTCGCTTTGCTTGACTAACCAAAGCGCATCAGCCCCTCGAAAACCAAGCACAAAAGAAACAACGAGATAGACGACGACGTCGCGGCGTGTGCGTTCCGCACCCCACCCAGTTCCAATACAGACCTCATCTTTTCCAGCACTCATCAACGTAGATTTTTTCTGTTTTTTTTTCCCCTGCTTCTGATACATATAATTGCTGGGTATATATATATATATATATATATATATATGTTTGTTTTTTTACGATCATTACTTTTTCTTTTGTTTGCCCTCGTTTTTACTAACGGTATTGTTGATCTCTTTATCCAATTTCGTGGTCTAGCTGTGCACAGTACAGGCAAATCATATTTTTCCTTCTCGCTCTCACGTTGTTTTCTGCGTTGCCGTTGCTGTTCTCTTCACTGGGGTGGACGGTCACCATCTATCTCGCAACCATATATGTATGCCGACATCAAGGGAAAGAAGTAGGAAACTGGCAGCTGCAGCTCCTCTCAGGACACTTTCGCAGGTGTTGTTGTCGTGTGCAACTTTATTGTTTCGTTTTTTGCCGTATTTCCCTTGTGCTGTCAAGCGTTGCTATTGGTTGAGTTCCTTCGTTTTCTGCTTGACAGCATCGCCGCGAGCCCAACATCTACGATAATGCCTACGGCGACTCCGTTTTTGCCGCCGTTGTCGCCTCGCTTCAACGGCATGGCGGCGCAGCCCGTCGACGATATCAAGCTACAATTTGCTATGGAAGAAGTTCGAAAGCGTTTTTCCACCGTCAGTACGTCGGAGATGCTCGAGGTGCTGCATCTTCTCCTCACCGACAAACGGATCCTGCAGTGCGAGGAGGCGAGCAACAGCGCGCGGCTGGACGGGAAAGCGCCGCAAGACGGAAATGCGGAGCTAAATGGAGTTCCTGAGCAGCACCGCAAAACCCCAAGGACGCTGGCCCAGCTGCAATCTAGCGCGAACTCGTCCGTCACGGCAAGTGAGTTGAGTCCGCGCGACTGGGGCTCCATGGTGCTGGAGAACAGCGAGGGGACGCTACACGGCTCGCTCCTGGTGTCGCGCTTAAATCGCGAGTGGAAGAGCACCATTACGCTCCTCCTCGACAACGCGCGGCAGTTCCGCCAACCGGACAACGAGAACCACACGGTGGCACAGCTGGTGCAGGCGTCGATCACGGAGTGGTTTATCCGCACCGGTGGGGCAGCATCCCATCCTCCAGAATTGCCGACCGACGTCCGCCGCGGCCGACCGGACGCGGAGGTGTGGCTGAGTACCATGGCCAAGGTTCGCCGCCTCGCGGAAGACGCCTGCTACCAAAAATACGAGCTACAATACACCCAGCTGCAAAAGGAGGCAGAAAACGACAACGAGGACGGCACCAGTGCGGCGGTGCACACACCGTACGACGACGACAGCGCCATGTCACCGCCGTCTGGTATGGCGCGACGCTCCACGCACCGCAGCACCACCGCAGCAGGGAACGTCGGCATTCCGCCGTTTTCGCTGGTGATTCAGTGCAGTGGACCGCCGAAGCGGGTGGCGGCGACTACGCCTGACGTCGCAGATGCGAAGGTGGACGGGCAGACGAACGCGGAAGAGGAAGTGGAGGCGAACGGAAGCACCACGTGTCTTGTGATTGGCTGTGAGTGGTTTCAGTGGGTTTTTCTAGTCCAGTGTCCGGTGGCGTGCCAGAGCGAGCCGTACCCGGTGCTCGGCGACAGCAGCACGGCGGCTGAGGCGACAGCGGCTCGACTGGCGCAGCGGCGGTGGCGGCGGCGACACTGCACGGTGCAACTGCTCTACCCGTCCGAGGCTGGCTTCTCAGCGTCACCTGACAGCGCGTCTGACCTGCGCTCTGCCGACGCCGAGTATGAGCTAAGCGAACCGCAGGTTGTGCTGTCGTCTCTGTTGGGCGTGGCGATGCGGGTTTGGTGTCAGAGCCAGCCGCACCTCGTGGCGGAGGTCTTTCAGCTGGAGGAGGACACCTATCCGCAGCATCTCTACGATGGAACATCGTTTTGGTCCATGTGGCCCATCCGCGACCTCAACACGTGGCAGCAGTGCGAAAGCGCCAGTTCAAGCGACTCCATGCCGATCCCGCTGCTGCCAGGAGAGTGCTTCGCCCACGACTCGGATCTCGACGAAGACGACGAGGATGAGGGCAGTGAGCACGCGGATTGAAGCAAGACAAACCCACTTATCCGTGCACTCGAAAGGTTTCTTCAATGCACAAGTTCGATTTTCATACTTCTGTACCTTCTTCATTCCTGCAGGTCATTCGCTCCACCATAAAGAAAAAAGGTTAATTCTGTTGCAGATCCACAATGCTGATCGCTTTGGGACTCTCTGCGCCGCTTCCGAGGACAGCAAAAAAAAGGCTTGTTTGATGCAACGCTTCTTACCACCTGGCATACTTGAGAACGGTCAGAAAACCTCGATCTCGCTTCTCCTCATGGACTAATGTCGGACCCTCCTCCCTCTTTTCTTTGCGGCTCCGTTCATCCTGTTCGACTTCGACCACTTATCACTCGCAAGAGGTTGGCGGGTGCCTTCGCCACGACACTGTGTGTGCTTTGCCGCTATCAAGGATAAAACCAAAGGAAGAGGGAGAAGAAGAATGTAAGCTGACAAGCACTCGTGGTTCGTACGGTGGACGCTGTGCACACTCGCAGGCCCACATTGGCTCCGCAACACTGTCGCTCATTTTATTCGCTGGTGTTGCTTCGTTACAATTCACTGTGGCTTTAAGAAGCCGACCGCCTTCCCCCGGAGGACGCGGCCGAGCTTCGGGTCAAATCAGACTCAATGGAAAACACACACGGGTTTATCACAGGAAAGACACCGGCAGCGCAGTGCTCATTCAACGAGAGTCACTATCGCGGGCATGTCAGCGCGCGACCGAAGGCGACAACCGGGCCGGCAGCGAAGAGCTCAGCCGGAATGTGTACAGCGGGTCGAGGTACCCAAACAAAGAAAAAAAACACACCGTCCCGGCATACAAGCGCAGGAGGGACAAGCATACCCTCCTTCCATCGGAGAGGTGTCCGGTGTGCCAGCAACCAGCCTTCGTGAGGGGCGCTGGAGGGGCTTAAAGAGAAGAAAAGCGAAGAGATGTGATGCCCGGAGAAAAGAAAACGGAAAACAAAACCCAAAGCGGCGCATGCACGGTCGCGGCCTGAACGATATGTTCCAAGCGAAAGCGGGGTGCAGCCAAGGAAATGGGGCACCCGCAGCTCCGCATGCCGGCGGCAAAAAACAGACGGTAAAAACAAGAAACCTCACCGCTGGATAGAAAACAAACAATAGAACGTAATCATTAACAATAGTGAAAATAGCGTCTTTGTGTGTAGTAATGAACAGAAATAGAGGAGCGGCATGCTCGCCATGGCAGGGGTGCAGGACCCCAAGAAGCACTGGAGATGCTCGCGGTACAGCGAAAAACAGGTTGTAAAATAGCTTGCTGAAGACAGATACGGTTAACGAAAACGAAGATAGAAAACGCAAAGATAGAATAGAAAAGACGGCGAAAACAATGTCAAGTAAAGGAAAACACTGCGCCAGAGGCTGCAGAAAGTACAGGAAAAAGAAAGGCGAAGAACAAAATAATCGTAAATGAAAAGGAATGAAAACAGAAAGAGAGTTGAAACGAAGGGTTGGGTGGGTGGGCTTTTAAAACTTTGACGGCTGCGGAATGCTTTTGGCGGGAAGGGCGAATGCTTCAGCAATCACGATACATGAGAGAAGAGATCGTGAGAATCAAAAGAGAAGCAAGAGAAGAAGTAAGAAGAGCAGTCACAATTGATCTTGAGCACGTGTCGGGGCGTTCCGACAGGATGGCAGAGGTGTTGTTTCGCGTGTTACAATTGGAACACATCGCGAAAGTGCATCCTGAAACAACCGGTGCTGTGCCAAACGCGCCCCGTGGGCTTCGGCTCTGCACACAAAACCCCCTCCGGACTTTTGGGGGTACGGGTTCGGTCCCTGGCCGCGGGGCTGGCGGCGTGTGGAAAGGTGGGGGGGGGGGCCGGCGGCCCAAAGGAATGGGAGGAACGCGGGGCCGAAAACGCAAAAAGACCACGCAACACAATTGAACGCGCCAGACCCCAGGCCGAAGCCGCAGCAGAGGGGAACGGCACCGGCTGCTGCAAAACCCATTTCCAAAGTACAAATCTACTGCGGAGTCGTCGGTTTTTACGGCTCGAAGACAAGGTGAGAAGAAGTTGACGTCGTTTTGCTACTCAAACGTTCAATGCGTTCAACTCGTCGTCGGCAAGCTTTTGTTTTTCGATTTATTCGCCGCACCCGTGTTCCGATTGCTTGCGCACGCCACAAAAGAGACCTTTTTGGACAAACTCATTCCCGTTGTTTCTTTTGCACCACTAAACAAAATGATAATAGTAATAAAACGAAGGGATCCTCAACGCTTCGCCTCTAATTCAGTAACATCATAACCACTTTTTTTTTTCTCGTTGTTCAAACGTGAGGCCGTGAAAAACAAAACACTATTTTGACGTTCAGTTACTCCACGATGTGCACTGCCGACATTGTATCTATCGACGAGCACGGCTTTTCGGGTTAGAACGGCACGTTTTCACCCGCCAAACCGCAGGTTGCTTGTGGATCCACAGTAACTTTTTCTCACAACTTCACCTCCTCATCTATTCCTCCTCCAGGATCGCAATTCTATTTGTTGCTATCCTCGCTGTTGGGTTGGTCTAAACTACCTTTTTGTTTTCTTGAAAGGTGTCGCTGCAAAAAGGAAGAACCGTAGTTGCAGTTTATGCTGGCCTTGGACTTTTTTGACACAAAGCTACCTAACTGCCGGAGATTCACATCCTTTAATTGAAATTAAGCATTCAGTGTGCATTATATTACCAACTGTTTTTCTTGTTTCTCTAAATTGGCTGTATCATATGGATACAGAAGGTAGGATTTCCACATATGGAGTCACCGTTTTCCGATTGGATGGATGTGGTCTCCGCCTACTCGGGAGATTCAAACCAGCTGTCCCCGCAGAGTTGCACTAGCAGATCTATCTTCGTAAGTGGCACTAGCATGGTGTTGAAACCGTCGGATGTGAGTCAGATGACGGGAGACGAGCGCCGCGTGTTTGAGTTCCCAGGACTAGACCAATCTTTTGATCGTTCGCGGAAAAACACAAGGAGATATCTGGATTCAGCTGATCTCTCTAGCGGGCCAAGACTTTCGCTCTCTCCATCTTGCTCACAGGGCCGGAAGCGCTCTGCGGCCTCAGATATCGAGACACAAAGCAGCCTAGGAAGATCTCCCCACAAACATACGACCTACTACAAAGAGTACTCGCAAAGCTTCTGCACGTGGGAAGTCTCTCAGAGTTTGCAGCTTCCTTCGGTCGTAGAGACATCACAGGTGGTGGTGCGCCAGAATGAGCTCTGTAAAACAATCAACGACTATCTCGTTCTTGGACTTCTTGGCAAAGGCTCTTACGGCAAAGTTAAGCTCGTCGAATCCATCACCACGGGCCAGAAGCTTGCCATGAAAATTCTTCCGGCTCCTAAAACAAAAGCAAGCGAAAAGCGCCGTACAGCAATTCAGCGTGAAATTGCTGTTATGAAGCGTCTCAAGCACCCTAACATGGTGCGCCTTCATGAAGTTCTGGGCAACACGAAGTCTGGCAAGCTTTATCTTGTCCTTCAATACATAAGTGGTGGGACTATAGCGAAGAAGCTGACCGGTACTTCGATTCAGCCCATCGAAGAAGAGACGCTCAAATTGCAGGCGCGACAGCTGGTAAACGTTCTCAAGTACTTGCAAATTAATGGCGTTGTCCATCGCGACATCAAACCTGATAACATTCTTGTCGACGAAAATGGAAACGCGTTTCTTTCCGACTTTGGAGTAAGCGCTGTCTGCACTGATGAAGTCGTTTCTGGGGTTGAAGGTACACCCGCTTTCATGGCTCCGGAGGTGTGTCGCGGTGATGATGAAGTGACGGGTCATTTGGTCGATGTTTGGGCTCTGGGAGCTTCACTCTTTCAGCTCATGTACGGCGTCCTTCCTTTCATAGCATCGAACATGATGGATCTGGCGCGACAGATTGTAGGCGAGCCGCTCATTTTCCCTGATGAGGACTCCACGCGCTGGCAGCCGTTTGTCGACGAATTTGGGTTACCCGAAGTGGCTGCGTCTACCGATTTCAAGGAAGTCATGCGAGGGATGCTTGAGAAGGATCCTGCGAAACGATGGGGTGTGCGGAGGATATTGAACTCCAACTGGCTTGCCGATTCAGAAAAGCAAACACCGAGTGAGGGCTCCTTTCGATCAACGGATGAGGTTTCAATTCAGTTGGATGTGAATTTTTCAGATCTTGAGGACGCAATTGTTCCAGCTGAGATCATGTACATCTGATTTTTTTTCTCCCTCCTTTAAAAGTTTAGTGTTCGTGAAACAAACTTGTTCAAACTGGGCTTCTTTGTATAACCACTGCTCGATACTCTTTTTCGTTCCTGCGACGCATGGCAAAAATATATATTTCTCCTTTTTGTGTTTTTTTTTTTGCTTTCTTTTTCTGGGTTATCTTTTATTTTTGTTCCTGTTCTTGGAAAAATATATAAGAAACAATTTGGTAAAGAAGATGGTAAATACTGCCGCCTTCTTTCATTCTCATTGTAGAGAAAGATGTCATCTAGCTTTCTCCTTTTGGGGGGAAACAAAGTTTGTTTCCCTATTATCTTTCGTTCTTTTTCTGCTCTTTTGTGTGGTGCTAAATGGTGACCACATCATCCGGAGACACCTGGGTCGTAACAGAACATGGATCTATGCAGTACTAGGTCCCCGTGAATGTCGAATCAGTTGCTTGAAAAAGGCAGCCATTGGCAGCACAATAATTGGGAACTCGAAAGCAGAAGCTGACTAATTGCAATGTATGGAGCGCTTTCAGTATTGATCCGTGGTTTCCCTTTGCTTCTAAGGTTTTTTCCCTTTATCTTTCAGCTGCATTACTTGTTTCCCCAGGACGGTATTTGCTCCCTTTTTTCAGAGCAGGTCAATACGCGGTCCAGTATTTTTTCCTCCACAGTGTTCTTTTTTGTTGTTATTGTTGTTGTTTGTTTCACAAGCAAGTGGTTTTTTTTTTGGTTGTTTATTATCACTGCTCTTAAGTTCAGCGACTCTCAAACACCGAAAGGACAAAGGAACAAAACACCAGAATGCGAAATGGAGAAGTAATACTCTTTCTACTATAATCGAACAAGCAGAGAAAACTTGCCTACTAGGATTTCCGTTCGATTTGTTCCTGAGTGTGTGTTTTTGCGTCTGTGTGAGGTGTAGAACAGCTCTTCCGTTTTCTTTTTCTGTGGTATTTTGTGTTTGTTCTTTAAGAAAAAGAGAACCGAACCCAAACTTCAAAGTGCTATTGAGGCTTCGTTCTCCTTTTTTAGAAGTCTTTCATTTTTCCTTGGAATCTTGTTTCTTTTCCATTTTATGTTTTGTTACAAACTCGTCTCTCATTTACCTTGTTCATTTCGAGTACCAACAATATGCACAGCATTACGCTTTTTCTGCGGTTTCTTCTTTTTCCATACTTGCTTTTCTTGTTTGGAGTGTATCATGAGAAAAAGCTTCTTTATTGCATTCGTAAGATTTCCGCCGCTGAAACGTTCAGATGTTCAGATGTTTTGCGTAATCGTCCCGGCTGGCGTTGAAACAAAAAAAAAATGAACCTTTATATTTGCGCTTCTGCCGTATGGCATTTGGGGAGCGTCGTTGTCTGAAGTTGTGTAAATGATTCCAAAAGGCATAATTACTCGTCTTTTTTTTTCCCTCTCCGCACCCTTATGCTCTTAACGGCATCTCTCTCTCTCTCTCTCTCACTCTCATGTCTGTGAAGTTGTCTGTTGTTCTCACAACCTGATTTACCTCTTTATTTGCTCAGCCCTTGAGATCTATACGTAAATAGCAAAGATTATTGAATTTTGATCGTTACAGGTTTGGTGGCTCCGTTTTGTTTCATTACTACCGCTGAACCATTCCTGCATGCTTCTTTTTCTTTCCAACTTCTAAAGCGCAAAGCGGTTTTTACACAGAAATACATGTCATTGCGACGTGAATCTATAAGAGCGTATCGCGATCTCTACAGTGCGGCTGCGCGGGCTGCTCAAGATTGCGGTTTGTACAACGGTCCTGGCCTTCTACAGTACGTATCGCAGCGATACGGTAAGGAGGCAGATTTGCACCGTCGTCAACTGTCTCAGACGCTACGAAGACTTGAGCGCCAATGCAAGTCACAACCTCAAAAGCAGAAGCAAAATGTTTCTCTTGAGGTCACTAGGCCGAAGATTCTCAGTCAATACCAACGGTACATCTCATCAGAAATCGACCGGAGCCGAGCACTGACCCAAGCTCTCATTTTAGCACCAGACAATGCTGCTCTCACTTCGGTTCTGCAGGCGCTCTCTTCTGGAGTGGGAAACACAGCGTATCAGCAGGCACTCGAAGCTAGTTTTCTCTCGTTTCTAGAATTTGTGGAAAAACAGGCCTCACGCGATGAGGTGGCTGATGACGCGACGAGTGAACGTCAAAACCGCATCATGCTACAAGCACTGCTTCCTTTCGCAGAACGGCTCTTACTTGTCCACCGCACAGCCATAGGAGAGCAAAACAGGGCGAGCTCCTTGCCCTACCTCACACCGTGGCAAGTAACCGAAGCGATTGTCGGAAATCGTGGCGGAGTTTCCGCGGTGCATCTTCGCGTTGGTAGAGACCACATTGTGGTTGAGATAGATGAGACATACAACAAGCAGGTGGTATACATTTGTTGCACACGCCGTGAAGGTGGCGACTCGGGGAGTTACGAATGGGACCAGGAGGTGGAGCGCGTTGAAATCAGCGAGAGTGAAGAGGTGCAGAAGACGCTTTTCCACAGCGCGTTTTTGTTTGCAGCAAGCCGCATGTGCGATACGCTTCTCCACGAATCTCCGTTGCACCCCACACGAACCACCGTGGTTGTCGGGCACGCTGTTGGGGGCGCCGTGGGGCTCATTTTGTCTCTCTTGCTTGCGCAGCGAGGGTTTGAGGTGGCGAACACCGTTTCCCTTGGTGCCCCGAAGGCGTTACAGGGCACTTTGGAAAGGTACATTACCGCCGTCAATCCAGTTCGTCTAGTGCTGGCTGGAGATCCACTCGTCGAACTCCCGGTCACCGGAGCAGAGGGCGCGCCTTTTGTCCATGTTGGTGAAATTCTGCTCCTCTCTCCGCCCGGCGTCACTGCTGAAGGAGCACCAACAATGCCAAAAGAAACACCTTCTTCATCTTCCAAGCTGTCAGGAGCGCGTCGCGTTGATGAGGACGCGGCGCCGTCCTCCTCCTCCTCCTCGCAGAATAACGATTTTGCAGCGGAGGCGTTGAACACGATGTTGATGGATGAGGCTAATTTGGACAACCGTTCCTCGCTGCTTTCAGCAGAGAAGGCGCCTGGAAGCTCGGCGGAGGTGGGTCGAGTGGATGACGATTCAGATGAAGGAGACAGCGCAGAGATGCGAAATGTCGCGGAAGAGCGGTACCGGAAGCAGTTTCTAGTGGAAGATTATGTTCACCACATGCGGAACCCGCTAGTGGAGTTGACGTACGCGGAGGGTGATGAGGTGTGGGACGAAGGTGACTACGAGGCGACGAAGCGATCAAAGCAGACGGAGCCGATTGTTACGGCAGAAGAGCACCGCGTACGTGACCTGCGAGGACCCCTGTGACCAGATCAAAGGTTGTGCGCTAAGCGACGATGAGCGATACCACCAAAAATGAAAAAAAAAAGACACATGAAAACCTTTAAGTCTCTCGTCTTCCTCCTCTGATTAGAATCGTGAAAAGAGCACCCGTTGAATAATAGTGGTTGGCTCTCGTTTGTTCTTTTGCTCTGCTAATCTCGAGCGCGCGCATGACGTTTCAAAAAAAAAAAAAACCCTTTCACAGAACGTCACGTCTATGGACAGAGATTGTTTTGCTTTGCTTTTCACATACACCAGCGAGGAGTCATTTATTTTCTGTAGATGACTATTTTAATAATTAAAAAGTCTTTTTGTAACACGGCTTCTCGATTTGTTAAGGTCGAAAATGCACCTCACTGGCGGCAGTTTTAAGAAGCGTGCGACTTCATGCCCAAGCACTTCCAGTTCCGAAGTGTGACAGCGCTTTCAAAGAACTTTTTTTCGTCTGATGGGAGATTGTTTCTTTGTTTTAGTTCTCAACTCAGAGACTGCTTTACGGATCACACACAACACGCTACACAGCTTCTGTCTCCCGGTATTCACATTTGGTGAGACCACTTCCTTTAAATCACCGTTACCTCTGTTTTTCCTCTCCGGCTCTCCTTCGCTTCTAAATTGTACGCTCCGGTGCACGATTGGCGGAAACGTGTTGCTTCATTATTGTTGCGGGACATTTTGATACACACTCGCAAAAAACAACATCAACAGAATAAATATATCTGTTCAACTTCAAGACATAACAATTTTTTTTTTTTTTAACTGCAAATCACATAGCTATTACTTAGCACGGATTTAATTCATACAAAAAAACAACAACGGGGTAGCGGGTAAAATGAGGTTTTGCTACAAGAGTGAGACGGGCGCCGCCGTCCTCAGCATATGTGCCCTCGTCAGTTGCTTTTTAGTCCCCAAACGCTACATTCCTGTTGTCATCCCGTTGTGGGCGGCTGCAGGACGCTTTGTCGCTAGAGGTGCAATCAATCATGCGCGTCCGGTGAACGATGCCGACCCTGCGGAGAGGCAGGCGAAGGCGCGCTTTGTGATGTCGCGCGACATGCCGCTGGAGAAGCGTCCTGTGGCCATCGTGACAGGGACGAACAGCGGCATCGGATACTGGACGGCTGTGGGCCTTGCGGCGGAGGGCTACGAAGTCATCGTGACGTGCCGCTCAGCAGCGCTGTCGGTGGAGACGGCCGAAAAAGTACGCGCTGAGGCGGAGAAGGAGCGCCGCGCTCACCCGCAGAAGTACGCGCACTCTCCCGAGAAGGTGCTTGTGCAAGCGAAGATGCCGGTGGAGTGCGACAACTTCGACAGCGTGCGTGCGTTTGTGGCTTGGGTCTTGATGGCGTACGCGTCGCGCAACGTTCAGGTGCTCGTGAACAACGCTGGCGTGATGCGCACCGACATCGCGTTCTCCAGTTTCCACCCGAATTTGGAGCTTCACACCGCCGTGAATTTCCTTGGTCCTCTGCTGCTGACGGAGCTGCTGCTGCCGCTGCTGGAGAAGAACGGAGGCCGTGTGGTGTACGTGTCGAGTGAAGCGCACCGCTTCCCACAGGGTCTTTTGGACACTGACCGGTTTGGCACGTGGAAGTCTGTAAACAGCTATCCTACCTGCACCGGACTGGCCGGGGGCAAGCTGCTAATGGCTCTGCTGCAGTTAAACCAAAGCGCGGAGAAGTCTTCCGGCCCTTTCCATACCACAACGTTCGGTGTGTCTCTTTGCCGCTACGGCGCGAGCAAACTGCTCAACTCCTACCACGCACACGTGATCGCGCGACGCTACGCGGTCGGTGGCTCGAAGTCCGGTGCTCTTGGTGTGAATGCCTGCTCTCTGCATCCTGGGTGTGTCGCGACCAGAATCTCCCGCAGTATATTAGGCTCCTTTGTAAGTGCCGTGTTTGCCTGGGGTTCGCTTTTGTTTTTGAAGACGTGCTGGGAGGGCGCACAGACCACGCTGCATTGCGCGATGTGTCCGCACGAGGAGCTGGAGTTGGTTGATCCGTCCGGCGCGAAGGCAACGGCCAGTCCTGACGCTGTGAGCCCCTACTTCGTGGAATGCGCTGACAAAACTTGCGGCATGCTGCTCGCGTACGGCTGGGACCTGAAGGAAGCAGAGACCATCGTGGATTGGGGCAAGCAGCAGGTCGGCCTGCTGTAACTTCCGCCGAGGGCGGAAGGGAAACGTGTGGCCACGGCACGCTCCACTGCCGAGTTGTTTTGTGGGGTTGTAATGGTCATTCTTCAGCACGCTTGCTAACGTACGAACTGAAAAGGGGTGTTGAGAGCGTTGTGAGGTTCCTCAGCCCGCCTCCCTCCCTTCAGTCTGGTATGTTTCCTTTTTTTTTCCAGGATTTTCTGTGATGCGAATAGTGTGCGTAACGAGGCTTCACTGTGTCATCGGTTCGCATGACTGCGAGCATTCGGTTTATCGAAGATCTTCCTTATCCCGCATCATCAGTGCCGCACTTCGTTATAGCGTGGAAAAAATTGCACAGCAGACAACTTCGTTTCTCTCTCTGCCCACCGTATCGATGTTGTATTTAATGCAATTCAGGTCGGAAATAATATATATATATATATATGGAAGGACAGAAGGTAGTTTCTGCCTGTCTTATTATCACTCTTCATTTCTTCTTTGTGTCATCGATACAGAATTCAAAATCAGCGTGCCTCAAGTCTTCGTTCACTGTTTTTACGTACATCGGCAAGTGGTGCGAAGAGTTTAAGCGCTTTTCTGTGTTGCCGCAGCAGAACAGGAAAAAGGGCAAAACATACACATACGATTTGCGCACGATTGATGCCTTTATGATTGCTATCGGTTTATAGAGTTGTCGTTAGGCGCATTTTTTTTTTTACGCTTCTGAGAGTTACACAATGTATCACACCAACCCTTGTCTTTACTGTCGGCTCTCTCACCCGTATTCTCCTAATCCTCCCTTCAAGATATACGTTTTTCACTTCGGAATTCGTTCTCTTCCTCTTCTTTTTTCACTGCTTGCACCATCACAGAAAAGCTGAGTTCAAGTGCGAGTAAATATATTCGACTAATTAATTAATTGAAGTGTTTCCGCCAGCAAAGAACCCCGCCAACAGCAAAACAGTGGCAAAAGCGTCTTCCTCTGTTGCAGGTACCCGCGTTCCTTGCTTGAAATTTTTTTGTTTGTGTGTGTGTGTGTGTTTGCGAAGTTCTTTTCTCACTAATTGTACTCTTTTCTTTTTTCCTTTCTGTGATCCTACGTTATTTGTTGGCTTGCGGTGTTTTCTGCGCATCGCACCCGTTAATACGCCTCCCTTTTCCCCACGCTGTTTGATAGCAGCGATCAAAAAAAAAAAACGAAGAACTGTAACGTTTAAAGTGAAGTCCTTGACTTCCCGCCCTCTTTTTTTTTTCTACTCTCCCAGTCCTCTAGAACGGATTCCAAACGCATCATGTCGAATCCGGCGTTAATCGAGCACCTCATCGAGGCTCTACCCAAGGCTGAACTGCATCTTCACATTGAGGGTACTTTAAGCCCTGAGCTACTGTTCGCACTCGCGAAAAAGAATGGGGTCGAGCTGCCGTACAAGACGCTCGAAGACGTACGCGCCGCGTACAACTTCCCTGATCTGCAGTCTTTCCTCAACCTCTACTACCGAGGCATGTCTGTTTTGATCACCGAAGATGACTTCGCCGAGCTCGCCTACGCCTATACGCGCATGATGCACGAAAATCGTGTCTGCCACGCGGAGCCCTTCTTCGATCCTCAAGGCCACGTCGGGCGCGGGGTGACCTTTCGTGTGGTGTACGATGGCCTCCAGAAAGGCTTCAAGCGCGGCGCCGCAGAGTTCGGCATAAGCGTCTCTCTCATTTTCAGCTTCCTGCGGCACCTTTCTGAGGAGGAGTGCTTCGCCTTTGTGCGCGATGATACGCACCCCGACAATGGGCAATACATTCGCGAGCTTTTTGCTGCAAAGGCGTTCATCGCGGTCGGCCTTGACTCCTCCGAGTTGGGCAACCCGCCCGAGAAGTTTGAGCGGCTCTTCCGCTACTGCCGCGAGGAGCTGCACGTGCCGTTTCTCGTGGCGCACGCCGGCGAGGAGGGCCCGCCGTCGTTTATGTACAACGCCCTGGATGTGCTGACGGTCGACCGCATCGACCACGGCGTCGCAGCGCGCCTTGACGGCGAGCTGTGCAAAAGGCTGCGGCACCAAAACGTGCCACTGACGGTGTGCCCGACCTCTAACGTGGCGTTGTGCGTCTTCGACGACCGCGCCGCGTGCGGGGCTGCCGTGATGGATCTGGCGCTGACGGAGAAGCTGTGTGTGACGATCAACTCCGACGACCCGGCGTACTTAGGCGGTGATGTGCGGGAGAGCTACCGCATTCTCGCCGAGACCGGCCGCCTGACGCCGGAGGTGCTGAAGCAGTTGGTGTTGAATTCGTTCTACGGCAGCTTCCTCTCTGCCGCCCAGAAGCAGGTGTACGGGGAGCGGGTGGAGGAGGTATACAAGGATGTGTGCTGTCACGCGTTGCTGTACCGAAACGTGCGCCCAAAGATTCCCTTGATGGAGGAGGAGGAAGAAGAGAGGAAGAAAGCGGCGAAAAGGCTTCAGTGAGGTGGATGCAGAAGATAATACAGAAGTATTTCTATACAACGAAAATGCGACATCGTTTATGAGCCGAAAGCGAGCTGACGTAGCTGCTGACTGCCTCGCCTTTTCTAAATAGCTTTTGAAATTTTTCTTCTTCATAACCGTACTTTTCCTCTTCTCCCGTTTTCCTCACATGTTTTTGCCCACGATGTCTCATTTTGTCGTTTTTGTTGTCGTTCGTAGGTTTCGGCGACTGCTCAAAGCCATTTATGCTCCATTTGCTCTCGTGAGGTGACTCGTAATACCTCGAATTATGCGTTAAGGGCCTTTTCCTCCTCCTTCCCCCCTCCCCTCCTCTTTGCACCCCAAAGACGTCTTACCTTTGGTTTTATCTCGCCTTTTCATATTACATACTCTACGGGTTGCTTTATAAAAGTACATGGACTCTCTTTTTGTATTTGTTCCCAGCGGTGTCTTGATTTTAACCATTAAAAGAACTAATTCGTTAAAAGATGTTCCCCATCTCTTTCTCTTTTCAGCATTTTTTTCGTGTGGTGTGTTGAGCTTGCCCATGAGCGTTCACATGTGAGTATGTGAGTATGCGCTTGTGAAGTGGCAGTTTGTATGGTTTGAATGCAAAGCGCAACTCTTGCGGTACACCGGAATGACGGCTCGCCCTTCGGTGCCTACGCAGCTTTATGTGTCCCTTTTTTTTCTGTTGTTGTTTCTACTGATTTTTGGAAAAAAGAAATCAACACTGAGGTTTTTGCTTTGATGCAGCATTCGTCTATCTTTATACTGAAACACTTTCTTTCTTTGTGGCTCTCAGACACACTGGATTCAACTTTTTATTATCATTAAAGAGGTTCTCCACTTGTCTTTCTGCAAGCCGTGACAGCAGAGAATAATTCATGAAGCGCAAACACGAGACATTGACTTATGGCGTTGGCCTCTGAAAGAAGAAGCTCTCTCTTCCCTTGCTTTCTTGTATTCTGCGTTTCCTTTTCGGGTTTCTACATCGCTTCATCGAAATCTACTGGAGAGAGATTCAATAAAGACAGAAGAAGAAGAAAAAAAGAAATACCCCCGCTCTCTTATCGAATTCTAATTCAGTCTCTTCGACCTGTTGCGCCTTTTCTGTTTCTGTAGAGAGCACTTGAAACGGTGTCTCCCCTTGGTGGTTTCTGTGCCGTATCTCTTGCATCTCTCCTGCCCCCCTCTTCACTTTCTATGTGAAAATAACCGTACAACGCTCGCATCAACGGATATTCGTTACCTCTTCTTTTTACCCCCGACTACTTACACCACATTCCTTTTTCCCTCTGAAGCTTATCACTTGAGTCACCTGCGAAAGAAGAGAAAAAAACTGCAACGTGGTGGTGCTGAATTTCTCTTTTTTTCCGTTGTTGGACAGAAATTGTGACACTTCGAAGTTTCAAAAAGCCTTTTGTTGTTGTTGTTGAGCGCTGCCATAATGATTCACTTGTACGCCTCGGAGACTGCCGCCGCCGCCTCTCTTGCGCTCTTCGTCATCCTTTTCGGCCTTCTTTGGGTCTTTCGCGTGGGCTGGTTGCGAGAGGCGAACGCAGTCGACGTGCTTGTGCTCATTCTGAGCTGCGCCTTTGGCTGCCGTGTGACGGCGAAGGGGAAAACGTGCCAATGGCCGAAGAATGTCGATTTCACTGGGCGCGTGGCGCTCGTGGTGGGCGCGAGTTCCGGCGTCGGCTTCAGCACAGCAGAGCAGCTGGCCGAGCACGGGTGGACCGTCATTCTCGCCGCCCGCAACACGGAGCGCTTGATGTACGCGAAGAAGTGCATTGAGCGACACGTGCAGCGGCGCGGCTCCAATGGGGTTGTAAAGGTGCTTGGCACGGTGGATCTGCGCTCCGACGCGTCGATTCGCGCCTATGTCCAGAATCTGACCGCGGTGAAGGACAAGCTGTCGGTGGGTCTGCTGGTCATGGCCGCGGGTGCGCTGCACCGACACTTAACGTTTGTGGGCGAGGCGGCGGACCTCAAAGCGGGTGCTGCCTCCATCTCATCGTCGCCTCCGGAGTGGCGCAGTCTGGAGTGCACTGTGGCCTCGAACGCTGTCGGGCCTTTTCTGTTTACGCAGCTGATGCTTCCACTGCTGGACGAGACGGCGGAGAACTCTTCGGTGACATCGCGCATCGTGAACGTCGCCTCCAGCTGCCACACTTTTCTGGGGCCGGGCCGACCGTCCACCTTCGACCCCATTTCGATGCTTCACGGGCTGGACAAGCGCGGGGCTGAGGTAATTGCCGGCCGTCGCGACCCCGCTGCGGCGGAGGGCGGTGGCGGTACGCAAGACAAGGTAAGCGATTTGTACTACGCCAAGGACTTCAGCTTTGCTAACTTTGTGGGGTATTACGGACTTTCGAAACTGTGTGTCATGTGGAATACTCGCCTGCTGGCCCACCAGGTGGCGTTGATGCGCTTTTCGAAAGAGACAGGTCTCATCACGCCAAAGATGCGCAAGTCGGAAGAAGACAAGGAGAAGGCGTCGCGATCGGCGACCACTACGGCAAGGACTACCGGCAATAACACCGCATTAACCCCGCAGGAAAACGGACGGCATAACCAGCTAAAGATTTTTGTGGCATGCACGCATCCCGGCATCAGCGCCACGTACCTCTATCGCGAGCTGTTTTCCCCTCGGGTGCTGGACTTTGTACTCTACTACCCTTCGCTGGTGATTTTCAAGACGTGGTTCGAGTCGGCGCAGTCGACGCTGAAGGCGGCGGTGGAGGACACGGACATGGTGCAAGGCGGTTACTACCTCTGCGGCGGGGAGTATGGGCCGGAGAGCGGGGTGAACTGCGTGTCCGCCCACGCGCAAAATCCGACGCACCTGCAAGCCTATCGAGAGTGGCTGATGGGCAAAGTGGCACCTTCCATGAAGACCACGGAAAAGAAGGAGGAGTAGGTAGTCCGTTTTATCGCTTTTCTCTTCTTTTTTTCTTTTGTGAAGCCTGAGCGAGGAATGATTGGATGTATGGATGGTAATGAGAAGTGAATATTATCAGTGATCTTTGTTTCTACCTATTTTCCTTTTCCCTCTTTCCCAACGACAGCCTTCAGCAGTCATTATTCTCTTTTCTTTCTTTTCCCACCCGCTCAACCCCATTCCGCCCCCCTTTGGAGGCGGATTTGTAAGAGAAAGCTACAACTTCGTTAGTAATTCCCAAAAATTCAATATACAAATTATCGTATTTTCTCCGCAAAATCACCAGTGTTTAAGAGTTTCTTACCTCCTGCACTTTGGATAGAATAATGATTGTGCTGTACAACTTGAATCACCTTCTACCCAACCTTTACTTTCAACTTATTTCTCCCCTTCCCCTTTGCCTACCTAAATCATCTGCAATTATTCGTCAGGAAATTTGTGTTGCAGGTCTTTTTCTTTTCGCATTGCTCCAAAAGAAAAAGGTGTATCTCTAGCGGCACAACCTTCACATTTGGTCTGCCTCATCAGCAAAGGAATAGCTTTCCCTTGACGTTGCAGAAGCACCTTCTCTTCCCCTCGCTCTCAAAGACACACACACACACTCATACACACAAGCATGTCATCCCTTTCTACCTTTCTCAAAGAAGACAAGCCAGCGTCTGCGAACCTTTTCAGGGCCACGAGTACATCGACGGTTGTCTTGCCCACTGTCAACCTTCCGGTGCTGTCCCCCGGCTATCCCCTCGCCCCCAACACCACCGCCCTAGAGGCTTCGACATCGCGTTATTTTCAACCCGGGCAGAATCCGTACGGTAAGCGGGGCCGATCCTCAGCCGATACTGCGCTGGCCGCTATTCCCCTCAGCGTCCTCGACACCCTCTGCGTTGAGGAAAACGCACAAGAGAGCAGCGAAGGTGCATTAACAAGCGCATCTCCCACCGTAACGCCGTCAACGACCAACGCAGCTTCCGCTGCTCGCACGAAGGCGTACCTTACGAAGTTGTTCCAGGCACCGGCCAGGTGTGAGCAGGATTTGTACCGTCTTGTCGATGTAGCGCACTGTCGGCGAACCCTCCATGAGGAGGAAGCAGCTGTGATGAAGAGCCGGACTGTCGCCTCCGCCAGCGGTGCTGCGATGCAGAAGGTGAGCGCGTTTAACTCCTGCTTGACCATCGGGCAGCACCGCCGCTACCGCGCTGTGGTGCTGGAGTGGCTGCGGCACCAGCCCTCCCGCTCCGCCCCGCCGGACTCTGGCGAGGTCCTCAAGGTGGTTCAGCAGGAGCAGCGACTTTTTTTGGAGGTGCTGCGTCGCGAAGTGGTCGCCCGTTTCTCCTCGACGCGGCCGTCGATGTACGAGCTGCTCACACCTGCACTCATTGCCTACGCAAAAGCTCACCGTATTGCTCAGATGCGGCAGCGGCTAATTTGCTTTCTCGAGGACGCCAAGGCGCACGAAGCGGAGCTGCTCCTGTGCTGCTGCCCCCCCTCCACGCCGAACCAAAGCGGCGACACCGCCGGCAACGTCGACGCGGACTACGCAGCGGTGACCTTTGAGCCGGAGGAGAGGGACGCCGACGTCTCGAATCCGCCGACGCACACGCTGACGCGGCAGCAGCTGTACCAACGGCGGTACCCCAGCCTCCGCGTGCTGCAGTGGCACATGGCGAAGCTGTACAACTCGCAACAGACCGGCGTCGCGGCGCCGTTCCCCAATCCGCTGGTTCAGAGCTCCTTGCTGGAGACCTCCGGGACGGGGGACGGAACGCTTGCACAGGAGACTTCTTCGCCGCTCACTGCCTCTCCTACGACGTCGCTGAATCATCGCACGTCACAAGGGCTACTACAGAACTTGTCATCGCATCTTTTGTTAAGCGCTCTTCCGCAGTTTACGTCGAACAGCGACCGCGGCGGCGAGTCAGATGAAGAAGCAGGGGACGTCAGAAGCGGCGAAAAGGACGAGGGCACAAGAGCCGATGGAGAGGGCATTTCCTCTGCCTTCGTCGCCCGTCACCTGCCGTGTGACTCAGCAACGTCGCTTTCTGTGTCGACGCTGCGAAAATATGTCGAGCAACACCTGCTGCCGCGTTTCGGCTGGCGTCCTTCGAGGCCTAGAGGTAATGGTAATGGTGAAGTCGATCCCGCGCAGACGGCGGGGCACCGCGAGGACGTCGTGGAGTCCATCTCGCTGTCCATTACGTTTGCTGGTTTGCTAAAGCTGTTTGTGGCCCACGTCGATACCGAGGAGCCCCGCACGTCGTTTCGCGTCCCCGTGCGCGTGCACCTCACACCGATTCGTCGAGATGGGAAGGAGCACACCGCCAACGCTGCCATCACCGCAGCACAGGCCGCACCAACAGCGCCACGTTACCACGCACATGTGATGGTGGGCGATGCGGTGCCCAACGTGAAGGAGAGCCGTCACAGTGTGCAGCTGGCGGCGGCTGAGTGTCTCTTGCGCCTCCGACGAGCGGCGGGAGGTGAGGGCGATGCGCCGGCGCACGATGAGCAGGAGGAGAAGGACCACAGCGAAAACAGCGTTGTGTCGACGAGGAAGGACGATGCGGAGGGAGACGTGGCTTCTGCGCTGCCTTTTGCCCGCTTGGAAGTGACGCGCAGCGCCACGATGCAAAACACGGTGGATAAGGGCGAGGCGGCGGTGCAGGCGGCGGGCGGTGATCGGATTAAGGCCTCCGCGGAGGTCTTTCTCGCCATGAAGGAGGCCGTGGCGGATGCGGCGCCGGTGCTGCGCTTTCACGTGTCGGCACCTGCGGAGGCGGAAGCACCGAAAGCAGCCGAAAGCCTGCCAAACGACCCCTCACAGGTAGAGCTTGTGTGGGCGAAGATGGAACACCTCAATGCGACCTCCGCCGGCACCCCGGTAACCCCGCAGACGGCCGCCGTGTACCTATCCAACGATGAAACGGCGGGGCGGTGCCCCTATCTCTTAGAATCTCTGTCGCCGCGAGAAATGCTGCAGCTGGACCTGTGCTTCGCGTGCTACCCACATGCTGTCGTGCACCTTCACCGAATGCAACTGATGCCGGCTGATGAGGCGGAAGCGGTTGCCGCTGCCGACGCGACCGCTGGTGGGGCGGAAGTGGAGGGAGACGGAGTATCGGATCGCATGCATGTTCTCGCGATGGAGACGCTGACGTGCGCGAGTTGGGCACTTCTACGCCAGCAACTGCAGAGCCGCCCGACGGAGTCGTTCATTACGTCTCCGACTCCGACCGAGGTGTTGGGGACGCTGTCGTGGGATCTGCTCTACGACACGTTGGCCTGGCTGCTGGACTCCGTCGAGCGTCGTGCCACAGACTCCCTTCGCGCGCAGGAAGCGTCCGAAGCAGCACCGAGCGCCACCGCAGACGGTGACCGCTTTATTTTCCTCATCCTGAGCAACCACGCAAATCTGGTCAACACCAGCGCAAGCACAAAGCTGTACGCGAAGAAGCCGCGCTACGCCGACCGCGAGATGGAAAACGTCGCCTCTACTTTCACGGAGAGCCGCTTTGCGGTGCGCTACGTTCTCCAGGATGCATCGGAGCTGTACCCCAACTACGAACCACGCGTCGACATCAACTTCGAGGCAGACAATCTCAAATTTTTGGAAGATGATGGACATGACCGCGAGAATACTGACGACACGGATGATGACGAAGTGGGCGTCAGTCCGGTGGCCTCGCGGCTGTATCGCGACCCGCATATGTGGAACGCCGACACCATCCCGTTCACGTTTCAGAGAAGTACGCCAACTTCAGCGTCTGCCGCATCCGCGTCGCGCAGTTGAGCACCCACGTGGCGAGGAGGTGTGCACCAGGAACCATTTAAATTTTTTATATCTTGTGTGAGACTACGTCGCAGCTATTCGCGTTTCCGACGCTTGCGTGCGTAGACGAACGTCAACGCCGCGGTACCTCCCTTTTAAAAGAAAGAAATACATTTTGTAGTTGAGCAACGCATCCTTCGTCTCTCTCTTTCTCTCTCAGCCGTCGGCTTTGTGCAGGGGCGGAGATCAACAGCTTTTGTTGTCGCGTGGCATTGTTTGGTCGTTACTTTGTGCGAGAACACAGAAAAATGGGCAAGGTTACATAACTTCCAATGCCAAGTACACAAGACCAACACGAGGTATGCGATGGACGTCGCCTTCTTTTTTCCCAGCGACGCCACGACAGCCTCCCCTTTCTTCTTCACCTGCTGTGCGGCCGGAAATGAATTCACACCCATTTATCTCCTCTTCGTGCTCACTTCCGTTTTTCGTTTCTTTTGCTTTCTCTGTTCACTTCTACGCCTCCATCTCACAATTTATTGGTGGTCCGCTATCTGTCCTCATCCTTTGCGCATCACCGTAACACTCGTCGTGCAGTGCACATTTAGCGTGAAGAATCGCCATGCCGCCGAAGTTTGACCCCTCTCAGGAGATCACCGTCATCGTGCGCGCCGTCGGTGGTGAGGTGGCCGCGACTGCGTCCCTGGCGCCCAAGGTAGGTCCGCTTGGCCTGAACGCCAAGAAGATCGGTGAGGACATCGCCAAGGCCACCAAGGACTGGAAGGGCCTGAAGGTCACCTGCGAGCTGCGTGTCAAGAACCGCGTGGCCACCGTCGTCGTGACGCCCTCCGTCGCTTCCCGCCTCATCCGCGCCCTCAAGGAGCCGCCGCGTGACCGCAAGAAGGTCAAGAACGTGAAGCACAACGGCAACATCCCGTTTGCGGAGATCATCAAGATCGCGAAGGAGTCTCAGGCCAAGTCCATGGGCAGCGACCTCAAGGCGGTCGTGATGGAGGTGCTCGGCACCGCCGTCTCCATCGGCTGCACCATTGACGGCGAGACCCCGACGGACATCCAGAACAAGGTTCGCGAGGGCAAGCTGAAGGTGCCAAAGTAGAAAGCTTTGTTGGTGGTTCGATGGTGATCGGGATCGCAAAACATGTGCGCATGCTGCATCTCTTTCGCGGAAACTCGCAGTGCTGTCCTTTTCCTTTTTTTCCTTTCGTTTCAGTTACGATAAACAAAAAAAGCAACCGTTTAAGACGGACAACCTGGCCCAGTCAACGAAGACAATCAACGACGCCCGTGGCTTTTCCGTTGTCTTGGTGGGGACACCGAGGCACACGTGGACGGAAAACGTCTTTCAAGGCTGTTGCTCTTCTTTCATGCTGTGGCTTTAAAGCTCAGGAGCGCCAACCGTACTTCCCCTCCTTTCATAAAAAAAGGATTCATGTACTTCTACGAGGCTTTGAGAGTTTTTTTTTTTGTCGTGCTGCTTCTCCACCGCTTTTCCTCTTTTTTCTTTTGCGAGGTTTGTTTATTCCTTGGGCGATGCCGATCGTTTTAACCCACTCTTCTCCCCTCTCTTTCCTTGTCAACATTTTCGTCCCCATCAACACAACAACAACGACAAAAACAACTCTACCGCTAAAGTACCATTAGCGTCGGCCTCCCTCACAACCCAACGGAGTATAACCTTTAAAAAAAAAGCAAAAATACCAAAAAGACTACTCTCATCACTTCCCCCCCTTTCTTTTATTCCTCACCACCGTAACAATGATGGAGGAGCACCACTCTCAGGGGTCGAACGACGACCTGCAGAACGTCAGTGACGCCGACCGCTTCCGCCGTAACCAGGGCACTATCCTCTTCGTTGGTAACCTTCCTTTCCAGACGCCGTGGCAGCACGTGAAGGATCACTTCCGCAACGCTGGCAAGGTGCGCTACACGGACCTCATCGCCGACCGCACGGGCCGCCCCAAGGGGTCCGCGCTCGTCACGATGATGACCGTTGAGGGCGCTGACAACGCCATTCGCATGTTCAACGAGACGGATTTCGAGGGCCGCCGCCTGATTGTGCGCAAATTCGACGACGGCCCGCGCCCGCCGCTGGTGCAGCGCGAGATGATGCCGGCCTACGGCAACACCGCCGCCCAGCACCGCGGTGGCCAGTTCACCGCCGGCGGCTACTACCCCGGCACGGCCACCGCCAACTTCAACCGCCCCAACATGCCGAGCACCGCCTACAACCGCGGCACCCCCTACCAGGTGGGTGCGACGGAGGTGCTCGACATGAACGGGCAGGAGCCACTGCCGAAGCCGCGCAGCCAGCAGGTGCCGGAGGTGGGCCGCAAGCTCTTCGTCTCGAACTTGCCCTTTGACTGCACAAACGGTGCTCTGCGTGAGACCTTCCAGCAGGTCGGCGTGGTCGAGCGGGCGGAGATCATTCTCGGCCGCAACGGCAAGAGCCGCGGTATGGGTGTGGTGGTGATGAAGAGCGAGGATGAGGCCGCGGTGGCGATTGCCGAGTTCGACGGCATCGAGATGGCCAACCGCGCGATGAACGTGCGCCTCGACAACAAGTCGCAGTAGGTGGCGTCTCTCTCTTTATTTGTAGTGGCATCGACGGCAAACGAAAAGTAAAAAGGGGAGGACAATGAGGAGCCGTTGTAGCGTTGTCGAGTGGGGGAGTGGGTGCTTGTCATGGAGGTCAACGTCCAGCACAGTGGTCCCTTTCCTTTTTTTTTTTCTGACTGAAGGGGGAGAAGCCAAGAGAAAAGAGTCGAGGAAGGAGAGAAGAAATCGGATGAAGTTTATGCAACGCAACGCCTACGCCCCTAGATCGAAGTCATGCAGCTTTGACAGCGAATAACGGGCGTACTAATCAAATTTAGCATTAACTCACATCTTTGTAACGTTAACGGTGCATATGTGTCTATATGGGATGTGTGTTCTGTAGAGAGAGAAAAAGCGCATTTTGGTTTTTCGAGGCGTACGTGTGTGTGTTTGTGTGCTACAATTTTGGACGTATGTTTGTGCCGCACTGGTTATCATTTCCAGTATTACCTGTCGCCCTTTTTTGTTCCCCCTTTTTAAATACTAATAGGTCTTCTCAAGCTTCCCTTTTCTCTCTGGCTTTCCTTCGGTCCTTGCCAAGTGCGCTGTCGGTGGTTCGCTTCTTCCTTTCTCCGGAAAATATAAGTGAGTACTATTTTTTTTAAATAATTTTTGATTCTATGAAAAAGGAAAATGTAGGTGAAATGGGGCGCGTGGGTGTATCTGCATGTGCGTGAGATGCATGGTTTCGCGTCTCATCGTCGATTTCAAGCGTCTACAACGGTTTTTTTTTCTTTCCTTGTGTGGTAGTTTGTAGAAGGTTAGATACTTCAACAGGTTTTGTCTGCATTGGCAGCTGTTTTTCTCGCCGCTTTCCTTTTTCATGCCCGTCTCTTTTTCTTTTTTTCCTTCTTTTTGCGATTCTTGTTTTTTTTTTTCTCTTCTTCCTGCGGTTTTTGCGCAATGCGAGATTGTTTCATTATAGAGCGTCATGCGTGCAGGGCGCTGTTTCCGTGAGTGCACGCGGGAGTGATTGTGCATGTGTTCACTGTGGTTCTTCTACTCTTGCCTGGCTCATTTGCACTCTCGAGGACAACGTTTTTTCTTTGCTTGTTTTACGTGTTTTCGTTTCGTGCGGTGCTTCGCCGTGATTCTGTCGTTGTTCTGCGTTTGTTGTTGTTGTTTGCTGGTTGGCAACACTTGTGATTGTGGCTGAAAGGACACAACGGGAGAAGACAGGCGTCATCGAAGAGTCGAGCGGGCAGTGAGCCGAAGAGACGACACAAAAGGAAGAGAGGAGGCGAGAAATAGAGTAATGCATCCCTAATGCACGCAATGGACACTGCGACGTGCTTTTTGTTTTGTTTAGTATTAGGACGTTATGTACGAGATGAAACGAAAACGCCGTTTTTTGACAAGTCGCGCTTACGAAGAACGAAGAAAGAAAGAAAAAAAGGCTCGTAAAAAGGGGGAGGCGAAGAAATGGCTGAGGTGAGCGCCGATCCGTTTTTCAGAATATGAGGTATACGCGCCCAGTCAGCGTTGGGCGATGAAAAGCTGTGTGGAAAGGAATTGTATCGGGTTTGATGCGTAGCAGCACTCATTCACAAACGCACATTTCTCACGTTCTTTCTTTCCGTTTGTTTTTGGCTGCTACGCCGGTGACAGACTCTCCTTGCAGACAAAGCAGGAAAGAAAAAAGGACCGCCCAAGAGGTTTAAGTGAACAGATTTGAAATGCAAACGAACGCAAAAGGAAGAGAACAGAGGTCATTTTATGTCTCTCGGTAAGCCGTTGACAACATCTACAGCCCCCTTTCTTTTGTACGCTTGAACAAATGGTGTGATTTTCGAAAAAGATGTGCTAGCTTAGTGCTCCTGAGGAGATACGCTTCTATATTTCAATGCACAGGCTTTTCGTTTTGTTTTGTCATCATTCGGTACGTCACGCGCATTTAAAAGGCAGCCCTGAAAAAAAAAAATGGGAGTTACACCTGCGAAGGGTGAAACGTCTATAAAGACTCATAGGGGCCTTGGGCAAAGAATTTTGTCTTGATACTGTTGACGAACTGAGCGTGCCGAAACGCTTTCTCAGTTACATGCGCGTACGGGAGTTTGGACAAGCCGATCGTCTTTCACAGGGTCGTTTTGGAGTGTTTCATTTCCCTGTTGCATGAATGTAGATATATTTATATATCTACCTATTTATATAATTAGTTTGCTTCTCTTTGATCTTGCCATCCTCCTCCCAATTTGAAAGGAAAAATTGCGGGTGCTCTGAATTTCTTGGTTGTCACTTTCTTTTTTTTTTGGTCTTCCAGGTGTGTTTGATCGCACTGGAAAAGGAAAAGAAGGTAAATTGAGACTGTTTAAAGCGTGAGGGAGGAGGAGAGGAATGCATATATATATCTATGCGTAAAAAGGATAACTGCAAAGAATGGATGTACGTTGCCGCGAAGGCTTGTCTGACTTGTGCTATTGAGTTTTCCTTCGTCCTCTTTTCCTTTTTTAGGGAAAATTAGTTTGTTTTGACCTTTTTTCTTCATTTCTTCTTTACCTGTCTGTATTTAAAGCAACGTTAACAGAAAACCACTTGACAACAATACCCCTCCCCTCTCGGAGAAAGAAAAGCGCAGCACGGATACGGAGAAGGATGCTGTGAGGGTTACAATCAGCGTATTTCAAAAAAAAAAAAAGCGTTGTTTGTTTCTCCGCAAACTGAACTGTTGTACGCGCGGACCCACACGTTTCTTTCACCCTTTTCGTTTTCAGTTGCATTTTGGCGTAGAAGGCTTTTTGTTTTGTGTCGCAAGTGTCGCTGTGAACTTGGTGCAGATTGCTTGTAGCTCGATGAGCAAACAGCATGAAGCATCGAGGACACACGCGATGTCATTGCTTATTTGCAGATTAGCTTTCCTAGATTTGTTGAACTGGATTTTTCTTTTCACCGCTGACCCTGTTCTCACGAAACAACGCTGATGCATTGAAGTGACGCAACCTCATTCACTTTCTCCCCTTTCTCTTTCCTTTCATTTTTTCTGTTCTCCTCTACGCCCCTCCCCCCCCCCCCTCCGGGGTTTCGATTATCTGTAACGAACTGCCATCCTGACGATACTCTTCTCTGACACGATCTGATCACCGGAAAGATTTAATACAAACCAACAACAGGCCTTACCACTCACGCATCCTTTTCGCCAACTTCTTACCAGCGGCATACAAACTTCTCTTCCTTGTAGCTCAACCACTCATCTTACTATCAACTATGGCCACCACCTACGAGGAGTTCGCGGCGAAGCTCGACCGCCTGGACGAGGAGTTCAGCAAGAAGATGCAGGAGCAGAACGCCAAGTTCTTCGCGGACAAACCGGATGACTCGACCCTGTCCCCTGAGATGAAGGAGCACTACGAGAAGTTCGAGAAGATGATCCAGGAGCACACGGAGAAGTTCAACAAGAAGATGCACGAGCACTCGGAGCACTTCAAGCAGAAGTTCTCTGAGCTGCTGGAGCAGCAGAAGAACGCGCAGTACCCCGGCAAGTAGAGGAGACAATCGTTTGGTCGGCTTGTCGTGAGTGACGCATGAAGGGCCAATGCTCTGTGGGGATAGTACACAGGGGTCTGTATTCCGTGTATTTTCTCTTCGCGTCGGAACGAGCAGATACTCTTTTTGCTTTGCGATGTTTCCGCGCGGCTTTGCCTGCACACAACAAACCAAAAAAGAAGCGAAGGTACTCCCCTGTCGGGTGGTCGGTTCTTTTTTCTCTCTCTCTGTGTGTGTGTGTGTGTGTCATTTCCCCATACGCATCATCGACTTGTTTTGTCTTGCCGGGTGCTGCTTCACACATTCATTTGAGTGTGTGTTTTGCGGCTCGCCTAGCAGTCTTACCTTCTGTGAGGGAACTCTTTTTTTTTTGTTTTTCCATCCCTTTCCTGTTTCCACGTAACGCGTTTTCTTAGAGTGCCACGTTGTGGCAAATGTGTTCCGCATGTCAAACACGATGTATGTACATCTATATATATATATTTACTTATTTTATGTTCTATTCTCCCCCAGATCCAAAATCGAAATTTCTGAAGGAAGACCTTTTCGGTTGTCGTTCCGTAAAACGTTTCTCTTTCCCTCCTGTGTTTTCTGATACAAATTAGAGCTAACGTTTTTCCTTCTTTCCTTCTGTCTTTCTTCTTGTCCTTGTGGTGGCTTGTCCTTTTTTCTCGGCGCTTCTCTATGTGTTCTTGTTCTCACTTGGCGGCAGTTATTCTTTTTTCTTCCTCTACCTGTTTAAAGAAAGTTTTTCTTTTTGACTCCTTTGCGTAGACAAAATATAGATGCATTTGGTTTTCTTTAATGCAGATGTGACGTGGCGCTCCACACGTCAGCTAGGGGAGAGAACGTGTCACCTTTTGAGGAAGACGAGAGGGACGAGAGAGGGCGAGGAAGAAAGAAGGAACAAGAAAAGAAAACCAACAAATTAAAAAAAATATTAAAAAGCAACACACATTTTCATTGGCAAAGTTCAGAATAGAACAATTCTGGTCAGGGCGACGCCAACCAGGCGTGTCTGTTTTTCTCAGCCCTTTCTTTTGGTTAGATCGAGAGGACGGCGCTGAGTGTGCTATTGAGGTAGTGTCTTAATTGTATCTTCTGGAAGAGTAGCCCACGAGTTACTCCGTTTCCCGCATCACCAAAAGAACGCCTCCTTCACTTCACCTTTGCAGCTTAACCCCTTCATTGAAACACGTGCCTCCTACGGAATCAACCCAAATCCTTTCTGTACCTCATTTCGTAGCGCAACGCACGATTCCCCTTTCTACTCTCCCTCCCCCTCCTCTCTCGCTCATCTCAACTATTCTCTTTTTGCGGGTACGACCGTTATATGCGGATTCCTCCCACACACGTGCCATCAACCGCGATACACTGCCCATATACTCGACAACGGCGGATCGATAGTTTAAAGCTATCCCTAACCACTCTTGTTATTAAGTTCTTTGTTTTCCCCTTTTTCTCTCTCACTTTCCAAGATGGCCACCACCTACGAGGAGTTCGCGGCGAAGCTCGACCGCCTGGACGAGGAGTTCAGCAAGAAGATGCAGGAGCAGAACGCCAAGTTCTTCGCGGACAAACCGGATGACTCGACCCTGTCCCCTGAGATGAAGGAGCACTACGAGAAGTTCGAGAAGATGATCCAGGAGCACACGGAGAAGTTCAACAAGAAGATGCACGAGCACTCGGAGCACTTCAAGCAGAAGTTCTCTGAGCTGCTGGAGCAGCAGAAGAACGCGCAGTACCCCGGCAAGTAGAGGAGACAATCGTTGTTGCCTGTTTTCTTCTTCCTTGGGCGCTGTTGGGCTGTGGAGGCACCTGCATCGACACTCGCAGATGCGCCAGACGAGCTGGAAAGAGGGAAAAGAACAGGTGGGAAACAGGATACAAAGCATGTATTCAAGTGGTGGTGTCCTTTAGCAAGCCCCTCTCCCCTGCAACGCAAGTCCCTGAATGGAGCGCAGCAAACGCTTTGGAGAACCCTTGTTTGTCTTCGCGTTTGCCGATTGTGTTGCTCACGGGCTTTGTTTTTCTCGCCGACCTTCTTTCGCTTTCTGCTCTTCTGTGCCGATGCGTCTTTTCTTCTGTGTCTCGTGCAGCATCCTCCCACACGCGTTTCTTTGCTTACAAGGAGAAGGAGAAAAGTCGAAGCGTCACCAGCAAAGAGGGAGGGATAACGGCGCGAAGTGGGTCCTCCTCTCCTCTCTCTCTTTCCGGTTCGTCGCTTTCCGCAGCCTTATTCATTTCTTTTCTTGTACAGCTGCAACTATAGTCACCTTTATCTTGATCTTTTTCTTTCCAACATGTTTTATTTATCAGAACCGAATCTATTTCATCAAGAAACAGAGAACTTCAACGAAGAGGAGTATCGTTTTCATCAGCGCTTTCCGGTACTCGGACAACGTGCGGCCTTCTCTTTTTTTTTTTAAAGCAGGGAAGAAGACGCTGTGCCCCACGAACAACTCATTTATTTAGTGATTCGCGGTTTTTTTTTGCTTTGCTTCAGTGAGGCTTCTCTTTTTTCTTTCCCTCCATATCTCCTGTCTCCAAGCAAGGGCTTCGCTTGAGCGTCTTACATGCTACATCGCCCAAACTTGTCTTCTCTGCATTCACACCTCTTTCTCCTCTTCGCGACGCCTTTGCTCTTGGGTGCATCACCTTCTGGCAACCTCACCTCGTGCCTTCTTTAAACACCACACCCTCCCCCTCTTCTTTATCGTCATTACACATTCCCTAACCTGGATCTCTGAACATCCTTTTTTTGTTGACGTACTCATATATATATATATATATATGTATTTCCCAAAACAGTTCAAGCTTCTTTAAACTCTTTAAATCCTTCTATACTTTTTCTCTCTCACTTTCCAAGATGGCCACCACCTACGAGGAGTTCGCGGCGAAGCTCGACCGCCTGGACGAGGAGTTCAGCAAGAAGATGCAGGAGCAGAACGCCAAGTTCTTCGCGGACAAACCGGATGACTCGACCCTGTCCCCTGAGATGAAGGAGCACTACGAGAAGTTCGAGAAGATGATCCAGGAGCACACGGAGAAGTTCAACAAGAAGATGCACGAGCACTCGGAGCACTTCAAGCAGAAGTTCTCTGAGCTGCTGGAGCAGCAGAAGAACGCGCAGTACCCCGGCAAGTAAAAAAACCGCACGGGTGATGCAACGCTGTATGTTTTTTTCCCCCTCTGGTAGAGCGCACCATAGACACAAGAACTGGACTGAGATGGAAGAACAATAGCAGCTGCAATGAAGACAAATTTAAGCCCCTTCTTTGTTTTGTTCCTCACGGTGTTGCAGCAGGATTTGGAGGTCAAGGGACGAGTAGAGAGGGTGCTTTTTTTTCCCGTTCTCCGACTCCTCTGATAACGGCTTCGTTTTTTTGTTTTCGGTACTCCAACGCAATCGACACAAACAAGCCACTGTCGAGTAACTCTCGGGTGTTCTGCTTGTTTCCGCGCGCATCCTTCTTTGGCTCGCGCTGAGGCGACGGAGAATGTTTCGTGCCAACAGCAGTCCGCCGTTTGTGCTCTTTCTAATTTGTCTCCTACGCTTTCCTATTGTCCCTTTTGTTTCCACCTTCTTTCTTTCCAATCATTTTTTCTTGACGTTTTTTTTTGGTTTTATGTTGTATTCAAGATCGTAGTTTGAAAATGAAAGTCACATTAGGTGAATGACGGATTCTCTTTCAGCGTAGTAGAAGCTTTGATTTCGGCGAGAAACTCGCACCAACGGGAACGCGCTACCCCCCGCTTCTTTGCACCATGATTGCTTCCTGCAGTACTGTCGGGTGGCGGGAACGAAGGCGTGCTTTGGAGACTCGAATGAAGGAGAACAACAACCGCACGAGGAAGAAGTCTTTTTCTGTCGTTGACATCGCTCTCTTCTTTCTTCCCCTCTTCTTCAACTTTCTTTTCCGCTTTTACGCAACCCGTTTTTTTTTTCTTTTCTACCTTCGGAAAAAGGGGTATTCTCCGCTGCTGTTACACCGCAGCTTCGTTTCAGCATCAGCGTCAGCTTTGACCTCTTTGAGAGAAGCTCGTCTGTGAGTGTGTGTGTGATTCTTCACTGGGGCATTGAAGCAGGCAAGCTGCACTGCCATGTGTGGGTGTAGTGTGCGTGGCATTGCCCATTTTGTTTTCCCCCTTTCTTACACATTTGTGCCGTAGAGACTGATCACGACGTATTCTAGCGAAATAGCTCCCTTGCGAAGATGCTGCGCCGCTGCCGTATCTTTGGCTTCCGCATGAAGAGCGGCAACATGCACGTGGACTACAAAATAACCTCCCGCAACCACCGCCGTTCCATTCGCGTCGAGGACGCCCTCGTAGACCCGCTGCTGCCGACCACAGTGGTGCCGCTCGAGTGGCTGGAGCAGCTCCGCGCACCCTCCACCCGCCTCCTCACCGGTTACCACACTGAGGAGGCGACGTACGCCACGCCGCGCTACGGCGACCACACCTCGAGCAGTACGAAGAAACTCACATCTTCCTCCTCTTCTTCTCCAGCAGGGAAAGCTGCCGAGACGCCGTCCGGACACCCCAACGCGATTCGAGCAGGGCCGGTGGTGCTGTACATCACCGGACAAAGCGTACCCGTCGTGCTGAACCCGCTGTTTGTGTCGGCGGAGGAGTGGGGCCTGACACAACCCAACGGCGAGGTGGACCTCCGCCTTGGCATGGACGCGATCGAGCAGTGTCAGCTGTACGCGGAGCTGCGACCGGGTGGTCTGCTGTACGCGAAGTTACCGCACCACAGCCTCGCCGCGGCGATGGAGCCGGTGCAGGACACACTGAAGCGGTACGGCATGCAGTGCGGCCTGGCGGAGTCCCCGCTGGTGCCGCGGCCGTGGACGCGCATGCGCTACATGTTCATTGACGAGCTGCAGCGTGGCCCGAAGATGACGGAGTTCGTCGGCTTTAATCCACGCAACGGCACCCCGTGGCGCTTCTCGCAGCACACCAAGTACTTCCGCACGGGTATCTGGCGCGAGATCATCCGCCGCAACGAGATGAACGACGGCCTGCAAGCGCACAGTAGTTGGCAGAAGTCGCCGCAGCAGGCGGTGCCAGACGTCAGCTTTTTGGCTCCTTACCCGTAGAACGGAGAAAGGGAGAAGAAAAAAGAAAGAAAGACAGGTGGAAAAAAACTGGTGTTCTCGCGTCGATTCATTACGTACTTTAAAAAAATATATATTCTGTGGGTATCGTGAAGGGATGGGGCGGCGACGCGTGAGGTTGTTTGCGTAGCGTTTGGGAAGCGATGAGAATCGCCTTGTTGCCTCACATTAGTTTTTTTTTTGCCTATTGTTGTTGGTGTTGTTTGTCGGCGTCACCCACTCATATGTGTTCAGTTCGCCCTTCGCTGGATGGGGGGGGGGGGGCACAAACAGATGTTCACTTTTCCGTAGACCAGGAAGGCTGCGGGGGAAAAAGAAAAAGAAGCAAAAAGGCGGAGAGAGGCAGGCGCCGCCGCCGCCTCTAGAGGATGGAAGAAAGCCCGTAGGAGACGAGGTGAGGATGGATGTCGACACACGTGGCACGCTGTTGTTGTAAGCGGAACCATGCAGCACCGAAAACCAGAAATTGCATCAAGGGAAAAGACGCACGAATCTCTTGCCCGTATTACATATATATGGGATGATCTCCTTCTGTACTTTTCTTCCGCGTGCATTGCATCGCTGCTAATGAGCGTATGACTTGCCACGAGCTCGTTAAGCGCATCTTTTCTGTACGCTCTTATCTCTCCCCTTCTTTTTCCTGCAAAACCAAAATTATATTTTCTTTCTCTTCGTCGCCAATGCACATCCTTTTTTTTTTGCACCTTCGAAGTCCCCCCCTTTTTCAAGTAGTTGGTGTGGCGAGAGGAACAGCACCATCGCACGAGGAGCCCTCTCAAACTCCTCCAATAACCACCTGCGGATGGAGTTCTGCACCTTTTGACTTCCGTTTTTCTTTCTTCGAGGCGGGGAAGGGAAGCCAAAGCATACGCAAACCAACGCAGGTAACATCAACGAAGGAGCTCTCCAAAGTCGCATTGTCTGCGGCCGATAAAAGCGTCTTGTCGTTTCTCTTTTTTTTTTGGTATTGGTGCTTCTTTGATTCGTCACTTTCTTGAATCTGCCCACACGTCTGTGTGCCAGAGAGACTCGTTGATGCGTTGTCTTCTCATACCACCTCTCTCCTCGAGAGGTCTGCATCACACAATGCGGCACCGCTGGTGCTGCTGCCCTTCCCTTTCCTCCTGCAGGCGCTCTCTCAGCACGTGCACACCTGCCGCCCTGCAGCGCTTCGCTTCCTCTGCCGGACGTGGCTCGTGGTCGTCCTCTTCTCTTGCGCGCCCATCGTCGTCCCCTACCTTTCGCCCACCCACGCAGAATCTTCTCTCGCCGTTTGGCTCCGTCCTCCATGGCCCCACGCGTGCGCCACAGGCCACATTTGCGGAGCCGCTCGACACCTGGCTTGCGGTGCTTGCCGACACCGTTCCGTTTAATGCAGACTGCCTCCTCGTCTGCCCCTCCACGTCGACGCGGGCGCAGGTGAAGCACGTTTGGGATCGCTGTCGAGCGCACATGCCCACCGCCCACGTGGGGACTCTGCATGTACGCAACGAGTTCCATGGCCAGTGCGCCACGTCTTCGCCACGGAAGCGAAGTGGGCCAGCAGAAGAGGTGCTTCCTTCTGCTCCTCCTCCTCATTCCACTGCTGGCACTCCTCCGGAGGTAGGCAGTTCGGTCACTTCATCATCGCTCGCCCCTTCATCGGTCGTCCATGTCAACGCATCCTCGTCCGCCCTCTCTCGGCGCACAGCACGGCACGCTGTCCCGACGAGGCCACTTCCAGCTCTGCGCTCCCCTCTGGAGGGCGTCGCACCGAGCTCGCTGGACGTCGTTGTCTTTGCCAGCAACGTCTTCGCGCACGAGATGCTGCTAGACGCACCGTGGCACCTCTCGATGGCGCACCGCGCGCTGCGTCCGCACGGGGTGGTGGCCATCGTGGGCCACGTCGCGGATGCCGAAGTTGTCGCGCCCGACTGGGCCATGGCGAGTTGCGCAGACTGTGTTGCGAGTGTGCATGGAGAAGCGATGCAAGACTTAGAACTTGCGGCGTTAGAGGCGGTGCGGGCCGTGCCGTCGTGCGAGGCGCACGTGCATCGCCTGCGCCGTGCGCTGGAAATTCAAGAGACGCTGCGCACGGCCCACGGCGACGTCTTCTTTCCCTTCCCGAGTGTGAAGTGTCGTTGGTTTACTTCCGAGTACGCGATGACGCCTGCGCAGGTGACGGCGAGCTACCGGGCTGCGCCGCTGTATCAGGCGCTCTACGGACTTGCGGGGGCCACATGGCGGAGGACGGCGCAGTATGCGCTGCACCACAGCCGTCATCACCGAGGAGAGGGCAACGACGATGCCCATGGAAGCAACGGAGCCGACGATGACTTCTTTGTGGACCTCACAGGGACTCTCACGAACGACGTTCCAGGCGGGATGGAGCACGGAAGGGTTGAATCGGGCGCTTCGCTGTCGCATTCTTCTCTGCACTCCACGGAGGATCTTGCCAGCTCGTGGTCTCCGCTGGGGGTGCAGCGTCGCCGCGGTATCGTGGACCCGCTGGACGCGCTGCAGGCCATCCTTGAAGCGCACGCCGGGGGCGTTCGCGCAGACGCGGATCCGCGCTCTCCCTTAACGAGGCGTCCACCGCGATCGATGGAGCCGCCGCTGCGGGTGCAGATGCGACATTTCGTCGTCACGTGCAGCTCGCGCAGCATCAACGCCCCACTTGATGCGCCGCAACCGCCTCGTCTGCCAGGCACCGTGGGCCATCGCGGTGGTGGGTCGCTCCTCTCCTCGGCATGTTGTAGTAAGAGGCAAACATCTCTCCCTTCGTCTTGAGGTATGAATGGGATCTGAGTCCATGGTGTTGCTTCGCTTCACACAGTTTTATTCGAAAGAGCTATTCACAGAATTAATGGGAATGTCTCATTACAGGTCGAAGTTATGAATAATAATAAAAAAGAAAAGGTGAGAAACTTCCTCTACAGCGCCAAAAATATCTGGAGCCTGTATGAAAGCATTGGAACGGGGCTTTGAAAAGTATGAGAATGACTTTGCTTTAGTCATCCACTGCGCAACTTGATGTCGCAGGAAAGGCCTTTTCTTCTCACTATTCACCGATCAATTGGTTGCTGTCTCTTGAATTCCTCCTCTTCTAATTAATACTTTTTTTTTATCGCCTTAGTCGTCGTTACGGTACCTGGTCGCACCTTTTGTTTTTCTCTCTCTCTGCGTGCAATCGCCTTATCTACGACTTCGTGTTCTCTCCTTTTTTTGTGTTTTCCTCTTCTTCTTCTTCCTTTTCCCTTTCTCGTTTACCAAGCGGTTGACCAATTGGCTAAACGTAAACCATTCACCGCGCACTGGAGCAGCGGAGTGCGGATGCGCGAAGCGCAACTACAACGCATCAGTAAAAAGAAAAGAAAAAGAGAGCAGGCCTTCACCCCTAGAGAACTACCGCTGCACGCACTGACGTACAACTCGAGTGCAAACCATGAACCTCGTTAATACCTACCTGCTTTTGCCGCTGCAACGCAAAATCTTCAAGAACTTTGGTCACTATGATTATCGCACAAACACTTTCCACCTAAACGAAGAGCGCGTCAATGAAGTCTTTTTCGACCCCGCGTTTAATCCCTTTGTGGACGTTCTGCGCGAGACGTCGCACGCCTCCGCGATTGCCTCAGCCAAATCAACAGTTCACCATCCCGCTTCTCCAAGTGCGACACGACAAGTTAACCAAGCAGGGCAAGAAGCCGAGACAAGGAGAAGCAGCGGTCCACCCTCACCGGCGCCACCAATGCAGAATGCAAACTGCACGGGTGCTGACAGCGACAACACGAGAGAGACACAGCGCACTCAGGAAGATCTACCGCAAACGAATCGTGCGCCGCCAACTAGTCCACAGGGGCAGCTTCCCCGTGTTCAACTTTTAGAGGGCAAAGTACGCTCCGCCGGGCTCGTGTCTTTCCTGCGGCAGGTGACCGCTCTAAAGTCGCTAGCTGTGGAGTCGATCGACTTGATTTTCAGTGTTGCCGCTGCCACAAGCGAAGAGCGGAAGGATGCTGTAAGTGCGTCACTATCAGCAGCGAGGGGTGCGGACGACACATCTTCTCCAACGCCACAACGTGTCGACGAAATGGCGAATGCAGATGACGCATCACCGACCTCGGCGCCGTGGCAGGATGGTGATGAACCGACGACAGCAGCGGCGATGATGGCACGCTCGTACTCTTTAGAAGATCAGTTCACTCTGTTCCATTCACAGCAGCAACCGCGCCTAGGGCGTGAGGCGACGGCTGCGGAAGCTGCGGGAAGTTCGCCGTCTGCGGTGTCTCATCCGAGTCCCACCACCGCGCCCGGCCTTTCTTCCTCACCCTTTCACACCGTGGGCGATCTCATGAACTACTTGAAGAATCAGCTGCAGGGTCTTACGGTGGGCGTCGAGGAGGTTCGTCTTACCTTCTGCGTTCCACCTGCTCCACACGCCTCGCGCTCGACAACCGCGTCTGGCTCTTCGCAGAACACGTCCTCCACCGGGCAAAGATCATCGCCGTCGCAGACAAGGGCGACAACACCCGTAATGGGTCGCGGCACACGTGTGTTGCACTTCACCTGCCGTCAAGGTCTGCGCTTCACGGTGGATAACGCCATCGGTGACGCGGTGCAGGACATGCAGTGCTCCACCGTCGTCAGCGACTGGCAGTGCTACCTGCGTGTGATGGAGGAGGACGGCCCGGTGCCCACCACGTTCAGCCTGGACGAACTCGTGATGACGACGACGGCACACGTCGGAGCAGCGTCTGCTGCCAACACAACGACTGCTACGACGAGGAAGGACGATGGCACACAGGCGGAGGCCCCAGTGGCGGAGTCGGCCCCCATTACGGTGCATCTTGCACGCCAAAGTGCGTCTTTGCGGCCCAACAGTGGCGCGTCGTCCCCCGCCCCCTCGCCCCCCGCGATGGAGCCGCCGCGGATTCTGCTCGACGTCGAGGCAACGGGAGGATGGAGCGTGGTGCTCACGGCAACGCAGGTGGCGCACTTAATCGATATGGCCTACCTCATCACCGCCGCAGCACCTTTCCCTATGGAGTCTAACGGTAAGGCGAGTAAACCAGTGGAGAATGAGCCACCCACAACGCCTTCGTCAATTTCCCAAAGGTGGGCCGCCGACGTGACAGACGCACTGCGCCAAGAAGTTGAGACGGCGCCGCTGGAGTCGGTCGAGGCTATGGCGGCAGCCGCCATAGCCGCGACGCAGCTGCAGGCGGCTGCCAAGTACGTCTGCGTGCACAGCGCTGGCTGCTCGATCACACTGCTCACGCGGTCTGCGGTGGAGCCCGGGGTGGTGGCGCGGGCGTGGAGTGGCGCGCTGTCGCCGCAGCAGCTCTCTCTACTCCGTACGGCGGAGGACACGCACGACGAGGCAGCGCGCGTGTCGAGCTCACGTCGTCCCGTCTTTGACGCGCTCGCTTCCCCTCACTTCACCTACGTGATGCGCGACATGGACTTCCTTTTCCCTAACGTTGAGTCCCGCGCCGCTCCGTCGACCGCCCTCAGCCGCGTGTTTGCCGCGGACCGCAAGAAACGTGCCATCTACCGTAACCTGTTCAAGAACGACCTCGCTGATCCGGCGGTGACGGAGCAGCTCACGCGTGCGCAGCAGCGTGGGTTTTACAACGGCGCGCAGAGCTTTTTTCTCGGGATCGGTTCCATCGCGTTGTTGGAGTACCGAGAGGCCGCATCGCGAAAGACAAGCGAGAATGCGGACTCGCCGAATGCATTCCAGCTTTTGCGCCCCGCGCAGCTTCTGCACGCAGCACGGTCGCCCTACGCGTTTGTGGTGCTTCATCGCTCCACGCAACCTCTTCTCGAGAAAGCTGGTCGTTCTTCTCCTTTGTCGCATCGCGCGAGGGCAGATGAAACCGCGCAGACCCCCTCGCCCTCAGCCCCGCCGCAGCTGTGCGCTCATCAAGAGACGGTTGTGGTGGGGCTCGCCAGTATTTCGGTGGAGCTGGATCCTGAGTTGCTGGAGGTGCTGACCTCGTACGTCATGACATTAGCGACGTTAACCCAGTCCATGACGCGTGCGGCGGTTTTAACGAAGAGCACGCCCAAACCGGCGTCACGGGTGGCGAGCCCGTTACCTCCGTCGCTGCAGCATATCTCGCCAACTGGGACGCAAACGGTGGCGAATCGCAGCTCTGTCAAGGTGCTGCTGGAGAGCCTTGAGGCCTCTGTTCGGTTCCCGCTGCATCCTCTGACGATTCACGATGACCTGATCACCGGCGTGCCCGCCTCTCGTCCCTCTTCCCCGCCAACCGTGCCTCTTGTTACTTTACCATGTTTGCTGGCGCGCCTGCTGCAGCGACTACGCGAGACCAGTCTCCACACTCACCGCAAGCTGCGTTCAGAACTCGTGCAGCTGGCGCGCATCGAGAGCGACGCAGCACCTCATCGCACGTCCACCGACGAGGTTGATACAACGGTGCCATCGACGGCCGCTGACCAAGCGCGCTCCTTTGCAGCTGTGCAAGAGAAGCTCGGCTTTCCTGAGGATGTCTACGGCACGGCACGGTTTCTTCCTGAGGTCTTGCGCTTCTCCGTTCGAGACTTGCAACTTGTGGAGACGCAGTCTTCGTGCGGCGCATCTCAATCGAACGAGATCACCTCTGTGCCAACCGACACACTACATCAGCCTCTCTGCACCTCGGTTAAGTGGCGTGAGGCGGTGGTGTACATGCACGATGTGCTGGAGGGGACGAAGTCGGAGCTCTTTCGCGGGGACTACACACCCGAGATGAGCATCCGCATCACACATGCACGTCTTCCGGACGAGGCTGCGCTGCACCGCTGGCACGCGCTTCGGCATGTGCTGACACTGCAAATTCGACTTGGGGACGTCACGACGACTGTTCTTACACAAGATGACTTCTTGTTGGCGTCCTTCTACGTGCAAGAGCTGCTGCGGACACTCGCGCATTGCCGTCAGCGATTGCACGGCCTCTTTGACGGCTACGAAGAAGCTGCGACGGAAGGCGCACCGAGTATTCCCTCAGCGGAGGCAGAGGCGAACGGATCGAGTGCGGCGCTACCCGATGCATCAGCGCAGACGACGTATGAGACGACGCATGAGACGACGGATGAGAGTGCTGGCGAAGCACCGAGCAGTGGGTTGCGTCTGCACTCGGCGGATTTGGTTGGCGGTACCGTGGCTGAAGCGTTTGCGATGGCGGACGTGCACAAAGCCGCTGCAGCCGCCGCAACGAGCCCTACGACAAAGCCGGCGTACGCCGCCGACACGGCGCAGGACGCGCAGAGTACCTCAAGCTCTCTCCTTCAGAAGTATTCGGAATGGCTGCACCTTGTCCCCGATTTATGGTACTCCGTAGAAAGCACGTGCACCGCCCTTGATGTGCAGATTGGCCGTGTTCGGGTCGGTCTCTTCGCCCCCCGTCTCTCTCCAATGGGTGACGTCGTGGGCGAGCCGCTTTTCCGTTGCCTCCCCGCTGCCCAGCGCCGCCAGATGGTCGACCTGAACTGTCTCTACCACACCTACATCATCGAGCTCGTCGGTGTCTCGATGCGTGGTCTGCTCGGCAACGGCGCGCTCGTGGGCAAAGGCCACGACGCGTACCTTCACGCGCGCTTCGGCGGCTGTTCCATGTGGGAGCGCCACCCGCTGGCGCTGTCGACGAGCAGCGGTGAGCGTGGCCGTGGTGCGGGGCCGGGTGGCGGCGGCGGGGGCGCTACAGCCGCGGCTGCCGCCACCTCTTCTCTCTACAGCAGTTACGTCTCCGGTGTGATGCACCCGCCGAGCACGTCTTCACCGCCGCGCGGGACGGCGGACTTGTTGCAGCAGTCTTCCACCATCACCAGCAATGGCAGCAATAACAGCAGCAGTAACATGCGTGGCGGCGATGGGGCTGCCGTGGGCAACGGACCTGGACTGCGCCGTGACCTCGGCTATTACTTATCGAACCAGCAGCACCGCGGTAGTACGCTGGTCCAACTCATTCAGAGCTACACGGAGGCCTGCGCAACGACCGACGGCGATGGGGAAGAGGGGGAGAGGGAGGAGCTGCTCGCTGTTGTCGATACAAAGCGTGGAGCCGTGCGTGGCGCATTGGGTCGAGACGAGCGCTTTCTGTACCAGTTGTGGAGCACCTACATCGAGGAACTGAAGAGGCGACTCTCCGATGGTGCCCAGACCTCGACAGGAAAGCTGAACACTGTATGTGCCGATCTGGATGTCGGGGTTTGTGCGGTACGCGTGCTGGAGCACGTAGCGGGCGAACAGGAAGCGCAAACGCAACCTTCAACCGATGCCCGCGCTTTTCGTGACACGCGTAGCATCACCATACAACTGGCCGGTTTGGGTCTTCGCCACATCGTGGCCTACAACGGCGACCACCTTGCTGCCGTTTTGCAGAATTACTTCAGTGCCGGGGACCGCATCATTCCCAACACAGCAGCTGATGTCGCCGCGCCTCTTGCGAATCAGACAGCGGAATTTGCAAAGAATAGTAGGAGGAGCAGTAGAGAGACGGCAACTGCCATTCATTTGGAGTTGAACAATCTTATGGCTACGTATCGCCCTCGCGGTGTGGGTCGATCGCTTGCCGCGGTGCTCCTTCCACGCGCCTCTGTTCTCGTGAATGCCCCGGCTTGGACGCCTTTGCCTATGAAGAAGGACTTGGGCAAGTCCGCACACGGTAAAGAGACGGGCGAATCTGTGGCACAGCTGCCATTGGCCATGCAGGCTCAGGCGTGGCTGCACACCTCCGTTCCGATTTACGTGTGCAACGACTGCGACGTGGAGGCCCTCGCGCGGGAGGTGTTGGACCCGACGGAGAGTGATGACTGGGGCGTCGATTTGGAAGGGGCGGGCTTCGTGCGCCTGTGTGAGGTGATCTCCACTGCACCGGTGCTGACGGACAACGATGCTGTGTCCGCACGGCTGCAGCGTTACCCGGTGAAGCGGCGTCCCAACCTCACTGTTACGTTGCCGCAGTCGGACGCAGCAACGGCTCTGCAGGATGCCGATGAAATAAGCAGTAGCAACGACAACAACTTCACAGCCGACGGCGACGGGGGCTCCGCTGCGGATCGCGAGTCTGCTGTGGCGGTGCGCGTGCGTTACGTGGAGTTGTCTGCGTTTATGGCTAAGGACGCTTTTGACGTTTTCCGCGAACTTGCCGAGACGTGGGGGGCCGGCTCGGATTTGCAGGTGTTGGACACCCCTGCCGCGCTGGTGATGCGGAGCGGCCCCGGATTTGACTGGGTGGCAGGGGAGGTGGCGCGCAGCTGTGCTCCGATGACATTCCAACTTAATCCCGCACTGACCTCTGCTCTTGCACGTGAGAAGGGCACACCGGCGTTGGTGGGCCGCGTAGAAGGCAGCGCGCAGCTCATGACTGAGGCAGAAAGTGCCACCTCTGCTGCCCCCCATCAGTGCTTTCCGCCTCGACCTTCTTCCTTTTCGCCCCTGTGCGACGTGCACGACGCGATGCTGTCTGCTGGCTCTGCTAGTGCTTCGGCCGAAGTCTCCTCGACGCTTCCGACGTACGGCTACAGCACGTGGCGGGACGCGCTGCACGCCGCGCAGGGTCGAGATCAGCGCTTGTCGGAGGCGTACCAGACTCGGGTGGCGGAGCTGCTGGATAAGGAGTCGCCGTGGGTGCCGGTGCATCGATTTGCGCAACAAAGCAAGGATGATGTCGCGAGTGCCGTTGCGGATGCTGCGATGGTACCACTATCGTCACAGGACGCCATTTTCTTCCCCAGTGACGAGTGCGAAGACGAGCAAAAGGCGGAAGAGTTAGACACGGCGGTGCCGTCAGGGCTTTCTCAAAGAGGCGGCAATGCGGCAACGCCGCACGCGTACGCCCCCGTGGCTCCACCTCCTGCGTCCACTGCCGTCTTATCCGTGTCGTCGTCCTTCTCTGACCTCGGTGAGTTGGAGACGAACCTCGCGCCTCTCCAGTGGCACGTAATGCCCTGCACCGACCCGAATGCCGCCTTCTCCGAAACGGTCCGGCGCATCCCCGCCGCGGCGCTCGTCGGCGGAGGCGTCAAAGTGGCGGTGGATGACGACGTGGATGACGCTGATGTGAACGGCGACTTCGATCTGTGTGCGGCGTGTGAGCGGCAGCCGCACTTCCTTAGCTGCTGGTCACGCGACCGCGCAGACGCGGCGTCGCAGAGCTGCCCTGTTAGCTTCAACCACCTGGAGCGCACCGACGACGCCTTGCTGCACGACACCACGGAGAAGTACCTCTACCCACCAGTGGAGCTACAGTTTTTTCTGTGTGACTGCGCCGTCAATGTGAGCCTGTACGAGGGAACGGACTTGATGGCGGCTGCGGTGCGGAAGCAGCGACAGGGCTACCTCCAGATCGTTTCACGCGGCGCCCGCGTCACACAAGCCGCGGTCCCCTACTCGATGGTCAGCCCACACGACGAACACCGTAAAGACGTGAGTGAAAGAGATAGGAAGCACGGCAAAGCCGAGGTGACAGCCAAACAACGCAGTGCACACTTGGAGCCCTCCACCTATCCGTCCACCAGCGCAGCAGCTGCCACCACCACAATTCCTCTTTCTTCTCTGGAGCCCCCATCCGAGTCGTCCGCCTCTCGCCTGAGTCGCCTCAACAACCGCGGCTGCCGCAGCGGGTTTGGCGACCGGGACGCCAGCAAGCGTCTGGTGCTGGTCAGCCGCGGGATTACAGTGCAATGCAACACCTTTTCTCAGGCCTCCGAGGAAGATTTGTGGTTCCACGTCGTCGTCGGCGAGGCGACCGTCTTTGACTGCATTGAGACGAGCGACGTGCACCGACTGCTCACTGCCACACCGCAGACCACCTCCGCCTCTGCGCGATTCCCTGCGGGTGCTGCGGCCACCGCGGCAAACATGAGTCGCCCGCGTGTCCAAACCCCACAGATGCAGGAGAGCCACCTTCGTGTGGACGGCGACAGTAAGGGTGCGCGCCAGTTGGAGCTGACGGGCTTGCTGACTTCTTCGAAGAGTCTTCACATGGCGGCGGCGCGGCACGACGTGGCCGGCGACACCCGCGCCAGCTTCACCGTGTCTCGCTTTCAGCAGGGCGGCAGTGAGCTCTCGCTGGTGGTGCGGATGCAGCCGACGTCGCTGACGTGGAGTGGTGCCTCCATGGACTTCGCGCAGTCCTTCCTTTTTTCCTCTTCTTCATCCTCGCCCACGCTGCCGTCTCCGGCAGCTCCGAGTGGCAGCGGCGCGGCTGCTGGTGGAAACGTCGGCGTCAGCGACGCATCGTTGAGAGCCGGCGCGCTTGGGGCTACGGGTACTGGCTCCGCCGCATCCACATCTGCCAATATCGGTGTTCTCAGCACGGACGACGGCGTCATCTCAGGAACGGAGGCGCCACCCATCTTCTTCCGACGCGTCGTGATTCTGCCCACCACCTTGACCGTCGCCGGGTCTTTTCAAAGTGACAAAGGCGTCCTGGCGGCGCTGGCGGAGGGCAAGTCGCTCGACGCGTTGCGCAGCGTGCCAGTGCTGTCGTGGATCTCCGTCCAGGAAATCCCTCTCCCCATTCCGTTTATGCGCATTGAGGACTGTAGTAGTGCGGTGACGCTGCTCCAGCGCATCGTGGAGGACACCAACTGCGTGTCGATTCGATTTCTACTCACCGCGCTGTGTTGCGGACTGCAGCCCCTCTCCGCAGTAGCGCGTGTAGGTGAGGCGGCACGAGGATTGCTGCTGCTGCCCCTCTCGCAGTACCGCGGCGCTGCCCTACACCACGCTATTCGCACTGCTTCCTCCGTCTTTATGCAAGAGTTGCTCGCACAAACGTCCGGTGTGGCGGCGCTGCTGGCCAGCGGCTCCTACCACGCTAGCCGCTCCCTTCTCGAGGCACTGATATCGCCGTCCGATCGCAGACGGGCGATTACCGCCGAGCCGTCCCGCGCGTCGCAGCCGGCTGGCCTCGGCGATGGCTGGCGACAAGGACAGGAGCAGCTGCGCACGGGCGTGGAGGAGGCCCTCACGATGGCGAGCTACTGCACGGGACCAGATGGCAGTCTGCTTCGACTGCCAGCTGCAGCTCTGCGGATGTTGATGGGCATCTCTGGCGCTGCGACGACCACGTTGTGGGGTGTTCGAAATAGCCAGAGCAGTGCCGCTCGCGATCGTGATGGCTACATCTACAAGAAGTAGGGCCTGGGTAGAAGGTCTTTGCACTCTGTGTTCTTCTGCGATCCTTATTTCCTGCTAACATTGTTGCTCTGCCACATACATACACACACGCTTTTGTTGATATATATATTTATAATACCTGTTGTTCCTGCAGTTTGAATCCCTTTTCCGCTAACGGTGTTTTGGTTTATTATTATTATGTATAATATAGAGTTGCTTCTGTCTGCACCACCTGCTTCTTTTTGTTTGATGGACCGTACCTTCTCCTCTGCTTTCGATTACTGTCTCTACGTTGACGCGCATTTCCACTTGGTAACCAAAAAGAAAACTTAACAACCAACAAACGAAGCTGTAGCTTTCGATATTGTGGAAGCGAAGTGTCGCCGGGATGAATTGCACAGGTGCGACTCGGTTATTCTTTTCTTTTGAAGCCTATATACCGTGTACAAAAACCTGCTTGTACTGTGACAACCGTGCCGCTTTGTAACGCTAAGCACTACTATGAAAAAAAAAACCCGCAATAGATGGGTCGGCCTCGACAACAGCAAGAGGCTCAAGGAACAACAGCTTTCTAATTTCTGTCTCTCGATGGACTGCCTTGACCATACGTGTTTCCATGTCATCTTCCGTTGCTTAGCGCTTCATGGTACGCTTTTTCTTTCACTTTCTGTAGCTCCTTCTCCCTCCTTCGTCTTTCCTACAACGGCGTTTGGCCCACCTCTTTGTCCTGCGTTCCGGCGCGATCTGTTTCTCTATTGCGACTACCGTGAAATGTAAATATTCCTGTACTTTGAAAGGTGGGTCTTTCCGCTCTCCGTACGAGTTTCGTGTAAACCAGAAGAAAGAGCCCTCTTTTCGTTGTTGTTTCTTTTGAACCCCATCCTGCTCTCCGCCATTACATCCGTCTCTGATATTGGCTATTCGTTTTCTCTGCTTTTCCCAAGCAAGCATAACCAAAGAAGTCCATTACCGCAGCAAAGGGAAAAAACTCTTTCCTTTTTTTCCTCTTTTTCTAAATTAAAAACAAGACAGAAGAACAAGTGGAATACATTTACTTTTGTTAACAACAGTAAAAACACTTACATTCAGTTTCTCTTCCCTCCCCCTCTCTTTACCCCTTCACCCCCCACTCAATCTCACGTGATGGATGGCAAGGTCATTGTTCTCTTGCGCAGCAGCAGCGTCGCGCGGGCACCGGTGTACCGCCACCTGCGCTCCCTCGGTGCTGTTCTCGTGCTCGTGCATCCCTACCAGCCCATGCCGGAGTTCGACGGTGTTTTTCATCATTGGCTGCAACTCGAAACAGACGACGTGGAGACCGTGCGCGTGGCACTGCGTGAATTCCTGACCGCACATCGCTTAGAACCAGACGCCATCGTTTCCTTCGATGAGTACGCCGTGCTCCAGGCTGCTGCGCTGGCTGTGGCCTTTCACCTTACCCCAGTGCCGCTGCCGCCGGCGGCGATCCAGCAAAATAACTTAAAGGACCGCTTCCGCCTCTTCTGTGCGGCGCACCAAATCCACTCGCCTAAGTCGACGCGACTGCCGCTGTCGCGGTTGCTGTCACCCGAGGTGACGGAGAGAATCGCGCAAGCGGACAATACGGCTGACAGCGTGTTTGCGGACCTGCGCGCGGAAATGCAAGACATCATTCTAGCCGCATTAGCCGACGCCTCGCTGACGTTTCCAATCGTGCTGAAACCAAGCCCCGGCGCCGGCAGCCTGCTGGCGCGGCTGTGCGCCGACATCGACGAGGCCACGCGCCACGCCTGGTGCATGTGGCGGACCCTCTCGAATTACCCAGACACGAAGCACTTTCTCGCTGTGGTGCGTGGGGCAGGCGGTGGGGTTGCGTTTGCCGACTACGCTACTATACCCTGCGTTCAAATCCTTGCGGAGGAGTACATCACCGGCCAAGAGGTGGACATTGACTGCGTGGTGGAGCACGGCCGGGTGGTATTTAGCTCCATCTCCGACAACTTCGCGCCGGTACCTCCGTACTTCGCCGAGGTCGGAGGTCTCTGTCCTTCCGCCTTAGAATTCGAGGGACAGCAGGCGTTGCGCGACCTGCTCGAATCGTATGTGGCGGCCTTTGGCGATCAGCTGCACGGTGTCCTTCACTTTGAGGCGAAGTACAACATTGCGCAACGCAGGGCGTACGTGATTGAGGTCAACTGCCGACCTGGCAGCGCGGAGACGAACACGATGATCAACACGGTGTACCGTGAGATGAGCCTCGGCGAGTCGCTCGTGCGGTGTGCGCTGCAGCAGCCGATCCACGAGCAGCTCGCGCGTCTGTTTCCGGAGATCGTGCTTCGTGCGCACGAACCAAACCAACCGCAGCAGCTCACCAACGAACACGCGGAGGTAGCGTCAATGAAAGAAGAAGGCAAAGACGCGTCGACGAGCAATGACGGCGACGAGGTGGTGATCCCGATGTGGCGTGCTCTCGGCGGCCCAGCTCGTGGCTTTTTCCCTCCGCAGTGCTGGGCGGCGTCGACAAACATTTATCCGCGCTGTGCCGGGGTGCTACGCAAGGTGCGGGCGCCAACCGAGGATCCCTCGCTAGTCGCGTTGTCGGTGTCCGCGCGCCACGGCGACGTCGTCGCCCCACCGCCCAAGCGCTTTTATTTGCTGTCGTGGATAGTCGCTCACGGGAAAACGGCCGCGGAGGCAAAAGATAACATCGAGCGTTTGATAGCGGCGTTTGTGCAGGAGGTTGAGCCGCAGTTGGAGGTGTAGTACGTAGATGTATTGGAGGAACAGAGAGTTCCGCAAGGAAGAAATCAACAAAAAACGAAAACGAAAACACCTAATGATGAGTGAGCGGCGGGGATACTTGGTTGACGAACGCACAGAACTCGGAGATGAAAAGTTGCAGGAGTGCTTCACACTTCTCTTAAATTAACAGCATGCTCTGCACTTTCTTCTTTGATTTCCTTTTTGTTTTGTTTTCCAGCGTGCAACTCAACGCTGTTGCCCATCCTTTTCTTTTACTGTTATTCACATTAGCAACTTAGATAATACTCCACGTCCATTTTCTCCGGTTTCCGTTACTTTTCACTTTGTTCCATTTTGTATCAAAGAATTGTTGGCCCTTCTCGCGCATTCAGGTAATGCAGTAAATCAAAAAAAATGCTAGTGGTGAGAAAGAGAAAGAAGACCTACAAAGCAAGAACAGATGGCGTTGCAGTTGTCCATCAGTTAAATGCTACGGCCAACGAAAACGTGGTGTGGCACGCAAGGACGATATTGTCTCGTGGCGTACGGAATGAATACATCGGCGCCACTCAACAGAAGCTGTCCTCGTTAGGTGTCTACGCGCCGCTTACGGAAAGTTGTGTCAGCATGTAAGCTAGTTTTCCATTTAACAACCACGCCGTCGTACCTTCTTTATGCTTCTGCACCTCACGTGTGAAACACGGCCTTCTACTTCTCCTTCTCTCTCTCTCTCTCCCAAAACCATTGATCATAACAAATACCCGGCTCCTCTGACAACATGCTTCTGTTTTAAAAACCAACAATACTAACAATAATAATAACGACCTTTTTGTGGACATACAGAAGAGAAGCAATTCGTCATTTGCAGACGTTGTCGTCGTGGTAATAATAAAAAAAAGAAAGAAAAATAGCACCCAAGAATACTTTTTCCCGGCAGTATAGCCTTTGCTTTTCGTGCTCTCTCTCCTATCGAAGCTAACACGTTACTACAGAGAGGGTAGATTGCTTTTACATACATAAAAAGAACTAGTTGACTTGGTAAAAGCAGTCTCACTCTGTCAGTAACTGTCTGCTTGCTCCCCCCCCCTCTCAGATCTCGTAGACGAAAGCAACGCGGAGAACGTATTGACAGTCTGGCAGTAGCAGCTGAGAAGTAGCTAAAGAAGGCTTCACACCTTTTTTTTTTCACATCTACTTGCGCGTCAGGGTTTACTGGGTTTCTTTGAGTGTTTGTGGTAAAATAAGTCGCATAGACAGCACAAGAAGACGTCCCGCACCATGAGCAGCAACCCCAATCGAGGAACAACGTTTGGCAACGAGCAAACGCGTCCGCAGGTGAAGTACAACCTGGCTGCCTTGCGTCTCGCGCAGTCGCCCAACAACGGTCAAAGCGGGCAGGCCCGCGTTGTGTCCGGTGCGCCAGCCCCCGCTCCTACAACCCTCACCACCGCAAAAGCTGTCTCCCCTTTCGGTCCCACTGCCTCGTCTAGCAAGAGCACCGTTACCCCGTCTTATGCTGCGGTGGCGAGCGGCGCCAGCACGGCTCGAGGCGAGGTGACAACGGCGACGACCACCACCTCCAACTCAGTCTCCCCGACAGCTGCACTGCTAGCGGCACTGCATATTGCCGGTGATGATCGCACCGCGGCCACCGCGAACACGCAAACAAATGTGACGTCTTCGCCGGGCCCGACAGCGAGGTACACGGCAAGCTCCACCCTTGCGCAGCCGGCACCGCCTGCTGCTGTTTCTGCTGTTGCCACCACCCCTCCCGCCGCCCCTCCCGCCCCTCCCGCCGTGCCGCCGGCTCCTCGGTCGTCGTCGTCCCTCAACGGTGCTGCTCCGGCTCCGCCCCTTGGTTCGCCGTACCCCGACCCCGCACCCTTCAGCACGGCGACCCGCTTCCCTCCCAGGACGCTGCCCTTTCCCCAGGCACCCACTGGAAACGGTGAGGCGGTGTCCTTTGCGGGTGCGCAGAGCACTGATCCCTCCCGACGTCCAGGGCCGATGATGATGCCCATGACGGGCAACGCGCCGCCGCCGATGCCCCACTCGCAGCAGCTACGGCCACCACAGCCGTCGCCAATGCAGCAACGGCCTCAGCAGCAACAACAACAACAACAGCAGCAGCAGCAGATGCAGCATGGCGGCGTGCCGTTCGCTCAATCCGCGCTGCAGCTCCCGCAGCGGCGAGGTTCGGACCCGACCTATACGAGATCGGCGTTCGTCAATCCGTTTCAGCAGTCGCTTCCGTTGAACTCGCAGCCGCAGCCGCAGCCGCAACCGCAACCGCAGCAACTGCAGCAACTGCAGCGGCAGCCGTCGCCGAATTCGTCTGTGACGCGCAGCAACCTCAGCGGACCTCTCACTCCCTCGCAGCCTGGAAAGACGTTTCTCGCTCAGTCACCGCTGCAACCAGCCCAATTCCAGCAACCGCAAATGCAGCCACCGCAGGCGTACCAAGCAAGGCCACAGCAGACGAGCAACTCCGACCTCGGTCCGCGACAGCAGAGGGACGTTCGCACCATTCCCGGTCTTGCCCCACCGGACCATCATCTGCCGCCGCCACCACAGCAGCCATCGCCGTCCTCCTCGTCCGCGCCCCCTGCGTCGATGTACACCGCCTTTCCACCCGACTTCACACCTTCGCCTCCAGCTCCAGCAGGGCAGCATCCAATGCAACTGAACCCGCAAGTGCGTCAGCCTGCGCCGCAGATGCAGCCTTCTGCCAGAGACCAGCCCCCGTTTTTCATTCCACATCATCATCATCAGCAGCAGCAGCAACCGTTGCGTTTTCAGGTGCCCCAGCCGCTGTCGAGAGGCGGTGTTTCCGGGCGTCCTGGAATGCCACCGCACACGCTGCCGACCGCTGCGGTTGCTGCTGCTGCTGCTGCGGCTCCGCTAGGAGCGACGCCGCCTGCGTCGAACCATATCCCTTCGCCCGTCAACCTCTACAGCACGGCCCCTCAACATGGATCCTCACTACCACCGCAGGTGCCTTCATTTGCTGCGCAGCCGGTGAGTGACAGCCGCGTGGCGCCTTCGCCTCCCACGGCTGTTACTCCCTCCGTGTCTCCCGCAGCTGCCAACGCCGCGGGTGCTTCGGTGGCGGTACAAAATGTGGATCTCCAGCAGGTGCTGCAGCGTATGGGTATCCCGTCGCACGTTGCCGCTACCCCTCCGTCGGCGACCCAAGCAGCAGTTCCCACGGCTGCGGCGACGCAGGCGGATCCCGCTTCCACTTTCCCCTCGTCGTCCTCCCACCCCAACGCCGCAGTCGCCGAGCAGCTCTCTCAGCTGATGCATCAACAGGCACCGCACCAGCAGCAGCAGCAGCAGCAGCAAGTCCCGCTGAACTTCTACGCTACCCCTGCAGGTGCCTCCGCCTCCCAGCGTCCGCTGCCCCATCCGCAACAGCAGCAACAACAGTACCCGCAGCCGCGATCCCAGCAGCAACGGTATGGGCAGCGTAACGGCCGTGGTGGTATCCAGCAATACCACAATCCGTCCCCGCAATATCAGCAACAGCAGCAGCAGCATCCGCAAGCGTACAGGCGTGGCGCGGGAGGTGCTCCGGCTGGTTACGCGCCAAACACGCGTGCTGCTCCTGTGTCGCACTTGACGGCGCCGGATCCCGAGGTGCTGGAGCGCTTCAAGACCGAGTACGCGCAGCAGGAAGACACGGAGAGCGTCAGCGACGAGCTAAAGGCGCAGCAGTCCACCAAACTCGGCACCGTCGGCACCCTTGACGAGACCGTCTGCCTCTCCTTGATTGAAAGCCACGACGTCACTTTTGTGATCACCGACACCGGCACGGGCAAGAGCACGCGCATCCCCATCGCACTGCACAAGGAGCACCCGGACGCCCTCATCGTCAACGCACAGCCGCGACGCACGGCGGCCATCAACCTGGCCCAGCGCGTCGCAGAGGTGCTGGACGCGAAGATGGGCGAGGAAGTTGGGTACTCTGTCCGCGGCGAACACATCGGCGACCTTGGCGAAACAAAGTTGATGTACGTGACCACGTACAGCCTCTTCATCTACTTTCTCTGGCACGAGTTCAAGGAGAAGCTGCCTTTCACCTACATCATCGTTGACGAGTTTCACGAGCGCACGCCAGATGTCGAGGTCATCTTGCTGATGCTGAAGCTGTGGCTCAAGAAGCACCCCAATGCGTTCAAGCTGATTCTGTGCAGCGCGACGGCGCAGGTCGAGGAGTGGCACAGCTTCTTTGACGGCCTCAACGTCGGCACCTACTCCCGTTCGCCCATCATGTACCCGATACGCGAGTACTTTATCGAGGACTTGCAGAAGTTGGTGGGCTTTCGCACTACTCCTATCGCGCCGCAGGACAGCAACAATATGGTCGCGTCGGAACAGATGCACCAGCTGATTCTGGTGTGCAAGCAGCTGGTGGAATACTTGGCGAAGAACACCGCCACGCAGGACAGCGTGCTGATCTTCATGCCCGGCCGGACGCAGGTGGAGCTGATGGCGACGTGGATGCGCGAAAATTTGGAGGAGTCCGTCGAGCCTGTTGCGTGGTACCGCGATGTTGAGTTGTCGGTCATTCAGGAAGCGCTGGCGAGATCTGCGGTGACGCGCAAGAAGGTCTACGTGGCAACCGATATCGCCGAGGTGAGTCTGACCCTACCGGACGTGGTTTTCGTCATCGACTCCGGCACAGGGAAGCGTCCACAGGTGTCTGCAAATGAGCAGACGAGTTACGCGTTTCCGCCTCTGCGTCTGCTGTGGGAGACGGCCTCGAACGCGCAGCAGCGCCGCGGCCGCGTAGGTCGTGTGCAGCAAGGCTTCTACTTCAGCCTGCTGAGCCGGCAACACCACCAGTCACTACGCGAGACGGAGAATCGCATCAAAAATGCTGTCCTCACGGAGCTCGTGTTGCACTCGCTGCTCGTTACGCAGAAGCCGTTTGCGTTCTTCCAGTTGTGCAACGAGCGGCCAGAAAATGGGGCTTTGTCGTACAGTCTACACCTTCTCCAAGACGGTGGACTCATCGTCGGCAAGGACAACCCCTTGGCGGAGGCGGAGCGAGTGGCGCTGGATCGCCCGCGCACGAATCATGTCATGGACTCGCCGTGGAACGCGCTGATCGAAGAGGCGCTTGCTGCCGCGCAGTCGACCTCTGCTAATGCAGAAACGGCACCCACCACCACTGCACTTGCTGGTGAGACGGCTCAGAAGGCAGCGCTCTCGAGCCCCAGTGGCGAATCCCAACAGCAGAGGAGGGACCCGTACGCGGCAGACAACGACGAGGACGACGACGTGCGGCTTCCCGAGGCCGGGGGCGATGCCTTCCAGCAGTGCTATTACATGACCCTGCGGGGTGTCATCGCGGCGCGCTCGCCGGTGTCGGTGGCCGCTGCGACGAACATCTTCTACGGGCTGCTCTGTGGCACTCCGACGCTGAGCATGCTGGCCGCCGCGATCGAGTCGTCCAAGTCGCCCTTCCACGTCCCCTACACCATCAACGACCGCGCGGAGCGGGCAGTGATGGTGCGGGCGGTGTCGCAGACAATGCAGCGCTACCACGGCTCCCTGCAGAGCGACCTGATCTGCGCCATGGAGGTCATCCTCGAGTACATGAGCATGCAGCGCGATGGATTGTCGGAGGAGGCGCAGGAGGAGTGGTGTCAGGAGCGCAGCGTGAGCCGTACCCGTGTCGTGGACACGCTGAACCTGTTCGCGCAGATGAAGGAGCAGGTGAACTCGGTACTGCCGTTCCCGGATGTGACAGATATCGACGTGCTCACGGCGCAGTTCAACCAAAACGCGGAGCTACTGGTGCTGATGCTGGTGGCCTCGCACACCGAGCTCGCGATTCAGGTGCAACTTGATGGCCCGGTGGCGCAGAAGAAGGGCTTCGTGGGCCACGGGATGTTCTTCCCGCTAAAGTGCCTGAAGGACGAATCGGTGCCGACGGTTTGCCCGTGGGATCGCACAAAGATCAGCGTGCCACTCTCACTACAGACGATGCAGCGGAAGGTGCTTGCGGTCTTCTCTTCGCAGGTGGAGCCGGACTTGTTTGCGCTGGTCGTGCTTGTCTTCTCCTTCAAGCTGCGCTACACCGTGCTAGAGAGCGATACGGTGCCGTCCTACCTCATGTCAGTCAGCCACTCCGGCATCAGCCGTACGTTTCAGTGCGACGTGCTCTCGGCACAGCAGATTCTACAGCTGCGCCGTATTCAGTGCGCGCAGCTGCGCAGCATGCAAGTGCAGGTGGAGGAGGGCGTCAAGGCGAATGACAGCGAGAGACTCAGCGCGGTGCTGCAGAGCGCCAACAGCGACTTCGGACTGCCAAGGAGCGCAATGGAGACGCCGTACCTTATTCCCACCGTCCTCCAACACGGTTTGAAGCTGCTCGTGAGCCGACTTCGCACTTCTCCGTCGTTTGCCGCGCTGAAGCAGCCCATCACGGACTTCCTGCCGGGGACTGCCTACTGCAAGCTGCAGCACAACACCCAGCTCACGCCGCCCATCTTGCAGTCGGTGCTGATTCACAGCAGCAACGGGTTGTCTGCGGCCGAGCCAGTCGCGTCGCCGGCGTCTGCAAAGTCGACCACAACGAGCGACGTCGCGGCTCCTGCACCGTCGATGGCGGCGGCTACCGAGGTGGAAGCGGAGGTGGACGATGAGGCGAGCGAGTCGGGCAGCGAGGACCACGTCGCCACCTTCCGCTATGATTTGTAGACGTGTGAGATCCGGCGCCGTTGATGCAGAATGCTGCTCTGTGGGACAGGTTGTTGCGTGTCAAATACACTTCACGTATGCCGATCCTTTTTTTGTTTGTTTTTGCTGACTCGTTTCGTTTCGTTCTGCTTTGGAGGCTCCTCGCAGATCTATATTTAATCTCTGGCTTTTTATTTAGGTGTTGTTTTTATTGCTTTTATTATTTTGAAATAGCTATCGGTTTGTCTGAATCTCGTTTGCTTTTCGTGTTCCTCTTCTTTACTAAACAAGTGCGTTTGTGCAACTGCGCACCGAAGAAGACCGCCGTTGATTTTTTTTCTCTCTCTTCTTTTCTTGTTGTTGCTCTCCATCTACGCAGCTTATCGGTCGATCTGTCTGACGAAAAATATATATCAAAAGACGCACCAAAATTTCTCTTTTTCCTCCACCGTTTTCAAAAAGAATCGAAAGACAAATTTATGTATCTTTCCAGGAAGTATAACACACCGCACAACGCTTGTGAACTTTACAGCGGAGGGTGTTCATTCTGAGCGCATCGTTTTCTAAAGCTGTTATTTAGAGCGAAGGCACGCATTGGGCATGCTCTATTTTCTTCGAATGTTTTTGTTTCTTCTTCCCTCCCCTCTTCTCGTCGTTTCAAACGAGGGTTTCTTTCCTTTTCTGTGTGTCTTCGGGGGCGGCAGGGCAGCACTTCCTCTCTTCTCTTCACAGTGTTTGTCGTGGCATGGCACACTCTTTATGTTTCCCGTGCACTCTGCAGGGCCTCTGCAAGCAATGTTTTTTTTTTCCTAATTATTATTATTGTGTTTGCTCTCGCATAGAGTTTCAATCTGAGTTTGCGTTTGCGTTCGTGTGGTGTTGATGTTTTTGTTTTTTGTTAGCGCGTGCAGCGGTAGAGGCGTACCATCATTGAGTTGATTGTTGAAGGTGCTCATCTATTTTTTATTTTTTTCTGAGTGTTGTGTTGGCTGCTCCGCTTCCGGAGCAATCAGGTGATCTAAAATGCCTCTTTTTTGTTGTTGATGTCGATGCTCCTACGAGCTTTATTTGAAGAAAATCTGTTTTCGCATAAAAGGGTTTGTCATGAAGTATGCAGCATTCACTTGACATACAGAAAAACAACAACACGTAGAAGGTTTTTTGTTCAGATGCTGGCACGAAGGTGTCGTGGAGGTTTCCCACGTGAGCACGGGATCTGCTACGTCGTTGCTCACTGTCACAAGAGCTACGCAGCACATTGCGCAGATAACAGGCTCCAACCCCTTCTCGACAGAAAAGGAAAGGAAACTGTGTGATGGGAGACTCCTCCTGTCCAATTGCAATCCCACTCGTTCGAATTCACCGCGTCAGCGGAAGTACCCCCCCCCCCCTTCACTGGAGCTCTCTTTCCTACTCTTTTTTTTGTTTTCCCACCTCGTGTGGAACATTTAAACCGCTCGTTGCATGGGTGTGCCGAAATCATCTTGCTGGCGTTGTGCAAGCAGTACGGGGCACTCTTTGTTTTTCTTTTCTTTTTCTGTTTTTCGTCTACCGCATGTTGCTCCCCGTCTTCACACATACACATACACACAAGGAAGCGACGACGACCACCACAACATAATCATTCTATAGTACTTCTGTGCGTGTGATTATCTGTAGCAGCTCCACCAAAGCTCCTTTCTTCTCACTTTAAAAGCAGAATTGTTTGCTGCTGTGTAAGCGCTCGGCTCGACAGCGATGTCCAGCTCCTCCTACAAAAGTCGCCACATCGGTGAGGCGGCTGTCGATGCCGCCAACACAGAAAACAGCGGACCGGGCAGCAGCGGCAGCAGCAGCACCAGCAGCCGACGTAAACAGCAGCAGGAGCAGCAGCAGCAGCAGCAACGCGAGAGTGCGGCGGCGCGTGGCGCGAAGAGTAACTTTGGCACTCCCACCATGTTGGGTATTCAGTACACCGCCGATGAGGCCAGCAACGTCTACAACAAAGTGAGTACGCTGCACGGCTACACCTTTTCCGTGCCCCCGGTGAACCGCTTCCACAGCAAAACCGCCGAGGCAAAGTTCACGCAGCTGACCGGCGGTCTCAACCCGAGGTTCGAGGCGAACAAGTTTGACAACCTGCGGGAACGGCTGCAGGTGGCGGAGAAGCGTGACAAGGACGGCCACCTTCAGGCGATTGCCATGCTGTACGCCGAGTTTCTTGGCAACAACTTCCTAAAGGCGAAAGACCTCGACTACGCCGAGATCGAGCGCTGCTTCTATCCGAACTACGCGCCCGAGTACGACAAGTTGCTGAGGGCGGTTGGTTTAGCGAAGCCGTGGTGGTGGCGACAGGGTATGTTCTCATCGCTGGAGGACATCTCCCGCCTCCCGCTTGACCGCTGCAACGTGGAGAGGGAGGCCGCGCTCAGCTTTGAGGAATGGTACTCGCTTTTCTGGAACTACTACCAACCCTTTCATACGCTGGCCTATCTGTGCATGATCACGGCACAGTCCTTCATTTACACTCGCGAGCTGGTCGACAGCGTGGCCGACTACCTGGCGGAACGCCACGCGCTGATTACGGAGGAGAAGGCGAGAAACGCGCCTATTTTGTTTCTTGGCACGCGTACTGGCAAGCTGGGTGCGCTGCTGAATGCGACGAAGAAGATCCCCGTCCCGATCATTCACGCGCACGAGAACCCGAACTCGAATCCGTATTTAATGATGATCCCGCAAGACAAGCAGGCAGAGTTCAAGCCCAATCCGATCATTAAGATGAAAAACCAAGCGGCGCTGGAGAAGTACGAACCGAGCATCGTGCTGTTGGCGGACATGATCATGAACTCCGACCCCACCGCACAGATACGCCAGCAGGGATCGGTGCGCGAGTATGTCTACTTCGGCGTGCCGGACAGCTACAGCGAGGGACACGCGTGGGATACGTGGGGCTACTTTAAGTATCGTGAGCGGGGGACCGACTACATTCCGGCGTACATGCGGGAGGGCTTTGGCAAGGTGTCGCTGCCGCACTTATCGCGATGGATGGTGCACAAGCTGGACAGCGAGATGCAGATGGGCAACGGCGCGGTGACGGCGTGGATTCGAACCCCATTGCTGCCACACGCGAGCACCAGGTGGCGGTGGCGCATGACGCGCTTCAAGCCTTTTTACTAGAAGACCGGCGTGCTTGGGCACCTTTGGCGACGAGGAGAGACGTGTATGTGAACGTGATGGACAAGCTGCGGTGAGTGGGAAGCGAGGGAGAGCAGCGACCCAGTGAAGGGACGTGAGATGGAAGCTTCTACGCAAAGTTTGCAGCTGGGTGAGGGCAACCCTTTTTTTTTCTTAAGGTGCTGCGGACGAGCAGTGATAGGGTGCCCTTTTTTCTGTTGGATAGTGTTTTGATGTGTTGGATATCTTAAGGTCCTTCCCTTGTGCCACAGATACGAGAAGAAACCACATTTGAGAACCTTTTCTACTTAAAAAAATAAAGTGCTGGAGGTGAACGCGCTCTTTACGCTGCTATTTCCCCTCTCTCCCTTCCTGTTCACCGCAACCGCACTGCCTCTCTGTAGGTGGCTGTTAGGCTTGTCGCATTGCACTCGCACAAATCTCACGAATCGCGTCAAAAAAAACCTTCCCTTGGTTTGCCTTTTTTTTTTCAGTCTGACGACACAGCATCTTCGCACTTTCCTGCGTTGTTGTCTTTCCTTTTTCTCCGTTTCCTTAGTGTCCTTCTCACCGTCGCGCCGCCTTTGACCTGGCAGAGACAATTTCATTGTATTTCATCCCAGAAGCGCAACGCCTCAAAGCTGAACGGAGTCTCACAGAACAACAACCACAAAAGCCCATGACTACCTCAGTAAGGACGTTCAATGCTCCACCGTCGCATGTGCAGGTGCCTGTCACGATGGTGATGTTCACCACCGCGTCGGACGCCAGGGCGTTGTGTCGCGCCATCGCAGTGAATGCGGCAGGGAAGAGCAGTTCTTTGAAAACCGCAACGACGGCCGATAGCGCGAACGACCCCAAGTTACACAGTGGCTCCAAAGAGCCGTTGCAAGGGAGCGGACGCGAAAGGCATCACTGTAGATGGACGGTAATACCTCTTCGCGAGCACGCTAACGGCGAAGCCATGCCGTTGAAATCTTCTCAGAAGAGTCATCTCGAACCTCCAGACAGACGTGTTGCTGCTTTGCGTTTGCTGCGGCGGCTGCAGTGTGAGCTGAAGCAGCGCACAACGTTTCTAACTCCTCACCCTGACCCTTCTCCTCCTCCGACACCGACGCTACAGGAGACGGCGACAACAAAGGACAGCGCGGCAATGGCAGGCAGTCACACGTCTGACCGAGAGGGCAGCATGTTACGCTGTCGTCTCTCTACTGCGGTTTCAGACACAGAAGCAATCACGTGCGATCAGCCAGCTTTTGTGTGGTCTGAGACCAACTTTTCAGATGGCACCGTCCGTTTTCTCAACGGTGCGACGCCGCTTTTCTTCTCAGAGCAAGAAATCCGATGGGATGAGGGCGACGGTGCTGACGCTGCCCAAAAGCAGTCGTCTCGAAACACACAAGACGTCTCCTTCCTCTGCTTGGATTTGGGGGGACTTTACACCGCAGCACCGCCGTCACCTTCTCCCTCTCCGCTACCACATCGCAAGCAGGGCACCAAACGCACCCAACACACTTCGCCAGCTCCGTCAGGGCAGTGCGACACGACTCTCTCTCCGACACAAAAATCACCGACGAGCGAATCCAGCGAACAACAGGCAGACGGTTCAGCCACGGCGTCGCTGGTGACTCTGCTGCAGCAGCGTTTCTCGTATGCGAGGGCAAGCTTTCCGTTTGACCAGAGTTCGGTGCATGCGCTGACGTTGAAGGAGTTGTGGGTTGTGCCGCTTTCGGCATGTGAGGTGTCGGCCTTTGCGCCCCAAAGCAGGTCACCTTTCGATTACTTTCCCACCTTTGTGGTGGTAGAGGGTGAGTCGAGCCAAACCTCCAAGTCGTCCATTTCCAGATCAACCTCGACGCACGAAGCACCTTCGATTTGCGTGCGCATCGCCCAGCACACTCCAGAACTGCAACTCCATCTCCCACAGCACCAATATAAATCGATGGCGGGTCAGCGCAAGCGCCGTCGAGGGGAGGGAGAGGCAGCTGTTGGCAGCAGAGCGCTACCACAAGACCCCGATGACGCTCCTGTTCTACTTTGTGCTCCTGAAAAGACAAGACTCCGCTTTCGTGTCGTGGCGAGCGCCTTCTTGGCTCACAGCTGTTACTTCTCGCGATGGTGCTGCGCCGAGGATTTCGATGTCACACACCTGTTCACAGGAGGCGGCCCATACTGCGTCGAGTCGAATAACCGTCTACGCGGTGCTGCAAGCGCTGCGTGCACTTCACGGCACCAAAGCTCCTTTCACGTCTTCTACACCGCAATGCAGCACTCGATGAACGCAGAGAACGCGTTCATGAGAGAAGTCTGGACGGCGTTGTGGCGTACTGGCGACGCGAGTGCCACTGAAGCGGTCCCCGGAGCAGCCGTGCAGCTGACCGCAGAGGCGCTTCCGCGTGCACTACGAAGCAGCAATGACCCCATCGATGCACGCAGCGCGGCGCATGCGTCCGATTTTGTACGCAGAATCAAAGCCGCTGACGACCTCTTCGACGACACGGACGCGGCTGCACCGACGCTGGTGTTTGCCACGAGAGGCAAAGGGAGCAACGCTGTCCGACCACCCGTGTGGCCTGTAGAGGTTTTGTGGAATTTGTGGACGCGGCTGGGATGGACGCCGCCTCGGCTGTCATCATCTTTTCTGGTTCAGCTGTGCGGTGTCACCTCTGCCGCAGCCGCGGTGGACGACCAAAGTGGCGGGCCGCCACGCTGCATGACGCCGGCGGAGTGGAGCGCATTTGTGGGGCGCTGCACCGAAGTGCTGGATGAACGATACGTGCAGGAGACACTGGCAGGCCCGGAGGAGCGAAGCGCGCATCGGGTGGCGCCGCTGTGCGGAAAGGACGGTGACGGAGAGAACGGCGATGTGGAGGCCGAGCACGATGACGGTTTTTCTCGAGCGTCGGATGGGGATCTCCTGTCGGAGCGGCGGACTCAGATTTTGCAGATGAAGCTGGAACGCCTCGACACGCTGCGCCACATTTTCTCCATGCGCTCTGCGTTGCTGAGTGAGAGAAGTCGACAAGGTCTGCCCAACCGGCGGTGCAAGGTGTACCTGGGAAACGACCACGTGGCGGTCCCTGATGAAGTTGGAAGACTTTTTGCAGGACTTGAAGAGACGGCTGCCTCAGATCGCCAAGGCGCAGACAATCTGCCTTTGTACGTCGGACCAGCCGCGCAAGCGTTGGCGGCAGACATCGCAGCCACAATCCCTACCTCGGCAAAAACGCATTCGCCAGCTCATGAGAAAGGGCCAATACCTACAACTTTCTCTTCCGCATGGGCTTTTGGTGTTTTGGAGTCTCCGGCGTTCCCCTTACCGTCCTCCCTACCTGATGTGGTCAGCAGCGCGTTGGATGGTGCGACCCGCATCAGGCCACCACTCCCTTCGCGAGACGCTTCGACGAACCCCTCTGCGTCTGCGATGAACGAACTTCTGCGTCGGCGACCTTCTCATACATCTGACCAGACGCGGTCGTCGTTGCCAGGGGACCCAGACGATGCTGTGTGTACTGAGTTGCTTTCCGCAGAGGATGCGTATTGTGAGGTGGTCGACATTGCTGAGCTGCGTTGGCGAGCGCACCCCGGCGCCGTGCCAGAAGGGATCACTCCTGGAAAGATATGCTGCCACACAACAAACGGTAACAAGGGCGACGGCGACGGCGCACGCTGTGCGTGTTGTTGCTCACTTGCGTGCCAGCACGCCGCAATAGCAGCAGCCTCGCCGCAGTCTCGAGGATTGTCGGGACAAGGCTTACAAACATGCCTGCCAACAGCCCCGGGTGTGCACACGCTCACCGATCCAACAGTGGTGTGGCTCTCGACAACTTTTGTGAACTTTCTCAAGAAGAATGGCGTACCGGAGGCTGCCTCGCAACTCGGCACAGGAGAGAGCGGCCCATCACTGCCTTTCTCTGCAGCAGACCAAGGAGAAGACGAAGAAACGAATGCGTCCGAGAAGGTGAACGACCAAGAGGAGAATGTAAAGGCAGCGTGGCCAACGGGAGAGACCTTGACTGCCCTACTCACGGACACCATCGTGCGTGCTGTGCAGCAAAACAAGGCGGTGGTGCGGCGGCTCATGCAGCTGGTGCACACGTACGAAAGCACCGCATCTGCCGCCGCCGCCGGCAAGGCACGGTGTGCGCGCGGTGCGGGGGAGGATGTCGACTCCGATGGCCATCCCGATCGTGCCGACCCAGCCGCGGAGCCTGAACGTGGTGCGACACACAACGCCGCGCTCACGTGCGCCGTCTGGCGCTGTCTGTCAGCCGCGGAGGCGGTGGACACACGAGATGAAGCAAACGCCTACGCCTCCTCTGCAAAACAGCTTGCCATTCGCCAGCTACAGAACTTTTGGGCAAGCGTCGCGGCCCTCACGCGCCAAAGTGTACTCGAGAAATATGGCGTTTTATCCGTTGGTCAACAGAATAAAAGTTCGCTTGACGAGCCTTCTTGCGAGGATGACGGTGAAGTCGTCAATGAAGAGGAAGAAGAGGCGGACACGAATTCTTGTGCTGCGTTTGCCGACGGCGACGTCGAACTTTGCCAGGGAGAAGAGAGTTGGCGAGGCAACGAGCTTGGAGCGGCGGCAAGTGGCATGCTTGACGTGGAGGGTGGAAGTGATTGGGTCAACTCTGCGGCGTCATCGCGTGACACGGGCAATGCCTCGTTAAAGCAAGTCAAAGCTGGCACGTCGATGCATACCCTCACAGCAGATACAACTCCTCCATCACAACTTTTTTTGCCCACGGCGAGCGCCAACATGGATCAAAGACCGCCGACGCAGTTGCGTAGTTGTTACACTGCGTTTGTAAGAGCGGTTGGGAAGCTGGACGGTTTACGTGCGATGCAGCTCTATATGCAACGCGTAATAACGTGCACAGCCGACGGAGGTGCAGCGGCGTTGCCATCACACAACACTCAGTCAGATGCTCTTCTCGGAGAATGGGGGACATTCATCGATGCTCCTATTGAGACATCCAAGGAAACACACCTTCCCAGCGCCCCGGCCACCTTCGCTCAGCTTCTCCAGCCTCATCTCTGGCTTCGGCACGCTTTGTTTCTTCTGAGTTATGCATTCGCAGGCGCGTGCACGGAATCAACAAAAGGTCGTCCACCCACATCATTGCGTGCGAAGAACTCGTCCACGCGTTATGCGCAAGGAACCACTGCTGTTCCATCATCCCGCACACAGCATACATCAGCAAACGAGGTGGCAAAGGGTGCGACTCCCGTTGTGTCTCCGCGTCTTGCCGCCTTTCGCGTGCTTCGCAATGGGAAACTGGCGCTCGACTCGTGGATATTGGCAGCTGTGGAGGAGTACACTGGTCGGTGGCATCGCGTCATTCAGCGTCTCGAGATCGCCTGAATCAAAAATAGCCTCTTTTTCTACCTTCTCTTTTATTTATCTGCTATTATTTTTTTCTGCCTTTGTAATGTGTCTTCTTCTGCTAGCAACAAAGAAATACTATAATGCTGTGTTTATCGTTGCCTCTCTTGGCAATCCTTATGGAGACGCAGTGTGAGTTCTGCAGCTGTTCAAATGCCCTTTTGCCTCTTTGCGTCCACGTTGTGCAGCTGCTTCATCGGGGTAATGTGCTTCTTGGTTTTTATGTTTTGTTCGCCCATTAGCTGTCAACGTATGGCGGCCACGAGTGGGGTCGAGGAGTTTGCCGCCGTCGTACCTCTTACCTCCTCTCTCTCATCTACCGCTCACTTCCTGTTGTGTCTCTGCCTCGCATCAACGTTTGCATTGTTTATTCAAATATACATATATGTTTTCTTATTTGAGGGTGGGCGAAGATCGACGTTATTGCGATTCTTTTCCCTTTGCTGTTGCTCAACGTGCTGTTGTCGCAGTTTCGTGGTTCACGCTGCGTACATACAAAAGGGCGTCGTCTCACATAACCTCGGTAAATAAACACAACATAGGTGCCCATAAGGCGGAAACGCTTCCCTGCCTCTGTTTTTAGTCATGCGCCAGTGTGGACGAGGCATCCGCGCGCTGGCGCATATCTGTGGTGTGGCGGTGTCAGGGGCAGCTCCGACCGTCACCGTCACCACCACCACCGTGCGAACACGGATGTACGCCACCTCGACTCCTGTTTCCGGCGACAGCAACAGCAGCGCAGCGAGCCCTGCCACCGACGCACAGATGCAACGCGACATCTTCAACAGGGCGATGACGTCCGGCGATGCGACGGACGGCTTTACGGAGGAACGCCACGTCACGCCCGGCAGCTCTGATGAAGATGTCTTTGGCCACAAAGACCCGCTCATGGCGGTGGAGCAGACAGTGCAGGAGGCAAGCACAAAGGCCGCACAACAGACGTCGCAGGTGGCGAGGGAGGTGAAGGGGGAGTCTACCACCTCGCGCGGAAAGGCGAAGGACGACTTGGCGAATGAGATTGATCAGGTGGTGAGTTCACGCAACCGTCGCCGCAACCGCCGCAAGCGCTCGATGGACGCGATCCTCGGCGACGTCCTGCACGACGCGCTGCTCATGCGCGACATGGGCGAGAAGCCAACGTCCGACTTTGTGTACAAGCGTACGCAGGAGCGCGTCTACGAGGAGGAGTACGGGAGGAAGCCGCCATCGGCGAAGGAGACGGCGTCGCAGTGCGTGCCTTTTCCCCCGGACTTCCACATGCATCGTTTGCTGCCCCTCTTTGGCGATGTCACCGCCGCTGCGGATGGCGCCGAGCCCGTCGTGTCAGAGGCGAAGACAGACGCGGCGGACACGGCGCAGCGCCCCGCCACGCAGGCACCCATCTACACAAAAAACCACATGAATGTCCACACGCTGGTGCCACCCGATCCATGGCCGGAGCGGTCCGTCACACCCGCGAATCCGGTCTGGACGCGGCGTGATCTCGAGGAGGACAAAAACAAGACGGGTGGAAAGGGTTTGAAGGAGTGGGAGGAGCGGATGTTTGCGCCGCGGCCTCATTACGACCTCCCCGGGGAGTTCCTCGACGCCATGGATGAATTGGCATACTGGGAGCGACGCTTTCTGGTTTTTCTGCGGGCGGTCCCTATCAGCCAACGCCGCAGCCTGCCGTTTTTGCACGAGTGGTACCGTTTGCTGGTGCACCGCGTGGTGCGTGCGGAGCGCCGTTACATCCGCGTCCGCGATGCGCTGCTCTCAAAGTCGAAGGCGTCCGCGGCGGTGTTTGCGCAGACGGAGAAGGTTATCGACGACGTACGCAGCTACTATGCGGAGACGCACCGCTCGCTTGCCAGTCCCAACTACGATCCTCTGCGGATGAAGAAGTCGGTGTTGGCGCCGGTCTTGCGCATGACGGATGCGGAGTTTGAAGAGTGGCAGGAGGAACAGCGACAAAGACGTAATGCTCTGGTGGCTGAGCTTTCATAAAGATGAAGACTGTTTTATCCAAGGACAGTACGAAGGGGTAGAGCGAGCAGACCTGCTGATATGGAGCACCAAGTGGTTCTGCGCGTGTAGAAAAAAAAGGCTGGTGTTTTCATGTGTATTTTTATTTGTCGTGGGAGTCATCTTTACAGAGTATATATTGATGTGTCTAAGAGGGAAAGCCAAGTTTAAGCAAGAGATTGAAAAACCAAAAACTCCATGCGAGGGAAGAGAGTATCGCACGGCAGTATTCCTTCATGAAGACCGCACAATGGGCAAGAAAGTATAACTTAGTTTTCTACTTTCCCCGCTTTTCGTTTTTTTATTCATGCGAGCGCGTTAAAGCTATGTACTCGTGTATAAATTCCCTTCTTTCGCAGTTACACACTCTCGTCGTTACATCAGCATCTTGGCGGTAATACGGACAATCTTATGAGAAGAAGAAATCTATTGGGTGTTTTCGTCTTCACCCATCTCTTTGTGCTTCGCTATCGTGCGTTTGCACCACCCTCCACTCTCTCATCTTCCTTTTTCTTGCTGCTTCTGTGTCGGGCAAAAGTCAGTGGCGCTCGTAAGGGACTACGAAGTTCATCTCAAGTCACCAAATCCCCGACAAACGGGCTGTACCGCCTTGTGAAGCTCGCCGCTGTTTGTATCTCAAACTGCTAACTTAAAAAGGAAAATCTTTTTCGACTGCTTTCGCTGGTTTTTTTTTTCTGCGTGTCTTCCTTCCAGAAAACATCGCAAGCATTTGTATCTCGACAAAGAAGAATGCGTCGACAAGGCTGTCAGCGTCTGAGAGCGGTGGACACCTTCGCTGTCCTTGCAAGGGCCCAGTACCAGCTGTCCTATCGTGCAGCTTCTTCTGCCACCAGCTTTTCCGTAGCGAGTTCGCCAACCTCCCTTGATAGCGCCACTCATGCACCTCCCCCGCGACTGCATCGGCCGCGTTATTCGGGCAGCGGTGCGTGCTCTCCCGCGTTATTCCGCCCTACCCGCATCGCCCGCATCCCCCCACAGCTCCTACGCTTCCTTGTCGCCAGCAGTGCGGCTCTTCTACAAGTTTTCCTCGTCTCTTTTCACCGCGAGAGTCGTCGGTTGAAATACGAGGCGGAGGCGACCGTGACGGCCGACGGAAGCGCAGGCAGCAGGCGTCACATGTCGGGTGTGGAGGCGGTGCAGGTGCTTGGGTTGGACCGCAGCTACCCAGTCCTCTTCAATGAGATTCAGAAGGCGGAAAGCAATAAGGCACAGTCCGCCGCCTCCGCTTCGTTCTCCCCCACGCCTCTGCCGCTACGCGATGGCAGGGCAAGGGAGGAGGCAAAGCGCAACTTTGAGCGCATGTTCGCGCTGGCCATCAAAGAGGAGAACTTGTTTCTGGCTGGCAAACTCAGCGCTGCCTACCGCGTCTGTGTGGATCCGATGTGGGACCAATCGGAGGAGGTGGCGGAAAACCAAAGCAAAGCGTCCCCGGAAGATGAACGAGAAAAGCACTGATGCCGGTCTTTTTTCGTTTTTTTTTTTCGGAGAGGGGGAGGAGTGCCACGAGAGTTTCTTCAAAGTTGGCTTCGTTGCTTCTTCACAGTTAGTAAGGTGTTTCTTGTTTGTTTTTCTCCCTCCTTGCTTAACTGGCCTGCTTCAGTTGTTGGTGCATTCCCGCTGGCGCTTTTCTCGACTGTTCCTCGAGCGTGTGTGTGTCTTGCACCTCTATTGTCCACCCGTTTAACGCTCACATAACGCTTCGTAAAGCGAGGAGTTCTACTTCGTCTTTAACACTGAATGAAACAAGAGAAGTACTAGCAAAGAAGACGTGATGTATTGAGGAGTGTGGCCCTTGCTTTGTAATGCCACTGATCTTGCCCTTGCCTTCTTTTAGAAGCAATAATGGCTTTTTGCTTAGTTGTGAGTGTCAAGGATTCGTGCTAGGCTTCATCACAGTCGTTCTCCGACTTACTGTGGCTTCGGTGACGTTAGTAATTCGCACAAATCTTCGTCCTTTTCCCTGCTTTCGTCTTGCCTCTTCTCCTTCTATTATTATTATTATTATTATTATTATTATTATTATTATTATTATTATTATTATTATTATTATTCACCGATAACCGCCTGGCGCATTTCCTGTGTACTTGTGGGATACACCGTTTAACATTGGTGTTTGGATCACTTTCATCGTGGCGACAATTCCACCAGTGAAAAGAAGCAGTAACATACAAAGTCTCGAGTGGGAAACAGCAGCAACGAGACACCTACGAAGCTTGCACGGCCCCTCTACTTGTACGCGTGTTAGATGACGCACACAAGCACATCCGTATGCATCAGCAGGCTCGCATTTACACGTGCTTTGTATTGATCGTTTCATTTTCGTTCATCCAGTGTCTTTCCCTCACACACAGACACACACGGCGTCCTACGCATCCACATAACCTGCAAATCAGTGTCTCTTTCTTTTAAAAGCAAAAGAAATAAGCTGTATTGCCAATTTGTACAGCGTGCTACCGTAAACGAGCGTTTAGTCGCACGTTCAAGTGTTCTTCTCCGCTCCACTATCTCTTCTTTAATTCTTTTCTTTTTTTAAGTACATAATAACCTTTCTCCTCCCCGTGAAAGGCGAAACTTCTCGCCATCACATTCCGATCGTGCGCGCTGGAAGTGCGGGGAAATGAACTCTAGCAGGACGAAGACCGTTCGTAAGGCAGTCTCGCCAGGGAACGTGCGCTCCACCAAGTCCGCGTCGGCCGGGCCATCCAAGGCGACCCACAATGCCGTGCCCGACGGACCCGAGCGCAACCCCCTGATCGATGACCTTTTCGAGGACCTTAGCTCCCAGTCCGATGTGCACGGCCTCGGACGGCTGCAGGGCGAGAGCGTCAGTAATCGCGGTAGCCTCTGCGACGTTAGACATAACATACGGCGGACTAGCACGGCCACCTCGACCAGCATGCGCAGCGGGTCGAACATGCAATCGCGGATGGCGGTCGATGTGATTTGCAGGACGTCTCAGCACTTTGTGCACGCCATGCGCATGAATGAGCTGGACGACTTCTTTGTTCCAGCGGCCGGGCTAACCGCCGAGGACGCGCTGCGTCGGCAGTTGCATAAGAAGACACCGCAGGAAGTCGAGACGGTGGTGCAGGTGCTGGTGGAGTTGCTCGAAGAGGTGCGCAAGGCACGCGCGCAAGTGGCCCCCTGGACTGGGTCCATTGGACTCTTTGAAGGACGCGACCGCGCCTTGTCCACCAGCATTTTCTCCACCGTTAGCACGGCCAGCCTCTTGCGTCCACCGGTGCACGAGACAAGCCAGTTGGCCGTGGCCTACGACCAGGAAGGCAACCGCATGATCAATTGCTATACGATCATCGCCAACCTCGGTCAGGGTTCCTACGGCAAGGTGAAGCTCGGCGTCGATGCGAGCTCAGGCCAGAACGTAGCCATCAAAATAATCGACAAGAAGCACCTCAAGAAAAAGATCGGCGGCCTCGGCGCCACTGACCAAGACGCGGCGCTGAAGCGCGAGATTGCAATTATGAAGAAGGTGCGCCACCGCAACTGTGTCTCTCTCTATGAAGTGATCGACGATCCCGCCTCGAACAAGCTCTACCTCATCATGGACTACGTGCCAAACGGCCCGGTCGTGCGTCTGAAGTCGCTGCAGTTTAACAACGTGGCCATCAGCGCGATCGAAGCCGGCGTGCCGCTCAACGGGGAGATTTACAGCAAGTGTCTCATCCGGTGTGCGGTGCGGCAGAGCGCTGATGGCGGTGACGCCCCGCTGACGCCGGCCGAGGCGGCAAGTTTCCCGACCATTTTCGCGTGCAAGCCGGTGGCACAACACATCTGCACCCTCTACCTGCGCCAGCTCGTGAGTGGGCTGCGCTACATGCACAAGCGGCAGCTCGTCCACCACGACATCAAACCGGACAACATTCTTCTCGGGTCCGACCACCAGGTGTTTCTCACTGACTTCGGTGTGAGCGAGATCTTGTCGACGCGCACTTCAGAAGACAAGGAGTCGGTGTCTCTCGATGGAGCCAGCAACGAAGGAGACAGCAACGGCAACAAAAACAACGATTCCACCGCCGGTCTGAACGAGTTGCAGAACGGTAGCGAAAACAGCAACGGCCGCGGAGCGAAGCTGGGAGGCGGCACCTTGCTCTTCACCTCCCCCGAGCTTCTCGACCCGTCGGTGGAGAAGAGCGAGGTAGATCCGTACCTCACCGATGTGTGGGCGCTCGGTGTGACGCTGTACTGCATGCTGGTCGGCTTCACGCCTTTCTTCGGCAAGACGCTTTTCGAGGTGCGGCGGAACATCATGACACAGCCCTACCCGTGGAATGGAATGAACCTCTACGAGGTCCCTTTGGAGCCGGAGTGGAAGATCATCCTGGATGGCCTGCTGGAGAAGGATCCTAACAAACGTTGGACGCTGCAGAAGCTGAAGGAGTTCCTGGACGATGAAAAATTTCTGGTGAAGATGAAGACGCTCGCAGAACAGGACACGGCTGTGCGTGCCGCGGCGCGGGCGACCAGCCGCGCGTCGCACAGCTTTAATTTGAAGTGCTCGCGCGTGAAGCAGCTACCGCAGCTCATCGAAGCGGGCTCGCCGAAAAGGCCTGTAGAGGATAGCGTCACTACACAGTCTAACCTCGCGTCGAGGGTCATGTCGGTGCTGTCGGTAGACTCCGGCACTGCGGCGAACAACTTCCTTTCTAACTTTGACGTGTCTCAGGCGGAGCTATCGCAGGCGACTCGCGCTGCGAAGGTCGAGGTGACTGAACGCAGAGTCGTCGTATCCGACCACACACGCGCGGTGCTGCATCGCTGGGCAGAGCGGGTGCGGCAGCGGCTGCGCAAGAGCAACTTCATTCAGATGAGCTCCCTCATTTCACCCGATGCGCCTCCACCGCCGACGGAGGCGAACCCGTTGGCGGCGTTTCCGGCAAGCGACCGCAAGATGAGCGACGGCAACCACCACAATCACAGCGTTCCTTCGCCTCCTGCGGGGCTGCCGCTGCTGCCCGGCTGCGGGTCCTTCCACCGCCCTAGCGCCAGCCCCGTCTCCAAGTTAGCCCTCCCGACGCGCAGCTCCATCAACACAGACCCGCGACAGCATTCCCGCCGCCACTCCCGCGTCAGCCGGAACTCGGGGAACGTGGGCGACGGCAACATCGCCCACCACATGCGGAACTGCGGCTCGCAGTCGATTGACGCCATACTGTCCATCGTCAACCTGCAGAGCACCTCCAACGCCTTCTCGCACTCCTTCAGCTTTGAGTCGACCAGCAACTCCTCCTCGGAGAGCAGCAGGATCCAGATGCCGGTGGTGACGGAAACTGTCGCGGCCGCCGCGGCGATGAGGCCGGCCCAGACACACGCGTCCGACGACGACGACGGCGACGACGCCACCGCGTCGAGCAGCGGGAGCATCTCCAGTGTGCCGAACCCGCCCTCCACCGCGTTGAAGCAGACGGCGGTGTGGCGTGGCACGGGTCGGACGCCGTCCACGGTGGCGCACACCCCATTTGAGGCGACGTCGGCGTCCTCGCCGCGAGACCGCGACTTTCCATGCGAGGACAGCGAGGACTGCTGCGCGGCCACAAACAGCGCACCACGCAAGCCGAGAATCGGTCACGGCTTCTTTTCGACGGCGATTTCCACCATGCACAGGAGCCCTAGCACGTACAACGACGAGATCCCCTCGGAGACGAGCGACTGCACCCGGAAGCTTCGCGAAGATTCCCCTAGTATTGTGATGCACAGCACGCCGCTAGCGCCAAAGAATGGCGAGACATTTCCGATCCTGCCGTTGAGTCTCAGCCGCCCCCACATCGCCGCGAGCACTCTAGCTGGTCCGCTGCAGAACCGCCTCTCCGGTCGCAGGCCTCCGCTGCCGGTGCTTTCGTCCGTAGAAAAAGTGCCAGCGGTGAAACGAACTGCAGAGCAGACCACTCGCTTGTGCAAATAAGCTCCCACTTCATCCACCTGAAAAGCCGAGTGGAAAACAACAGAAAGAGGACTCTTTTTTAAAGATGTATGAAATGTTCATTCATTGAAATTGTCAAACAACCAAACGTCCCTGATGTAGAAGGACGTTGACCACACTCACACTTTTATGTTCCTCTTTTATTGTGTTACTTTAAACATAACCTGCGAAACTCCACAGGTGTTTATCACTTCTATAAATGGCAAGCGCTAAAGGAAAATTGTAGTAAAGAACGACCTCTTCCATTCAAAAGAGTTAACACGGCAAAGTTCTTCTGTACTGATAGTTTTTTTTTGTTGTTTTGGAGCACCACTGTAGGGTTTCGATTCAATGGAGCGGTCTGCTCTTATTTTTTTGTTTCTCCTTTTTTTTCTATTGGAATCTTCGTTTTTTTTTCTTAACGCAGAATTACGCACGAAGTGATAGGTGAGTGAAAAACGAGGCAAAAGACAGCGACTTCTGGTGTATGCAAACAAATAAAAAAACGGAAAGGAAATAGAAAACAGTAGTGTAAACGAACCTTTGATACTAATGAAGTACTGCTATGCGAATATGTTACCGCCTCTCTCTATCATTCGTTGTTCACTCTTCTCGATGTCGTCGGTTACGCAGCGTTTTCTTGCGTTCAAAACGGTCTATCTTTGAGTTTTATTTTTTGGAATCGCGTTCGTGCTTTTGATCACTTTTAGTTCCTTCTACTTCATCGATATTGACTTGGTCAACGGTCATGGAAGCATGTGCACACAACCGAGAATTCAATTTCCCCCTTTGTTTTTGTTGTTGTTAAGGCTTCCTTTTTTGAAATGTTTTCTTGTGTACGCTTGGTATTTCCTTCTTCCTTTGTTTTTTTTTTCTTTGTGGAGTGGCGAGCCCTTTCTTGTGACGGATCCATCAAAGCTTATGTAAATAGACGCTCTCGTGGTGATCGCGCTTGTGCGAATCTTGTGCCATGCCACCGCAACATTTTTACCTTTAAAAACATACCTTTCCCTTCTCGCTCTCTTTTCCAAAATAGAATAGTTTTGTTCTGGCTCTTATTTCCTTTGCGTGTTCTTGTCCTCCAAGCCCTCGGGGAACACTCGGGAGCGAATAACCTTCATTTCCATTGGAGCTAACCTTTTTTTTTTAAACATATCACTAACTTTTTTTTCTCTCTAAGCTTCAAAAATTCTTCTGCAGGTGGGGCCGATTTCTTTGCTTGTTTTTCCTTTTCCTCTCTTTCTTCCTTTCTTGCGACTTTCTTGCGACTTTCTGTTCTTTTTTCTCTTTTCTAATCTTGCTGGTTTTCTTCGTCTCCTGTATTTTATCATCTTCTTCGCGCTCTCCTTTATTTTTCTTGTTTCTCTTGTTCAGTCGAAAATATGGGTGTAAAAACAATCTGTTGTGGAAGGAGGAATTTGCATAGCATTGGATGAGACCCTTGCGGTGCACTTTGTGTGATCGGGTTTTTTTTCTGTGAGCCTGCGAGGGGAATGGAAGGGACGGAAAAAATGAGTTGAATGTGATTGGCAGCGGAGAGATTGGCGGATCTCGGTCATTTAGGGTAATGCTCTAAACTATCTTCTCCTTTTCTATTACCTCCTGAATCCTGGTTCTTCCGTATTCTGGTTTGCCTGGCACAGCTGTTTTCAGCATCAAGAGAAACTCCGGTTTTTCGCTGAAATCCACCCGCCCACCCCCGGTCCCTCCCACGACAGGGACCCATAGGATCCTTAAAAAGATCCATGAGCTTTGTTTTCCTTGCACTTCGTAATGTGATACTCTCTGAGAAAAAGTCCGACGACAAACACGACAGATAAAGAAGAACGGAATTGGGGCAGATACTAGATAGTGAAGAAACAATGACTAGCCTTGATGGGGACATTGATGTCAGGTACTCGCTAGTTATGTATTTCTCTAAATGCCTTGCAATCACTTCGACTCTTGACTTCCTATCCTTCTTATTCTCATGAGCGAAGAGGGTTTAAAATGTGTTTGCTGAAACTGTCTTCGTTGTAGAAGACAATGTCGAGGCAAGTACATATATATTAAATCTCCCCCGTTTTGCGTCATAGATGGCGAGGAACTACAACAGGTCTTGGTCAGCTCAAACTCCTCTCGACTCACTAGCCGTCTTGTATAAAGCCCTTTGTATAGGACATGCAGCTGCTCGCTTCTCTTTTCTCTTTACAATGGCACATTGGAAAAACTATTTTTCCTGCTTCTTCCCACCATGCTTCGTTTTACCATTTATCTACATCTCCATTCCTGGCAACTCTACGTTTTCAAAGGCCCTCTTTTCGGGAGGATCGCCGTGAATCCAAACTTTTAAAGAAATACTTCAAGTGTTTATCTTCATTTATGTTAGATTTTTTACCTCCCTGCTTAGAAAGCTGGCTGGGCACTCAAAAAAAGTTTTCCCTCTTCCTCTTCCGTTCGGCAGCGTATATATCAGGTCTGTGTGTTCGGCCGACATGTTTTACTAATTAATAGTCTCTTTTTTCTTTTCTCTTCTTCTCTCTTTGTGTGCTGATATAGTTGTTGTGTCACTGCTCTCCATCGTGCGGCAATTACTCTGCGTTTATTTTTCTCTGATATTCGCTGCTTGTGTGTGGGTTTTTTTTCTGTGTTTTTGCACGCATCGTACTTTTACTACCTGCGCCTTTTGTGTAGCGGTTTTTACCGTTCTTCCCACACTTCTTCTTCTCTTTCTTTCCTCTTCTCTCCTCTCTCTTGTTTTGCAGGCGTTGATGAGCTTCCAAGTATCTCTGAAGTTTTACATGTAGCGGTGCTCTTTTTCTCGTTTTCTTTTTCTTGCCTTCCTGAACGTTTTTCTTCCACCACCTTGACTATTTTGCGTTCTGTTTCCTGTAGACTCTTGTTCTTTTTATTCACTGGTTGAATGACGAAGAGCGACAAAAAACCCTCCGTAAGCATTGGCGTCGAAAACAAGAAGAAAAGGCACCTCATGCGCCGTCTTTTCTCTTTTCCTTCCCCGAGGCTCTACGCATTTAGGCCACGTTTCAGCTGCTTTGCTGCGATGCCGTGGAACGACAGGAAGGTTTTCTCTGGTGTAGTGAAGGGGGTGCGTACCCGCTTGGCCGGCCTTGTCGTATTCGCGAACAACGCACGTGCAAATGTCTCGAACTGCGTATCGCGCTAGGTCGTCCTGGCGACGAACAGTACAGCCCATGTCTCATACGCGTGCACACGCACACTCCGAGCGCTGAAACCCTTGCAGTTTACCAACTTCTGGCGTTCTTGTTTCTTTTTTTTTCGATCTTCATGCCTGACGGTTTATGACGGAAACACTTCCATCTACTTCGTTCCCTCCCCTCTTTTTCTCTTCTCTTGTTTATTATTTTTTTCCTGAACCTTCTAAAGTTCAGCATTGCAAAGGGACCTCGTTCTGCTCTTTGACGTCCTCCACGACACTTGTTGGAGCGGCTCGAGAAAACGAACGACGGCTCAAGAAAAAGGAGCTCGAAAAGACGCTTGCCTCTTTCAGGGTTTTGTCCTTTTCTCCTCTCTTTTTTTCTTCCTTTGCGACTCCACAAATCAGAGCAAAAAGGAGTGAATTAAACACGTTTAAGTCCACAATTGTACGTATAGAGCTGCTCTCTATTTTCAATATCCATTAAGGTGTCTTTCCTTTTTTCTAACAAGGTTTTAAGGTGAATATAAACACAGACACGCACACACACACACATCAATTAACGAGGAGGAAATCAACCACAACCTGCGCCGTTTTTCTCTCCATTAAAAGGCACCGATGGCCTCATTAGCTCCTCAGATTCTGGCGGCTCTTGCTGCGGCATCTAGTCCTCAGCAGGAGACCCGTCAGCAGGGCGAGGCGCAGCTGCAGCGGCTCAAGTCCAACGCGTCCGCGTACTTCTCCAGCTGCGCGGAAATTCTCGTTTCCCAGCAAGCAGACCTGCGGGGGCGGCAGCTGGTTGGCTTCCAGCTCAAAAATAACCTCGCCAACCCGGCGTGTGCGCAAAACGCGCATCTGCAGACGGCCGTGTGTGAGCACGCCATCGTCGATCCCCAGCGCATTATCCGCAACGTGGCTGGCAGCATCATCAGCGTCGCCGTACGCGAGGGCCTGTGGCCGGCTCAACCGGTGGTGCAACGCCTGGGCACCATCGTCACACAGCGTAGCACGGACCTCGGTGCGGTGCACGGCGCCATCCGCACGCTGTCCTACATCGTCGATGACGCCGGTACACTGCTGGATGCTGCGGGGCTGACAAAGCCCGTGTTAATGGCGGTGGTGCCTTTTCTCACGGCCACCACCTTCGGCACCACCGCCCCAGACGCGGTCGAAGTCCGCATGAAGGCGTTGGAGATTGTGTCGCTCATCTTGGAGCTGGCCGGTATGGACTTCGAGAGCAACACGTACAAGAGTCTGCAGGGCAACGTGCGCACGGTGATCCAGGCCTGCTTTGAGAACCTGCAGACGCCCATCTCCCAGGCCGTGGCGACGCTGTGTATCCGCTGCATCGTCCTCTCTCTCACCTTTTACAGCGAGATCGACGATGCGCTCTTCACCCAGATTGGGCAGCTCATGTACCAGGCGACCACCGCCGGCAACGGGGCCGCCCCTGCAAACGCTGAGGAGGAGGCGCTGCGCATCGAGGCGACGGAGTTCTGGCGGGCCATTTTGCACTTTCCCCACTTCGCCGAGGTGGCTCAGCCGACCGTGGTGCAAATCCTCCCCGTACTGATCCGTGCGATGATCTACTCGGATATGGAGATGGGTATGCTGGAGGCGAGCGCGGAGGACTGGCAGGTGCCCGACAAGGCGGACGCGATTCGGCCGCGGCACTACTCGGAGCACCGCAACAACGACGCGGGCAGCGGTGAAGAGGGCGGCGAGGAGGGGGACGAGGGTGACGATGATGACGAGGTGGAGGAGTGGAACCTGCGCCGTGCGTCGGCCCTCACACTGGACGACTTGAGCGAGTACTACGGCGACGCTATTTTGGAGACGGTGCTGTCGTGCATCGCCAGCATGATCCGCTCGTCGGACTGGCGGCAGCAGGAGGCAGCGGTGCTGGCGCTTGGCGCCTCTTGCGAGGGCTGCTTCGACTCCCTCACCCGCTACCTGCCGGATATCTGCCCGATGCTGCTGCAGCTGCTCGAGGCAAATGACACGCACTTCCTCGTCGTCAGCATCACGCTCTGGACCAGCACGCGTCTCGGGTCCTTTTTCCTGGCCACGCCGGCGTTGATGGAGCGGTTGATGACCTGCATCCTGCGCAAGATGGAAAACCCGTCCAAGATGGTGCAGGGTGGTGCGGTGGAGGCGCTGATGGAGATGCTGTCCAAGGCGGAGGAGGGTCAGATGGACGTGGCGGCCCCTGCGATTGTGCAATCTGTCGCGACCTGCTTTGGTGCGTACCAGCTGAAGAACCGCGTGTTGCTCTTTGAGGCGGTGCAGACGGTTTGTCAGAGCCTCGGCGGTGCTCTGCGCAGCAACGAGTCCCTCATCTCGACTCTTATGAACCCACTCTCGCAGTTCTGGTCGCAGACGCCCAACGACAGCTGGTTGCTTTGGGGCCTCTTCGATTGCATGGCGAGTGTCTGCTCCGCCGTTGGACCGGCGATGCAGCCGATGGCCGGCGATATCTTCCACCGCGGCTTCTCTCTGCTGCGGGAGCACCTGCAGTTGCGCATGGCCGCGCTGCAGGCGGGCGACGTCCCTCCCGACGACGAGTTCATCGTGACCTCAGCGATTCTGCTGAGTGGACTTTTTGACGCCATGGGCTCCGGTCTGGAGCCGCTGGTGGCGCAGAACGAGCCGGCTTTCATGCAGGTTTTGTTGATGACGCTGTCCGATGCCGTGCCCGCCATTCGCCAGAACGGCTTCTCCCTCGTGAGTGACGTGGCGCGGACGTGCCCGACCCACTTGCAACAGGTGCTGCCGCAGTTCTGCGAGGCGGCGGTGCGCAACGCCTCCACGGTGGACGAGTCGAGTTACGGCGTCGTGAGCAACGTTGCGTGGGCCCTGTGCAACTTGCTGGAGCACCAGGTGGACGGCTCGAACTTGCCGACGGTGCAGTCAATGCCGGCCATGGCGCAGCTCTTTTCCCTCTTTGCGAACTTTCTGGGTCGCACGAAGGTGACGGCTGACATGCGCAACATGGCCGAGAACGTGTCGCTGTGTCTTGGTGTGATGCTCTACGTGGACGCCGATGTCGAGGCGAAGGCGCAGTGCAGCGTGCAGCTCTTTGCCGGATCGTTCTGCCGCTTCGTGCGTAACATCCGCGAGTCCTCCTCGCTGCTTGAGGCGGCAACGTGCGGCTTTTTGACGGCGGTGCAGCAGAACCCGGCCATTGTCCTCAACAACCTCTCTCTCTTCTGCGACTTGGCCTGCTCAGTCGCCGTGGAGGGTGTGGAGGCGAGCCGCATGATCCGCGACCTGCTCAGCGGTGCTGCCAGCGCAAATCCCGCAACGTGGCAGCAGGCGCTCTCCTCTAGCACGGTGCAGACGCGCAAGAAGCTGTATCAGCTTTACGGTCTGCAGTGATTAAGGAGTTGCGGGATGTGCAGCCTCAGTTTTGCTCTTATATTAATCCTGTTGCTTGACCCCTCTGATGAGCTGCGTTGAAGAGGCCATTCTGGGCATGGCAGCTCGTGTTGGATCGCGGACTTGTCTGTCCGCCTTTTTTTTTTCCTGGTCGCTCCTCTTGGATCGGAATGCCGCTCCGTCGTCCTTTTGAATTCCTGCCCTGTAAAGTTTAGTTGAAGTCCAAGTCGAGAGCTGATGGCGTTTGCGGATGGATGCAACTTGACTTTTGATTAATATCTCGTGCTTTCTTTCTTTTTGTCGGTTTCACGTTTCCTCTGTAGTCTTAATTAAGAAGAAGAAGAAAAGGCAGTTCACGAGCTTCTTTTCGTCAACGTAGTAAAAGCAACAATAATAATTAGAGCCGATCAACGCACCCCATGATTTTTATGGTCGTCTTGCGTGAAGCGTGGATGCAGCAGTGAAAAGCATGTGGCAAACATGCACATCCGCGTGACAGAAGAAGAGTCAGCATCGTGTGACGAGTAAGATAAGGAAGAGAGACAGGGTTGATGCCTGCTCTGAAGTCCATTTAGAGTTTTTCTGACTACGCCGCCTGCACTCGTTCAAGTGAGCAAGTGGGGAACGACAGCTAGCGCAAATAGAGCTGATGTACCATACGTCTTGAATTAGGAATCCTCGTGTGCATTTCTTTTTGCTGCTGATGTTGCTTCGGGAGGGAAGGAGCGGTCCTACAATTTCCTTTAACTGATTAATGGAGCTTGAATTTTTTTGTTTGTTTTCTCGTCGAGTTCATCGCACGATCGGACTGAGTTTTTTTCCCCTTTCCCGGTAGCTCATCAGCACCCACACTGGTTTTCTTTTCATATCACGCTTCTTCTCTTTCTGTGCGTAATAGGCTCGTCTGCGTCTCTACTTTGCTGGGTGCTGGCGATATCTGCGCTCTTGCCAAGGCCGCGCGGCGATGAATGATAATATCAATCTTCTCCTTTACCCTCTCCGCGCACTTTTTCTCTCTTGCTTTTCCCTCCTTTTTTCTCTGGTTTAACCATATATATATATATATATATATATTATTATTATTTCTTGATTAGTCGTTTCAAGCGCCTCTCGCGTCAGTTTGTGTGAGACTACTTGGTTTCTAACGTTTTTCGTTTCCACTCACGTCTCTGTATTTTTGACATGTTCTATGTGAATTCACTTTGTTGCTTTTTATGACTGTCACTCCTTTCTCTTTGTGTTGTATCTCTGTGTCCTCCACGTGATGCGATTGATACACTTTGAACGATCCATTCGATTGCTTGGGCAAACTTCGATCTGAGGCGTGACTGACGGTGTTGTTTTTCTGTTGACAAGGTGTTGCCTATCGGTCTTTCTCTCTCTTCTTGTATTGTTAACTGTTTCCCGCTGCTATTGTAATCAGGCACAAACTCCCTTTCTAGTTTCTATCTTTCTATCTCGCGAAGCACACACACGCACACACACACACAGAGACACACACTAACAGAAGTATACTTGCTCACAACCGACACCTGATACGTAAATAATGGAGATCACAAACGGCAATGCAGAGGCTTTGCTCCCGTGCATTGCTGCACAGCTTCGCGAGTGCACTTTTTTCGCGATCGACCTCGAGTTTACCGGCCTGGACAGGGACAGCACGGAGGCCGGCGCGGACACGCCAGATGCGCTGGTGAGGTCACTCATGCGTGAACCCAGCGATTTGTACCCCCAAAAACTGGAGACGATAAAGCCGTACAGCATCATTCAGATTGGCTTTTCCATCTTTACGCGCCATTCTGCGGCTGCGTTCGAAGAAAGGGTGCCATCCAGTGGTAGAGGTGTTGCTAGTGCCAGCGATACCCACCCAGCAGCGCACGACCTCCAATCGGGGGTGAAGGCGTTCGTGCCAAACATGGCCGTGAAAGACTACTACACCAACTTCCTCGAAGCCGCCGTGCGAGAGCACGAAAAGGCGGTCGACGCAAGCGATCGCAAGGCCGCCGCGTCATTCGTGGCAAACGAAATGGCGAAGGTCGGGGAGCAGCTCGTTGCTGTTTGCGGTGGAGCGGGCGCACGGCCCGGTGTGACCGCCGATGCCCTCCCTTATTCCACGGACAGCGCGGTAGAGCTGCTGCGGCGGTATCACTTTCTCGAGGTACTCTTTCGCTTGGTGGCTCGAGACAGTCGTGGGTTTGAGCAAATAACTCGTGACGTCTCTTCAACGAATGCAGGGGCAACAGGGAGCGAAGGCAATCTGACACACCTTCCTGCCACCGTCACACCTGGCACAGAGAACTACGAAGTGAAGACGTTCACAGCCTACATGTTTCCTGCCGTGTTAGCCGAATCGCAAAACGTGAGCTTGAAGGTCGACACGGCCGAGTTCCTGGTGAAGAACAATATTGACCTCACGCGGTGGGTGCGAGAGGGGCTGCGCTTCAAGCCCTTGAAGAATGTGGCCGCCGCACTCGCAGAGGATGGCGCGAACCGCCTACACAACGTAGAGCAGCTGTATCAGCCGCACAAGACGCTGCCGCGCTTTGCGGACCGTTTCAAGAACACGCTGGATTATTTACTGCCATTTTCACCTGCTGAGCTACAATTGGTGAAGTTTGTACTCCAACTCTGTCCGCCGCTGCCGTCCCTTTTTCCCTCGCAGGTCGCCTCGTTCTACATCCGCGCGGTGCGCCCCCTCCTCGAGTTCGCCCGCGGTGGCACTGACGCATCGAAACTCCCAAGCCCGATCTACACGAGCGAAAGCGTCTCCAGAAATGAAATGGCGGCCCTCGCTGCTGTTGGCCTCACCAAGAAGTGTCGCAAGTACGTGCGGATCTCTAGCCTGTGTGATGGCCGCAGCAGCAGCAGCAGCAGCAGCGGCGGCAATGGCAACGACGGCGGCGCATCATCGTCGTCATCTTTCGCTGGCGACGGAACGCTAGCGTCGTCCGCGACCGCCCAGGGCTACGGCACCGCACTCTTCGAGACGCTCCTGTACGCGACGGAGGTGCTTCAGAAGCCCATGGTGCTCTACAACGGATACTCCGACCTCATGTTTATTCTCTTGTCGCTCTACGGCCCGCAAGAAATGCCGCCCACCCTGGCGGCCTTCAAATACGTGGTGCACCGGCACTTCCCAGAGCTCTATGACACCCGCATTTTGGTCTGCTCAGGCCCGTTGCAGGAACTAGGCAACTTCACGGGGCGACTGCAAAGCGTGTTGGAAGAGATGGCTAAGGTGACAGCCGTGGCGCCGCACGTCTCTTTCCAGTTTGATGACGACTTTGTCGGCGGCAGCGACCCCGGACTCAGCTCCGCTGCGCACAACGCCGGCTTCGACGCTATGCTGACGGGTAAGCTTTTCGCCTACGCCGTGTACGCACTCACGCGGGCGAACACCGACTACAAACTGTACGGAAATTTTCTGTCCACCTACAACACTCTGCTGTCAATTAACCTGACTGGAGCGACGGACGGCGTACTACAGGAGGAGCCGACGCCGATCTTCCTGTTGACCGAGTCGTTTGGCATGCGCGCGAACTCCATTCGCGACGCGTTGGCGCGCGAGGGGCTTACGTCTCTGGTCGTGTACCGTGGCAATTTCTACACGATCCACCCTGTCGGTCAATCCTGCTTTCTGCTGAACTACCAGAAGCTTGCAGAGGCGAAGCTCACGCGCGAAGCACACCACAATGTCACTCTTTTGCCGATCTGTATCTAAATTTCAGGTCCAAAAATAATTGTACGTGAAAGAGCAAGCAAGGGCGAAGGTGCGGACGATCATGGTGAGAGCTCTTTATGTGGGACATGTTCAACAAACAGGACAGTTGAAGCGGCGGAAACGAGGACGATACACACGATTGCGCACCTACACATCTCGTTTGCACTGATACTCTTTTTTTTTTTCAAATATTCATTTCTTTTTTGTTGTACATCTTTCTCAAGCGTTCATCTCAATTTTGCTCTTTCGACGTTTGTGACCAACAGGATTCATCCATCAAACTTGTTGAAGCTGTCAGTTGAAACGCTGTGGTGATACAAATAAATATATAGGCATATTGCTGATGTTGTGCTTCTGTTGATTTCCGTACGAACGAGTGACAAAAGAAAAAGAAAGCCATTCGATTATATCGTCTTCTCACTCTATACTTATCATCGCTACGGGTAGCACGCGCACTTCGGCCGTAAATACTTCAACGGTGCGTGTACCGCTATTGTGTTGGCTCGGTGATATGGTCCCGGTTTTCCTCTTCTCCGTATTGTGCTTCTGCGCTAACCTCCTTCTCCTTTTTTTTTGGCCTTCTTTCTCCTCCTTCTTGTCTTTTGCTGCTGTTGATGGAAAGAAGGTCTTCTCTCACGTTTATTTTCACCGCTTTTTTTTTTACTCTTTGGCAACTTAACCACTTACTTTTTTCGGTTTGAACACAAGAAACGAGTACTCCGCACGCACGTAACCGGTCTTTGCTCTCTCCCCCCCCTCCCAAACGTGACGAAAGTCGAGTTTTCTCTCTGCTCGTGTCTCCATTCATTTTCCCCCTTTTCTGTTGTTGTTATTGCTATTGTTCTCGTCGGGCGATTCGCACTATTGATATTCGTTTGAAGTTAACCTCTCTCTCTATCTTTCTATTCGTACTCGACGAACCATGTCCGTCCCTGCGAACAGTCTGGCCTACCCCTGCCCCATCTCGATGAAGATGTACAAGGAGCAGCGGCAGCGCCTGGGGGAGTCGCTGCACAGGGCATTTCCCGAGGGTGGCCACGCGGCGGTGCTGCAGGCTGCGTCGGAAGTCCCGATCAACTCTACCGACTGCAACTATCTTTTTGTGCAGGAGAGCTACTACTACTACCTCTTCGGGACAGAGCTGCCGGAGGCGTACGGCGCGGTGCTCGCAGATGGCACTGGGATCGTCTTCATTGCTCGCCTTCCGGCAGAGTACGCCACGTGGATGGGACCACTGCCGACGCCCGAGGGCGTGAAGGCGCAATTGGCGATGGATGAGGTGCACTACGTGGACGAGATGGAGAAGGTGCTGAAGGCGCACGGTGTACACACCGCCGAGGTGATGCATGGCACCAACTCCGACAGCGGTCTCCACACGCTGCAGGCGAAGCTTCCCGAGGGGTCGTCGCTGACCCAGTCCACCAGCTTCCTCTTCAACACATTGACGGCGCAGCGGGGCTACAAGACGGCGATGGAGGCCGAGGTGCTTAAGTATGTGTGCAAGGTGTCGAGCGACGCGCACGTGACGGTGATGAGGATGGCGAAGCCTGGCATGTCGCAGCACCACCTCGAGTCTACCTTCTTGCACGAAGTGTACTACAAGGGCGGCTGCCGCCGTGTGAGCTACACCTGCATCTGCGCCACCGGCCACCACGGCGCCACGTTGCATTACCCCGACAACAACGCCCTTATCGAGAACGGTTCGATGGCGTTGCTGGACATGGGCGGCAACTACCGCGGCTACGCGGCGGACATCACGTGCAGCTTCCCCGTGAATGGCAAGTTCACCGAGGCACAGAAAATCATCTACAACGCCGTGCTCGACGCGCACGACAAGGTGATGCGTGCGATGAAGCCTGGGGTTCAGTGGGTGGACATGCACCTACTCGCCATCCGCACCATCTGCACCCACCTCATCGCCGCGGGTTTGTTGAAGGGCGACCTGGATGTGATGATGAAGAAGGAGATCATGCAGTACTTCCAGCCGCACGGCCTCGGCCACCTGATTGGCATGGACGTGCACGACGTCGGCGGGTACATGGAGGGCTACCCAGAGCGTCCTACCAAGAAGGACTGCTGCCGTCTGCGCACGGCTCGGCCGGTGGAGGAGGGCATGTACATGACTATCGAGCCCGGCTGCTACTTCAACGCTGCTCTCCTGGCGATGGCGAAGCAGAACAGCGAGGTTGTGGAGCACCTAAATCTGGAAAAGATTGAGGAATTCGCTGATTTTGGTGGTGTGCGGATCGAGAGCGATGTTCTCGTGACGAAGGACGGCGTCGTGAACTACACCGTGGTGCCGCGTACAGTGGAGGAGATTGAGCGCACGATGGCTGGTGCGGAGTTTTCGAAGGACATCGAAGTGTACCACAACTGAGATTCATGTGTGCAACCGAGTGTCCCTTTTATTGGCAGGGAAGGTGCCGCAGCCATCTTCTATCGTTCTTGTGTAGTGTAGCGTATGAAGCTTCTCGTTACCAATGCGACGCCCCGACGTTTTTTTTTGCTATCATTTTGTTTTCACATTGTTTTCCCTTTTGATCGTACAGCTGCGTTGTTGTCACGGTCGCTGCGAGCGCGCTCTCTCTCCCCATTCGTTGACGGAGCTGCGGCAAATATCAACGAACAATAATTGTTCTCTCTTCACTTTCTTCTTATTATTTTTAGTCGTTACACACTTTACTTCAATTGTCATTGATACTGCAAAAAGTGCTGCGAATCGTGCTGTTTCGCATTTGAGCAGAGGGTTTCTACTGTGAAAGCCACTGCTGTACCATTGTGAAGCTGCGTGGCAGGCGGTAGAGCCCTGCTTGCTTGCAATCGACCTTGCAATTCGTTAAAGCACGAGTTAACTTAATCTGGGAAAGAAGGATTGTATACACGCAGCACTGCTGCCGTCCACGATTAAAAAAAGAAGCAACGGTGAAGTGCTGCACCGCTGAAGGAAGAAGAAAAGACAACTACTGCATGGACCGAGGGACAAATTGCAGCTACTCTTTTGTTTTCGCTTCCCTTGCATTGGGTGGCGCGACGTTCGGATGCAAACCACCCAATTCGAGCGTATCCCCTTCTCTCTTTCATTCGAGTTTTTCAGTCACAAAGCAATTCTTATTCTCTTCATGTAAACTGCTACCACGCCCCGCCGCGCATTCCACATCGAAGTCCTCATTTCTCTTTTCCCTTCGTTTCGCCACACACGAATACATGGACAGGTTCAGGTCGAAAAAACAACGACTGCCCATACGCTTCATTTCTCTTTAGTCACGCCACAGAACAGGAGAGCGCCACTTCGCATTTTCTGTTATTTATAGGCTCGATTGATGAAGCCGAACCACGAGTCTCGGGTGCCGCCCAAGCAGCAGGTGCGAGGTGGCAAGGCAAAGTCAACGAGAGCGGTGCTAGTGGCGAGCAACACCAAGCCGCCCACCGCCCTCTCCTCCTCTGCCAATTCCGACTTTGACGATGTCGCCGACCTGTTCCGCGCCATCAATCAGACAAAAGCCCAGCAGAAGGGCGTCGTCGAAAACGTCACCGCACCGGACTCGAACAGAGGCACGCCGTCAAGCCACGGAACCAAAAAGAGCACCAAGTCAGCTACAGGCGGTAAATGCAGCGCTTCGTCGTCGTCCCCTAACGTAGAGGCAAAACCCGTCCGTGACGGCCTCTATCACGCACCGCAGAAGTCTGTGAAGATGAGCGACAACGAGTTCTTCAGCGGTACCTGGTTGAAGGCAGATCAGGCAGCAACAACGGCTGCTGCAGGTTTGGGCTCCTCTGTAGTGGGTAGCAGCTCCGACTCCGTTGAAGCTTCGCAGGAGCTGCTACGGAAAGAAGGTGTGGATCGCATTGTGTCTCTACAGGAGCTCTCCAAAATGCTCTCGCGGAACGCGAAGGCGGGCTCCACACCAAACTGCCCGTTTGACTGCGACTGCTGCTTTTAGGATCCGCAAGGAAAACGAAGGAGGTGAGAAAGCGAGGGACTCTGCGGTGAGCCTCGCGACTCCACTTCATGATGTGAGGGAGCTGCTGGTAAAACCGGCTCGGCGTCTTTTCTTTCCGTGCGGTTCCTACGCTTTCTTTTTTCAAAGTTGCTTTCCTTGTGTTGAAGCACTAACTTTCGTGTGATCTTACATCTTAAAAAAGCTGGTTTTATTTCTCGGAAAGCTGAAAGAGACCCATCTTTTGTTCCCCCGAGACGCACTACTCTACGTAGTTCCTTCTCTGTCGACGCATTCAATGCACCGCTAAGGGTGTGAGCTCTCCTCGGTACACTCCTCTTTGTCACCTAACTAAGAGAGAGAGAGGGTGGAGGAGAAGGATTTGTTCTACTTTCTGGTGCCCCTGCTTCGCATGCTCCCCCAGAGTACAACATATCGGTCATTACTTGCATTATTCATAGTCGGTGTCGAGACCAGCTACCCCATAGTCTCCAACGGTCTTGTGCACAACAGGGCAAGCCGTATTGACCAAGCGGGGCAACTCCATGCCAGGCGCATCCCGCACCACCACGCGACCATCCACCACCTCTTCCCCAAAGTTACGTGAGAAGGAATCTGCGGGGTTCATCTCACCAACGATGTAAAAGAACACCACTCGCACGCCCTTCTCGACGAAACGACAATTGGTGTAGGCGTACAGGTTGTTTAGGTACTGCCCACGTCCAATACCGCGAAAGCCACTTTCACATCTTTGCTCCAATGCAATCGGGTAGTGATCCGTCACTACAGCGACGCGTCTTAAAGCTTGCGGGTACGCCGCGAGAATGTACCGCAAGAACAACAAAGCAGCATGTTGCTCCGCGGTTGCTGAATGCCGTGCATTGAAAAGGGATGCGCGCGCCCCTCGCATCCACTGCGCCGCGCGCACTGAGGTCGTGACTCCAACGCTGCTGAAAGCCGCGCGTCGTGCCGTCTCTCCAGCGGGCGATAGCACCCCAGCCCGACGCCGATGCGTCTGTGAACACGATCAGGTCGTAGTCCGCGTCGAGGTAGGTGGCCCCTATGGGCTCTGCAATGGGCCAGAAACGGTTCTCTACCAATACGGGCACGATGCGGCCCAACGCACATCGGATGGAGCTGCTGACAAACGGTATCAGTGCATCCCATCTCTT